GCAGTGCTCTCCACCATTGATCTGGCAGCTATGGCTCTACAATGCGATAAGGATGTTCGACCCCATGTCCACGAACCGCTCACAGGCACGATCATTGTGGACGGGCGGAAAATTTTCCGAACTAGGTTGGCGCAAGTTTACCCGGTTCGACTGTGCGGACTGTGGGCCGATCTGATTGTGGGTCTGCAGACAGATCCATTAACTGCCACCTTCAAGCTCACAACTCCTCAGGTCGATCGAAAGCGACCACTGGGCCAGCCTGTTCCCTGGAAAGCTCACAAACAAAGATTTACAGCAGAGAAAGCAGTGGCCGCGGGCTATCAGCTCAAAAGGTCTGCTATGCCACCTTTGCTCCCTTGCGAACTGGAGCCGGGTCAGGCAGTCAAGGCCATGCTGGATCTGCAACACCCATTTACCATTGACCCTGCTCTTGAACCTGATCTTCAAGAAGCGCTGTCAATGGCAGTTCACAAACCAGATCAGGTTCTTGGTCATCGTCAGGGAGCTCTTGGTTTTTGGGGCGCTCGTGCTGAAGCTCTCCTGCCGGCAACAGACAAGATCTTGCGCAGCCTGCGTGATCCTCATTTGCGGATGTTGTTGCGGGGTTGCTCTGACGACCAGCCACTGACACTAGGATCATGCACGCATATTGCACTGTGGCGCGAGATGCTCCACGCCGCCAAGTGCGTCGATCAACACCTTTTGTCGGATTTACTGCAAGGGTTCACCATAGTCGGCCCCATTCAGCGCTCTGCTCGATGGGGTCCGATGGCACCACAGGACGAGGTTCTGGCGGAAGATGCTCTACGTTCTAGGGCCTGGGAGTTTTCAGACAAGGTGATCAAGAATATCAACAGATGTGAGGTCACGGAGAACACAGAAAAGATCTGGGAATCCACAATGGAAGACGTTGCTGAAGGAACTACAGTTGGTCCTTTCTTTTTCAAAAAGGATGTCGACAAGTTCCTACACACGGAAGAGTGGATCCCAACTCAGAGGTTCGAAGTGGTCCAGAAGAACAAGGTCAGAGGAGTGGATAGCGCGACAGTCAATGGGATCAACCAGGCGACGGTCATCACAGAGAAGATAGATCTACCTTCTACAGATGTCAATGTAGCAGCGCTGAGATGGCTGAGATCCAATGTGAAGGAAGGTCTACTGATTGATGGCTGGGTTCTAGATGAGAGAAAGGCATATCGGCAGATCGCTGTGCAGCCTGATCAGCGGAGGTGGAGCGTGATCTCTCTGAAGGAGCCTGCGTCAGGTCGCATTGCGTTCTTTGTCATGGTTGGTCATTCCTTTGGTCTTGTTGCAGCAGTCTACAATTACAACAGAAGGTCTGCTGCGATCACTGACATCCTACGACGGGTCTTCTTTGTTGCCGCTTTTAATTTCTATGACGATAAGTATGGGTTCGAACCACGTAACACTTGTTCGTCTGCATTTGAAGTGGCACAAAAGGTCCACTGGTGGCTTGGTGCTCAGTTCGACCCGAAGAAGCTGCAGATGTGCTCAGACCCCACTATTTTGGGGGTCACCTACGATTTGAAGAACATGCTCCTTAAAATCAAGCTTTCTCGCAAGACCGAAATACTGGAAGAGATCGATGCTATTCTTGATTCTCATCTCCTCCCACCTGGTCTAGCGGGAAAGCTGAGAGGGAAGCTGATGTTCGGCGCGTCGCAGTTATGGGGAAAGATCGGACGCGCTTTTCTGAGGGCGCTCTCTGAAAGGCAGTATACCAAGTTCAACCAGGCAGTGCTGAACCCAGCGATCGTCCTGGCTTTGCAGCAGTGGAAGTGGCTCATCAACGAAGGTCCTCCAAGGCCGATCCTTGAGAGCAAGCCGAAGGTGGCGGACTACGTCTTGTTCACTGACGGCAGCTACCCCGATGGCAAGGCTGGCTCTCCGGACAAGCCGTGGATAGGCGGGGTCTTGTTCAAAAAGGGTCATGTTCCTTTACAGTCTGGTTGTGAAGTTGATCAAAAGCTGATTGATAAATGGATCCCCAGAAAGTCACAGATCGCGATGGTTGAATTGTTCGCAACCGTGGTAGCGCTCACGACCTTTGCAAAGCAGCTCTGCGGCTCATGGTCTTTTCTGATGGTCGACTCCGAGCCTGTTCAGGGTGCATTGGTCAAAGGCTACTCTTCTCGCGAAGATCTATGTGAACTGGTGAGCGTATTTTGGAAATTAGCTCTTGATTGTAGGGTCAATTTGTATATTGATAGAGTTCCTACCGATGCGAATCCCGCTGATCACCCATCACGCAATCGGATGGACGTAGGTAGGCCTCTAGGATGGATTACAGTAGATCCTATTTTCCCTTCTCTCTAAGTGCAGCGTGGGTCAGTCAACAGATCCTGTTGTTCATGAAGGAGGATTCAGATCAGGATGGGTTCGATCCAACCATCAGATCTATTTTTATTTTGGATTTGGATACTGATGATCAATCTGGTCGATTTCCAGTTATCAGATCCAGATCGATTATTCCCTTCACTACCCACGTCACGAGGGGAACAAAAGTTCAGAGTGTGCGTGCTGCAGTTCAGGTGGAATGCATTGATCACATGCATGTCATAGGAACCTGATTGGTTCACTTATCTTCGGTCTGGTTTGGTTGGGATAAGTGGGTCAATCTTTAGTTCCGTGCCACCTAACTGCTCTTGCATTTGTGAACTGAGGTTGTTCAACCTCTTCGATCATTTATTATTGCTCCTGCATTGTGAGGAATGAGGTTGTTCAACCTCTTTGATTTTTTGTTATTATTTATATCAGATCAACCATTATTTGAGAAGTGATGTTTTGGGGTGATCACCCCGGCATAGAGGTCAATCAACAAGAATGATCAATCTATGCCATTTTGGCTCAAGATTGATCATTCTTGGCCTCTTTGTTCTCCCATCCCTCCCGCCCTGGATGTTCCAGGGTGGGATTTTCCTCTCCTTCAAATCCAACCCTGTTTTGATTTATTTATTTCAGTGGAAGATTTTTCGACAGATCCTGTCGTTTGGGGTCAGTCAACAGATCCTGTTGTTCATGAAGGAGGATTCAGATCAGGATGGGTTCGATCCAGCCATCAGATCTATTTTTATTTTGGATTTGGATACCGATGATCAATCTGGTCGATTTCCAGTTATCAGATCCAGATCGATTATTCCCTTCACTACCCACGTCACGAGGGGAACAAAAGTTCAGAGTGTGCGTGCTGCAGTTCAGGTGGAATGCATTGATCACATGCATGTCATAGGAACCTGATTGATATATATATATATATATGTATATCACACATATTCTATATGTATATATATATATATGTATATCACACATATTCTATATGTATATGTATATATATATATACCCTCTGGTAATTTAACGTAGCTATGGAAAATCCCATTCTTAATGGGAAAACCCACTATTCATGGTCATTTTCAATAGCTATTTTGACATAACCAGAGGGTATATATATGTGTTATGTGGATTACCGAATCTATCCATTTGATCTCGCCAGTTCACCGAATCGATGGACCCAGCTGCATCGGCGAAATCGGCACACAGAGAGGACCGTTACACGTCCTGATGTGTAACAGATTTCAACATTTATGGGGATGACTAAAGTGTGTGTGTGTATGTATGTTATATGTATATGTGTATGTGTATGTGTATGTGTATGTGTATATATATATATATCATAGAAAACTGCTTAACTATATTTGGAAAGATGGTCTGGTTTTGATTACTGTGGTCGATAGCAGATGGACCGGTCATTTGTGGTGAGCCATGTGTCCGGTCCTCGTCCTGCGTGATTTTTTGGTCCGAAAGTGTGGTTGAAAAAGTTGGAATCTGCTTCTTTCAACTTCGGATGATTCCTGGGTAGCAAATGGTGCGTAAATCTTTATAGGATGATTCTTCTGTGCTTGGAAGTTTTTGGGACATTGCCAGGAAAAAAATGAGGTGGATGAACTCTACACCCAAGCGCAACGCGAGCTGCATAGCCTTCAGGTGAATGACTTGAGGGATCTCTGCGAAGAGAGGCGGGGTGCAGCAGGGGGAAGGAGCCGAGCAATGGGTACTTCCGCCATACATGGGGATGAAACCAACCAACCAGTAGCCATCGGCCCAAACCATATTAAATTATATTAAATTAGTGTTTGGGACCTGCAAATGTATTGTCAATGTTCGGATCTAGACAATTCCAACAGTCTAAAACTATCCATGGGCCGTTGCCAAAGACTGGACTGACACTTGTCCTTACCTTTGTTGCTCCCTTTTTTGGTGATTTGTTCTCGTAAGCTTTCGGAGGAAGCAAACATAATTTGTCAAAACATGCTGACACGAAGATGTGGCCGTCTCAGCTTGCGAGTTACGCGTTTCCTTAGACCCTTTGAGAATTGGTTCCTTGACCATTTACGCTTGAAGCACGTCAAACATTGTTAAACCACCTATAAAGATCAAACATCAGTTAGCTTCATGATTTCCTGTAGCTTTTGTCCGACTTTGCTCCCCCGGCTGAACAGCCGTTTCCCAGCAGTTCTGCACAGGGGCTTGAGCTCTGAGGGCAGCAAGGTGGATTTGGTGAAGCGTCTAGCTGCACACCAGGCATGGCCTAACCTTCCCCAAAAATGGCAGATTTCCAGGTGAAAAAATGAGGAGCTTCCAAACTTTCCAAACCACCATGACGATGTCACCCGAAAATGATGTCGAGGCATCTAGCAGCCTTGAGCCAAGCGTTGCCGTAGAGAGGTGCCGAGCTTGGAGCGGGGGATGTCCAGAGCTTGAGCCATTTCCGGAATCTCGAAGCATCTCGAAGCTTAGCTTGAGCCATTTGAAGAGTTTCACGCTGAAACATGGTGAAACATGGTGAAACGATATGAAACCATTGGCCGATTGGATCCGATTGGCTAAGCGCTTCCCTCCACTTTTTGAGTCGAGGTCAGTTCCAAGCCCTGAAGAGCGAATTACCAAGGCCGTGACTAGCTCAAGCTGTAGCAGCATATGTAGTCCATTGCATCAAGGCCAAGGTACCACCTGGTACGACATGGCTTTGTGTAGCTCTATGAATTCGAAAAAACACGCACGCCCATTGTTGTCATTTTCAATCCCATTTCTGTACTTTCCCTATCCATTGTTGATTCCTGGAACCCGGTGGTAGTTCCACCCTCACTCCATCATGGTCAGGCCCTCGCAAGGGACAGTGAGCAAGATTTGAGACAAGTGGTGCAGGAGGGGCCAGATGGAATCCCGAAGTTAGCCAGCAAAATTGGTGCTTCCACGTTGTCACAGCGGTCTGCAAGAATCACTGGAATCACCCAGATGCTGTCAGATGCTGTCAGATGCTGTCAGATGCTGTCGTTGTTCGCAGGATATTTTCGAAGTTGGGCGTCCAAAGCCAGGAGAAATTGTGACTGTTCCGTCCTCAGGTCACTGAAGTCACTGAGGTCGCTCAGGTCACTGTCACAGCGCCACGACTGGAACACTTGCTGCCACAAAAGCCATGGACTTTGGGGGTGTTCATTCCTTCAATCTACAACATATATTAAACACATCATTCTGCGAGCAATTTAAAACATATGAACAATTATGAACTCAAGGTTTTCATGTCGAGCCTACCCTCGCCCTGGCCCGTAAAGCAGAGCGACATGCCATGTGGCGCGCAGGACCTGAACACTCGCATGATATCACTACAATCCAACAGCTCCCAGCGGGACACAGGACTCACCATGACACCCCAACAGGCTTCCGATCCCAGTGGTGAAAATGTGAGTGCCATGCTACCCATGCTACCCATGCTACATGAAAATCCAAATTACAAAAGAGCACCAGAAAAAAGGTCAAATCCAGTGTCGGAATATAAGATAAGACTATATGTCACATTGTCACAGCCTCAGGATAATTGTATGTCAGAGCCCTTGTCGCAGGGCACGAAAAAGGTCAAACAACATATCAAAGCATTCTTCATACATACATGTCTGACCACGTGTCCTAACAAAATTCAAACTGCATAGCAAAAGATACGTCAATGATTTTGTCCGCATTTATCTTACATCAGATATACCAAAAGATGTCTCCAACTAAATGTCTACGCTGTCCACACATATCCGGAAGTCAAATGTCAAGCCGCACCCGAATCTCCGTTCTAAGATGCCAGCTGGAACTGAAAACATAGTGGCGTTCTCACGTCTTAAGGGACCCCGTGTTCCAAAGCTCCCTCAGCTGGGACTAGTGCTGCGTGGCACTGTGGGAAGGTCATTTTGACCACACTTTCACAGCCACGCAATTCTCAATAATTCTCACCGCCTCTGACTTTCTGTTCTATTTGAGCGACAATTCAGGAACCAATCATTTTTTTTTGCCTCATGCTTTGGGTTTGTGCTAGCCCAAAAAAAACCCTCTATGAAAGGGATGATCAATATACATCAATATACCGTATCCCCAGAATTCCAAACCAACCCCAATTCCACAGTTCCACTTCGATTGCTGAGGGCGTGGTTACCTCCATTGTTGAGTGGGGTGCATTTGTGGAGTTGGACAAAGATGGCTGGTGCGCTGCCGTGCTGCCGTGGCTGTCGTGGCTGTGAGCTTCAAGAGGGCTTCAAGCCTTAAGTGCAACCTGAATGTTTTTGTAAACGATGATAAACAATGTATGATAATGGTATAATGGTATATCCAATGGTATAATCATGGGATAATATTGGGATAAAAAAATGGCTTTTTTAAAACGGGGGCTTTTGAACGGTTGCCGAAGTTTCTGGGAAGGTCTTGTGTTAATCGGAAAGGATCCAGAGAATCAGCCATGGATCGAGTTTGCTCTGGGATTTCCTATGGGATTTTCTATGGATACCAAAAATCCATAAAAATCCTACTTGGTGGTTCATCCCACGGCTCGTGGGTTATAACCCTACAAAAATCCTATGTAAATCGCTGGAACTAATCCACAACCACGAGCCGTGGGAGCCGTGGGTAGTTCGCCACCAAAATCCTCTTTTTCATTCTGGGCTTTTTGGAGGTCAGCCTTGATCCACATCTCCGAGGCTCGGAGGTTGTCAGGTTGTCGACGAATTTTGGGCGGGCGAAGTGGAGAGGATCACATGATCACAGTAGGACAGTAGTCATCAGTAGTCTAGGATTGCGTAGGGAGGTTGAATTTATTGTTTTGTTTACTACGTATGTTTACTATTTCTTGACAACTGGCTGTATCAAGAAGTGTCAATCATGGTTATTATGGATCACTTTGTGTGATTTTTATCTACTAATCTTCCAAGATGACCATTCCTATTCCATCCATTTCCAACAAGACAGAGACTTTGAACCGTGTGACACTGTTCCTTTCTTTTTTTGGGAGTAGCTGCAACGATACGCCACAGAGTTCTGGTGCAGATCAGCGATACCTTCATCGAAAACATCGAGGAGTACATCTGTCCTGGACAGCGTGTTGAGGTGCCGAGATGACAGATGTGACATGACAGATGTGTAAAAAAAATGGTGTCATGGTCCTGTCATGGTGTCACCTGAAGTCAGGAACTCACATGTTTCACAACATGCTGACTCTTCAGTGCGCCCGCAGAGGCTCTTGTGCTTCAAAGTCCCATTGATCGGATGGATAGGCTCGCGACGCAAAAAATGAGAGGAATCTCTAGCTTTTCGGGTTGATTTTTCTGTCCCTTTTTGGGGATTTTGAACACCAGCTTAGCTCAGCTTCAAATATCTGGAGATTGATATCCCAGACATTCCCAATGGTTGGGTGTTTAGTTCGTACATTTACCAAGCCTTTTTTGGTGAGAATCATCGTCAGGCTCTCGCTGTCCATCAGGCGGCTCAAGGACCTCCAGAGGTGGGATAAAATGGGATAAACCACCTATCAACTGGTGCAGGATTTCTGCCATCCACTGATAGAAAATCATTTTGTTTGATTATTGATGAAATCTAGCTGAATGATGATTTTCAACTGGATTCTAAGTTTGGATTCTCAGTCATGTTTTAGTTCCAGATGCGTTTCTTTTTTTGCACAGCTTGAATGTCGAAAAACCGTCTGTGATTCTTGGATGACTAGCTTTATGAGATTTGATGTTGCAAAATGGAGGATGCCCCAATACATGGCATAAAAACATTGGGAACATGATTTTCGAAAGCATGGCATGAGACGGGCTGCATTAGCTGCAGGTATGACCCTGAAGCTGTGGCCACGGTCGGAGCATTGACACCTCTGGCCAGGCGAGACGAGCCACTCCCGAGCCCTGCAACAAGGGGAATCGACAGAATAATTTTAGTCATGTCTTTTTGGATTCAGCACCAATTCAAGGAACAATCCATAGCCATCGAGAAGAAATGGGGCTTTAATCGAGGGGCAATTTGCTGGTTTGCTGGGAATTCTATCCTAGGATTTTCTTCGTATGCATAGCGTTTGCTCCCCAAGTCACAGCAGTATTCACCCCGCTTCGCGTGGGGTGGCCGCCCACACCGCAGGTTTATTTAGGTCCGTGAGAGGGGCTAAGGGTGGTTTTCCCCCGTGGGGGCTCCCCAAGCTAAGAATTTTAACTTTCCCCCCCCGTGGGGGCTCCCCAAGCTAGGGAATTTTCACTTTTCCCCCCCGTGGGGGCTCCCCAAGCTAGGGAATTTTCACTTTTCCCCCCCGTGGGGCCCCGTGGGGGCTCCCCAAGCTAGGGAATTTTCACTTTTCCCCCCCGTGGGGCTCCCCAAGCTAGGGAATTTTCACTTTTCCCCCCCGTGGGGGCTCCCCAAGCTAGGGAATTTTCACTTTTCCCCCCCGTGGGGGCTTCAGCTAGGGAATTTTCACTTTTCCCCGCCGTGACAGCTTCCCAAGCTATGGAATTTTCACTTTTCCCTCCCTTGGAGGCTCTCCAAGCTGCGGAATTTCAAATAGCTAGACAACGACGCCTAGATAGTCCCCCAAATCCCGTGTTCTTTGAAGTGTTTCCATGTTTTTGCAATGGTTTCCTTCAAAGCACGGTACTTTACGCTTTTGTCGCCATAAAACCGGTCGAAAACATCATGTTCGACAATGCTTCCAATTCCCTTATCTCCCCAACCGTTGAAAATACCGCTATTTACAGTGTTTTCTTCAATTTTTCCATGTTCCAATGCCGGTAGCCAAGTCCAACATATATATAAGAAATCCTTGCAAAACATTGTGTTTGACAGTGTTTTTCCAGTGTTTCCAGTCAAACAGACGGTAATTTACACGTTTTTTGCCATAAAAATCCTTCCAAAACATTGCTTTTGACAGTGTTTTTGTAATGTTTCCAGTCAAGCATACGGTAATTTACACGTTTTTTGCTATAACGTCAGTCCAAACCACTTGTTTTTGCAGTGTTTTCAATGCTCTGGCATCCAAAAACCCTGCAAAATCTTGCTATGTACAATGTTTTTTTCATTTTTGGCCGTTTTTCCATTGCCGGAAAGCTACCAAAATGACCCAAAATTCCATTTCAATACCCTCTTGCGCTCAGACACCCAAAAATCTTCGAAAAATGTCGAAAACACCACCGTATTCTGGTCTCGGTGCGAAACCGTTTTTGGCCCCCCCCCCGCTAAAGCTGATATAGCGACTGCTATATTAACAAATGTCATTGAGCATTTAGTGTTGCTGTTTTGCCCCCCAATAAGCACGCCTTCACCGCCAAAGCGGTGTGGGCGGATTTTTGGTCAAATCATGAATTTTGACAGCTGGCGGTTTTTGCTACGCTCCATCTAGTGGAGTGACCACCAAAAATCTGAAGAGCTGATTTCGTCCCCTACTTCCACCGTGGTGACTCTGGGATATGTTTTTGCTTAGTGTTAAACCATTAATATCCCCATTATTCCCCATTCATATCCCATGGAAAATATTGGAAAATCACAATGTTTGGTTGGCTAAACCACATTAAACTGCAATTTTAATTTTTATAGATTTTATGCCATTTTATTTCCACAATTGTTGGTATATTCCCACTATATTCCCATTATATTCTTATTACATTCCCATCATTGGGGATGGCATTATATTTCATATTCCCATTAATATCCCATTATAGTTGATGATTGATTCCCGTCAATATCCTACTATAGAACTATGAATTTCCATCAAATTTTTCCATTGATATTCCCATAGATGTACCATTCATAGCCAGTATCCCAGTGGCTATCCCACTGTGACCGTCTTGTGAGGCCAAATGTGGTGCGAGAAGAAGTCTTCGAAGCTCTTCAGGAGATCTGCAACCTGCAGTCGATTGGCGCGCAAAGTACAGCAATGAAATTTCAGGTAATTTGGTGAACGAATAAGTTAAGTAGGTCGAGCATTACATAGCATGACTAATGTTACTAGAAAGTCTCTGTTCGGACGGAGTTGCAAAAGATGGCCCATATCAGCCGTTTGAACGTTCGCCGCTGTTAGCCCCGTGTAAGACGTGGACATCTCGATGGGCTGGAGAATTTCAGGGACCGGACCTGGCAAAAGCCATGGATTTTGCTGGCGAAACCGATCTAAAACTGGATTTATTGATATTTATTGCAAACAATCCATTATAACATATTATAACTATGTATGTTGTGTACATGATTTATATATTTTATATGGATCTGTTGGAAGCAAACCATTTGTCCCATGCATCCCATTTGTACGTGACCTAGCGCTTTTGACCTTATTTCTGGATAAACCAGATAATTATCATTTCTCACATCTATCGCATTTCTATGATTGGCAGTGAAATTCCTCATGATATTTGGACGTGCATCTCAGCTGGTATTTGGGTAATAGCTATGACAGCTATGGTTTGTTTACCCATTGATTTCTGCGATTTTCATCGTCCACTTACCAAACATTCTTCACTGCTCACAGCATAGTATCTTTTGCTTATCTTTGGGTGACATATCCATGTTCATCAGTTGTGATTTGATTTCCCATTTTATTTGGGATAAACCGATAGTCATCCGGTATCAAACGTCATCAACCGCAGATGATTCCGGTGTCCCGCTCCATCCATTGCCCAGCACTGAAAAGAACCAACATATGGATCACCCAGTTTCTCTGCTCAGAAACTGTAAAGATTAGTAAAGACCATGGTAAAACGCTGTGCCAATTGGCCAATTCCCAATAAAATCAAATCAGCGAGATGATCCGTAGAATCCTCATGAAGGAGCGTGTGGCTGCTTTGGAGGCCATCGTCATTGAGATGGGCCATGGTCAGGCACCACGAATGCTGGACTTTGCCTGGCGGGAATGTTATCATCACCTGTGGTTGTTGTTGTTGTTGTGGTTGTTGTATGTTATTATCATCTATTGTTATTGTTGTTATTGTTCTATTGCCGTAAGTATTCTTGCTATTTTTCGTAATAGTAATAATGATTTCATCCTAATGATCATTGCATTTGTAAATAGAGGTCTCACCTTAGGGACCGACCAAATGGCTTGGTCCAAATGGTTCATCATGGTTTTCTGATCCGCAGTCACCCCGTTTCCGGACCACGAAATTTTGATGACAAAATATGACTGGGTATATAAAAATATAAATATATACTATATTGGGGAAGAAAAAGCCAGCTCAATTTTGAAATACTTTACCGTAATGGAAATTCACATTATCTGTTGAAGTTCAATTTTGTGGCCCTTTTCTACGTTGCGCCACATGGCGAAGCTGTTCAGAACGTTGCGCCACTAAGGACCACCGCCTGGCTAGCCGCGTGGGTTTTTCTTTAAAATTTCCCTGCTGTTGTTGATTTGCCCAAGGGCTTTTTATGGCTTGTAGCCAAAACAGTATTTGTGATCATATAATCTCTAAATTGACCATTAGTTCGAATCCCAAATTTGGTGCTGTTGAACTGTTGATTAATCCCGCATTGAGTTGTTGATCGATATCCCATGATTCCAACTAAGCAACATGTTACAAGGTGACGCCCCCCCCAATTATGAGTTGGTGTATATAAACCGCATTATAGTTATAGTTATGTATATATATACATATTTATTCCCCATAAACCATAGAATTCAAACAGTTGTGTGAGTTATGTGGGTTTAGTTTGTGTCAACTTCGCTATCACAACAGAGGCCCTACGGGACGCCCGTTCGGATGCCAGCGCATCAACCCGCAGGCAGGGAAAATTTTGGTGGTATGCTGCATTGGTCAAACCGTTTGGGGAGAGCACAAGATACAAAAAGCCACATTAAATGTGTATGAAAACCACATTATCTTAGATAGGTGTTGAGAAATTTGAGAAACACTTTAAACATGCAGTTGTACTTTAGTACTTCAACGTTATTTCAGATTTTGATGGGACAAGACAAACTGTTGTTTTTCGCATCTTGAGACATCTCAATTGCTGACGTTTCCTGACATTGGGGGATAGTTATCGGCTCAATGATTGGGATTTGATACCCAGAACTATTTGAAGGTCTTGAGTGTGGCTCAAATATGGGCACTAGGAATGGGGGTATAGCCGGTGGACTCTTGGTTCTTCCAATTTTCGTTGGTGGAATTCCTGCTATCTATGAATTCCGCAGTGCTATTCCTTCAATCCCAATTTTGCTGTTCGAATGACTATTCCTTTTGCTGAATCAGTGAGTTTTAGATCCCGATTCCTTGTAAAATCCACAGAATCATTCCTGCAATTCCATTCCTATTGGGTGATTCCGCAACATCATTAGTCAAATACGCATTCTAGTTTTATCATGATTCAAATCCCCATTCCTGTTGGGGAGACACAACTGATGACTCCGGACATTCGCATTTGTCAAATCTGTGTGATGCTTGAGCGAATTTCTGAAGAAGAAACCCACAGCATCATTCCCAAAATATCTGCTCTCACCAGTTGAATCCCAGTTGTCGCTATCGTTGTTTCCTATTTCAAAATCCACGTGATCATTCCTTGAATCTCACTGTCATTGGCATTGACCTAAAATGGTAGAATTGTGATGGCGCTACAAATGCATTAAATATTAAACATTATTAAACATTATTAAACATTATTGAACATTATTAAACATTATTAAACATTATTAAACATTATTGAACATTATCAAACATTATTAAACATTATTAAACATTATTAAACATTATTAAACATCATTAAACATATGAAACTTGGCAAGACAGTTCCCACTGAACTGTTTTTTTTCAGTTTTGTGACACTCCAAAACTTGGCTTCATCTCCAGCGGTCCCGACGGTCGCTTCAACGAGCCAAACAGGAGCCGTGTTGCTCCGCTGACCGAAATGCTGAACGACCTGCACGACAATGGTCCTCCTGAAGAGTCGCAGCCCTAAGCAGCACCATACGTGAGGTGCAGTTGGAATTTTACTGGATATGAAATTCACCAGAGTTGTCATATCCTTCCGGAGTACTCCCATAGTCATAGCCGTTAAGTATGACCCGGGAATCGCACAGGGTGTATGGGTGACATCCTCTATGGCCAGGGTTTCAGGCTGGGAACCATCCATACTATAAATTCATTCAACCAAATATATTCTATTTGATCCCTTTATCGTGACCAAACATTTTTTAGCTGACCGTTTTGGGGCCCTCGCCACTAACCAATGGTGGGTAGACCTCAATGTGAATAGTGCACATGGGAGTTTGAACCGAGAAAATTGCATGCTGAACTAGTGAAGAAAGATAGGCTTTCGCATGTTTTTTCTTGCTGCAAATTATGGTGGAATATTTATATCCAGCAAAGAACAACTGTTTGGCACGGCATCGGAACCACAGATAGGCTTGTCATTTTTGGAAAGCCAGAGACCACAAGCCACATCATTCACGGCCAAGGCCCATGTCAGTCAAGAAAGAGAAGGCAACGCGGCAACGCCATGGGAATTGGGATGATTGTCCCTGGAACAAACCATCGATTTTCCATCCAAAATCACCAATAAGTTGGGCAACGGCAATGGTTACGGCTCAAATTTGGATCCAAAAATGGAGCTACAGCTGATCGGAGGCATCCGTTTTTTTTCCGTCTAATCTACTGGTACACATGGTTCTTACTTTGGATTCATCATTATAATTATAATTATTACTCTGGGGTACTCCCTTTGTTGGCCAAAAAATGACTCAGAAGAGCCTTTTTGAATAGAGACTTGTGAACAGAAAAACATGTCATTTTTGTTTGAAATCTGCAAGGGGGACTTGGATGGTCCCACCCTTTGTTGTGGTCGAAGATAGACCACGCATCTAGCACCCGGGTCTATGTAAACCATAGGGAACCACTTTATCTTCGTTAAGATCCACTCTGCTTCAAGGGCTATGTCCAAAGTCTATCTTAGTGAGCGAAAGTGTTCTTGTTTTTTGATCTTGCAACTGTCGTTTTTTACAAATAATCGTAGACCTCGGTTTGTCGTTTTTCCTCACCGGGGTCTATGTTTATTTAACTGAGTGTACATGATTTGCTTTTTGAATAGGTTTAACCGGGTTCTCGGAATTCCATCTACAATCGAAATCCCAATTTTCCAGCTCGATTCAGGCGGCCATCGACCAGGTGATTGAAAGTCTCCTAAGTGGCAGCAGCCGAGATGCAGAAAGATCATGATATAATGGGGATATAGCAATCCTCAAAAAATTGAACGATTTTTTCTGGGAATATCAAAAACAAAGACTTAATGTAGTATCATGAGATTATATCAGGGGTATTGATGAATGAAACATGGCCATGATTTCTGGCGGGCAAAACGATGAACCATCGGATGTCTTTGGGTACTCGTTTTGTTTAAATTCCTTTTCGCTATTGAGATTGCAAGTTTGGGGTATATACCCCATTCGACTTTGGACAAAGCCAAAGTCGTTAGTTATTCCCAACTATATAGTACGTTGATAAAATGCCACAACCCAATTCAGCAGCCTACGTATATGATATTTGTGGGTACTTGCCTATTATATTGCATTTTATTTTCACAGATGTTTTTTTTTTTAAATATCCCTCACCTCATTCTTAGACTAGCCCATCAAGGATGATCTCAGTAACTGATGTAACTGGTTAGTGAATAAAAATGGGACCACCCTGCTTAATCATGGATACTCCTTTCCAAGGACAAACGCCATTTCCGGTATTTCTTGGTAAGCCATCTCCATTTTGGCTTCAAATAGCCATTGAGCCCCGCATTGGTCCAAATTCCAGGTTCAGACGTCTAGGTGGCGAGCAGTGGTCCGGAGGGGTCCGCAACGGATTGCCACGCTGGACCGAGGTTTACCGAGGTTTCGGGTTGTGGATTTCACCAACAGAGTTTCAGGTTGAGCAAAGACTTCTTGGATAGAACAGGAGGATTTAGAAAAAAGTAGGGAAGAGAAAGTCAAAGCGGTGTTTCCTATTTTGTCCTGTTCTCAACGAAAAATGTAGACTATCCCCAATTCGAACAGAAATTGGTGGGATTTCAAACATCCGAATTGGAGGTTTATGCATCTGGGTTTACCACATTACTTTGCTTTACTCTGGTTCATGCCACAACCATTTCACACACCGAACCGTGCAGTGTCATTTACACATTTCCCAAGTTGCTCTGGCAGGGGCAAGGATGAATCGTAGGTTACGGTTTACCTTCTTCAATGATATAGGTTATGGGTTATGCGAGCGAAATGGTTCTTAGATTTTCTGTGTTTCCCCACCTGCCAGGTGAGGGTCTCTAGATTTTAACAAAGGTGCAGCTCCTCCTCCTCCTCCGCCACTCCTCATCCGCCAATTCTCTGCCTCCCCCGCTCCTTCTCGTTTCTCCTTCTGCCAGCTCGTCGTCACTGTGGTGCACCTCACAACCTCAACAGTTCATTTCTTCTGCATCTCACAGACATTCCTATAGGGCATTGATATTTTATAGATATGTTGTTTTCTCGAAACTTCCGCCCCAGTACGGCCGGGCACTATCTGGTATGTATGTACATATGTATTTACATGTGTATATATATATATTTGTATATATATATATATATATTTGTATATATATATATATATATTGTGATTTTCCAGTGTAAAGCATAACTATCCAGTGGGGTCCCTTTTTCACTTGCTCCAGGTTTTGCCAAAGACATGTTTACGATGCTCCACCGTTGGCATTGGGATCAAAGGCCCAGGCTTCCGGGAAGCCAAGGAACGTTGGGTGGGTAGGGCTAACAGCCTTGCAGCCATAGGCACTTACCTTTTGTGACCGGGTTCACATCACTGGTATTAAGAGCGTGGCAGCTCTTTTGGGTGTTTTGGAAAAGAAGAAGACGGTGGTTGATCCCGCCTGCCTGGCAAGCCTGCGACAGCATCCGTGTCGATCTCTTGGCAGCAGTGGCAAAAGGACTAGAAGCAGCTGACGCCGCTTGGGTGTGTTGTCTGGAACGGGGAAAGCACTACCAATTACATTGGTAGCGGAGCTGCCAACGAGCAGCATCCGGGGCTATGTCTGAAACCTCTTCAGGAGACGCTTCAGCCAGTGGACATGGAGTCAGTAACCAATTAGCCAGTTTGGTTCCTACCTTTGATCCTGCAAAAGATGACATGACAATGTACCAGCAACGAGTTGAGTTGGTTCTGGCAGCATGGCCTAAGAACCGCATACAGGAGCTGGTGACGCGCCTGATCCTTAACTGCCAAGGAAGTGCCTTTCAGAAACTGCAGCTCCATCACCAGGAGTTGTCTGGTGGAGATGAAAAAGCTGTTCAGAAGCTGATTGAGCTTCTTGGGGGATCGTGGGGCCGCATAGCCTTGCAGAAGCAGTACGAAGAAGCTGAACAGGCATTGTTTCATTCCAGTCAGCGATCAGACGAAACCAACGACAGTTTCTTAGCCAGGGCAGACATTTTGTGGAGCCGTTTGCTGTCTAGGAAGTTTAGTTGGGAGGACCTGCAAGCTTTTGTGCTTTTGCGTGGCAGTACCTTGAGTCCCGAAGAGAAGAAGAAGGTGATTCTTGATGCCGACAGTTCAGCATCGGGAAAACTGACGGTGGCTCGTGTCTCAGATGCCATACGCCTTCTGGGAGCTTCGTTCTTTGGAGACATGACAGGCCAAAAACGATCAACCAAGTTGAAGGTCTATGACAACAATGCAGTGCTGGTCGCCGAGGACGATGAGCCGGCCGATCATCCAGCATTTGCAGCCGAAGAAACAGGCGAAGAGGAGATGTTTGAACAGTTTCTTCAAGAAGGAGACCCCGATGCAGCCTTGATCGCCGACTATGAAGCCACGACTCAGGACGTTCTGCAGGAAGATAGTGATCTGGCCAGTGCCTTTTCGGCATATCAAGAGGCCAGGCAAAGACTTGCTGAGAAACAACGTCACCGTGGATTCTGGCCACCTAGCCGACCGATGGGGAACTCAGGCACCTCATCCTGGTCAAAAGGCAAGGGTCGATCATACCAGCAGTCCTTCGGGAAAGGCAAAGGCAGTTTCACAAGACCAAAACGGTCTTTGCAGGAACGTATCATGTCGTCCACGTGCAGGAACTGTGGCCGTAAAGGCCAGTGGAAAGCAGAGTGTCCCCACAAGGCTGACAATCAGTCTAGTAGTGCAGCTTCCATGACAACCACTGCAGCCGCCACCACCAGTGTTGCCGTGTCCGCCGACGATGGATTGGCCTTGGAGTTTTTGCAGCTGCCGGAGTGCCATGCTCCAACACTCGATCAGGAGACCGATCCAGTTCCGGAAGCAGCAAGTTTTGTTGGTGTTGGGGTTAACCACCAAGGGAGTAATAAGGTTAGGGAGATTCTGGGGAAATCGAGGGATAACCTTAAAGCTCTCATGCATGTCACCATGACTGCCCGACAACGCCTCCAACAGTGGGGCCGCAGGAGTGAGCATCCGGCATCCGCCCTAGTGATCCGGGATCAGCTTAGGCGTCGTCGAAGTAGATGTCACCCAGCCGTCGTCCAGCCGTCACAGTGTCCAGATAATAACCAACCCCCCAAAGTAGTAAGGACCCATAGTCATGAAAGCAGTGATACCACAGCATTGTCATACTTTGCTACGCACGGTTCTTTTGGCATACTGGACCTTGGTGCCTCAAAGACAGTGATTGGCACGACGCAACTTGCAAGCCTGATCAATGGGCTTGAGCCCCAAGCGCGGGCCAAGCTCCAAAGGTGTCCCTGTAATATCACATTCCGTTTTGGGAATGAAGGTACTCTCACGTCCAAGCAAGCATTGGTCGTTCCTGTGGGCAACAAGCTTCTCAAGATTGCGATCGTTGAAGGGGGCACACCTTTTCTCCTTTCAAATGCGCTGATGCGAGCCCTTGAGGCAACAATTGACTGCCAGGCACGAAAGTTGGTCAGTCCGGTTTTGTCCAAGCCTATAGATCTTCATCTCACGTCAAAGGGTTTGTTCCTACTTGATTTGAATGATCTCGTGCAGCAGTCGAGCATGGTAGATGCACCCCAGCCAGTCACCGAGACTTTTATGTCCGAAGAGGTGAAAGAGAATGCCAGCCCGTGCAGTTTGGGCCATCTGCAAGCAAGTGAGTGTCAATCCGAAATTGCCAAGTCGCGTGTCAAGCCTGTTATCACATGTCCACCATGTCACAATCACCCACCAGAAGATGTAACAGTGAGGCCAAGTGTCAAGTCATGTTCAACACCGTCATGTCCAATTCAACCATGTGAATTTACCAACAATCCCAAAGGTTCAAAACAGGTTCAGTTTGATGTTGACCACAGCCGTTCACCTGACTCTCAAGAGCCGTGTTTGCCTTCGCTGACGTGTGACAAACAACCTCGTTCTGAGCAGCATGTCCGACCTGACAGCCAGGCTGAAAGCAGTCCAGGCAGTGCAGGAACAGGAAGCGCAGTCCAGTCTGGACCATTTGACCCTGCCGGAGCTGGAGAACGAGGTGATTTCGTTTGGGGAGGCGCACATGGGTCATACGTTTTCCCAAGCGTGGGCCGACCAGGAGTGGGTGAAATTCATGACGGCCCGATACCGCAAGAGCTCAAAGGAGTCCCACATGAGGTTCCTCAAATACGTGGAGTTGAGGATCGAAGCAGCCGAAGCCGAGGTGCAGCAACGTCCAATGATGCCCAAAGCCCAGGGGTATGCCATCCCCAAGGCAAAATGCCGACCAAAAGCCGCTCCGACTTACACCATGGTGCATCATGAAGATGCCATCGACATCTCTTCGCAGGCTGGGGTCGAAAGCGTGGTGTCAGAGACCGAGATGTACGAAGCCATGACTATGAATGCCCAGATGGAACAACAGGAGACGATGCATGCACTCCAGACTCGCATGCTTCACATGGAGGATGCCCTGCAGAAGGTGATTCATCACCTCGAGACCACCCAGCAGAAGAACGACTGAGTGATGATGAGGCCGGCGATCCAATTGCCACCAGTGTCCATGAGGAAACGGTTTTTCTCCATAAACTTATCTCTCAGATAACTCATGAGTTTAATGAAGTCAAACAAAGAACAAGAGCAATTGGCCCTCGATGGACGCTTGGCGAAATCTTCAGCAGTGAGAAGTCTCCGTTGACGCATCAGGTGAACCAAATGAATGCCCAGGCATTCAGGTTTGGGTATCAGCAAGGAGACCTTGAAACTTCCCAGGGTAGAAAGCAGTTGTTTACCATGGTTTGTCGTCACCGACCCAAACATTTATGGTATTCACCAACTTGCGGACCCTGGTCATCATGGACAAATTTGAATGCTTCCAGATCACTGTTCCATGAAAACCTATATCAACAGAAGAGACATGACCTCCTGTATCAAGTTGCTTTGGGGATAGTTTTGTTTCGCCATCAAGTAAGTCATGGAGATCATTTCCACTGGGGACAGCCTGGCCGCAGTCTCATGTTCCAATTGTCACAGATGTCAGAAGTCCACCGGTATACCATGGCATGTGAGCTTGATCTGTGCAGAGCCGGTGAACTAAAAGACCACCAAAATCAGAAACTTATCAAGAAAAGTCTTGTTATTCTCACCACCAGCCGAGAGATGTACGTTCGTTTCCATGGGTTGAAATGCCAGCATGACCATGAACACCAAAGCCTGGAAGGATCCACATACACCTCTCAAGGTAGAATGTTACGAACTCAGTTTTCTGAAGTGTATCCCCGAAAGTTTGCCCGAGCAGTTGCACATGTATTGCTGAAAAGCCAGTGTGAATGGCCAGTCAACTGGCAGCCTGGAATGTTGGCATTGCAGGAGATTGAGCCATGCCTCGTCCTTGGATCAGCACGCAAAACGGGTCCACCAAAATTCGTCAGATCGGAAGTGGTCTTTCCTGAGCCCCGAGCTTCTCCTGAAGCCAAGCGACGAAAGCTGACAGGCAAGCAGAGTGAGCTTCCCAGCTTGGAATCATTTCAACAGGTAATCCAAACCATTTCCATGAGGGCCCCTAGGGTAGGTAAAATGGAGATAACAGATTCCGAAATTCTGACTGACCTTCAGAATTTGTTTCCACAAAAGCTCATTCAAAGAGTCATTGCCTGCCGCGGGACAGACCGAACACTTGGTCCGCCACCAAATATGATGTCACAGGAAGCGGCATATCGTCGATCTCTCATGGTGATCAGAAGTACAGGAAAAGTCGCTGCAGAAAAGCATTGGGAACGATGGGATCAACTTTCCAAAAGACAATTGATTCGCCCAGCTCATGCATGTAGGCTTAACATAACCATGTTTGGATCAGACCACCCGTCAAATCCTGAAGCCAGCAGCAGTTCCAACGAGGCCGGAGCGTCTCCAATTCCGGCAGAACCCACGCCAGTCAGTTTGCCCCGCACAGCTGAAAGAGCCATACCACAATCAGCTGAGCCAGATGATATGCCTGGCCTGACCGACGATGCAGTGCCCAAGACGACATCAATGCCAGAAATCAATCGAGGTCAACAAGGTCTTAGGTTTAAAATGCTCCCCAAATGGGAACAGCAATGGTTGTTGCGTGTTCACAAGAACCTGGGTCACCCTTCAAATGACCGATTGGTGAAAGCACTGCAGATGCAAGGAGCCCATCCGGGTTTAGTTCAAGCTGCCCAGGAACTTGCATGCCAGATTTGCAAGTCGCAGGAACCCCCGAAAAATGCACGGCCAGCCCGCTTGAAGCCCATGCTAGATTTCAATCATAGGATATATCTTGATGGAATTGATTGGACAAACAGTCAGGGAAAGACATATCACATGTACCATATTCTCGACGCAGGTTCCAACTATCATGTTGCTGTTGCAGCCCCAGCCAAATCCACCGAAAGCTTGATAGATATCATCAACAAAAATTGGATCAGCTGGGCAGGGCCGCCCAGTGAGCTTTTCATTGACGCAGGCACCGAAATGAACAGCGCCGCGTTTGAACAGTTCACCAGCCGATTTGGAATCAAATGCAGCACATCCGAACCAGACAGTCACTGGAAGAACGGGCGAATTGAACGCCATGGTAGGTTTCTCCAAGAAATGCTCACCAAAGTAGACTTGGAATACCCGATAAGATCATATCATGACTTGCAATCCAGCCTGAACCAATGCACCCATTCCGAAAATTCCCTATCGGTTCGAAAAGGATATGCCCCAGAAATAATAGTGTTTGGCAAACGTTCCCGACTTCCCGGATCAGTTTTGAGCGACGAGTCCATTCCTTCCCACATGAACGCCATTTCCGAAGAAGCTGAACTCCAACCCAGTGAGTTCAAACAGGTGCTCATGTTAAGGGAAGCTGCCCGGCGAGCCTGTCATGCTGCTGATAACAGCGATGTGCTGCGCAGAGCCAGTGTTCACCGGTCTTGCCCAAGCAGAGGCGTGCTCCACCGTGGGGAATGGGTAATGCTATGGAGACTCGACCAAAATCAAGAGCCCCCGAGACATCGATGGTATGGTCCCCTTAGAGTGATTATTCAAGATGGTAATCAAACAGTTTGGTGTACCAATGCCGGAAGATTGTATCGTGGAGCTCCAGAGCATGTCCGCCGTGTGGTCCCCGAGGAAGGACAACCAGAGGGCCCGGATCTCCCTGATGACATGACCCAAATCCATCAACAAATCCAGAACATGTCAAGAGGAGACAATCAAGAAGAGTCTCAGCCACTTGTAGCTTCACCTGAGAATTTGGATGAAACTATATCTCAACCCACAGAAAATCAATCATCACCTAACTTGGAGAATGAGGGACAACCCATCCAAACAGAGGGATCACTTCAACAACCGGAACCTGAAAGTGAAGGTCCCGCAGCAGATTCAGCAAGAACTCAGCCAAGCGAAGAAGGGTCAAGTGAGGGAGACGATCCAACTCTGGCAATTGTCAACCTCGTATGCACTGATGCCCCCGGAGCCCTTCAGGAGCCAGAAGTTCATGGCAGTGCATGGCGATGTGAGTTTGAAGTCAACTTGCCATGTCCAATTCATGAACATGTTCCTGATGAAGTAGAATCATGGGCCCTGTTGGCCACAACAGCAAAAAAGCAGCGCACCGAAGTCAGACTTTCCGAACTCACACAAGCCGAGAAAGCCCAATTCGCAGCCGCCAAAGAAACTGAGGTTCAAAATTGGATCAAGACCGGCACCATTTCCAAAGTACTCAGAAATCAGATACCTGATTCGCAAATCATGAAATGCCGCTGGATTTTGACTTGGAAGGAAACCGATCCCGCTCCCGATGCCCCAAATCAAGCCAAGGGCAGGAAGGCAAAGGCACGAGTGGTTATCCTTGGTTTCATGGATCCGTCACTTGACAGTATTCCCAGGGATAGTCCTACGTTAGGCCGTACATCCAAAATGATTGCACTGCAATTGGTATCATCTCACAAATGGACCCTCCAATCGTTTGATGTAAAAGCCGCATTCCTCCAGGGAAAACCACAAGAAAATCGCTTGATCATCATAGATCCTGTACCAGAACTTAGAAGAGCGATGAACATGTTACCACAAGAACTTGCAAGGTTGAACAAAGGTGCATATGGTCTAGTGGACGCGCCGTTTTTGTGGTATTGCACGTTGGTCGAAGAACTGACAAAACTCAACTTCGAGCCAAGTCCAATGGATCCATGCCTCTTTGTGCTGCGACACCCTTCCGATGGCCAACAGCCCGGTCATCTTGCGGGAGTGGTAGGTATACATGTGGATGATGGAATTGGAGGTGGAGATGCCTATTTCAATGAACAGATTCAGAAACTCGAAAAGAAATTTCCCTTCGGAAGTCACAAGACAAGTGGATTCACTTTTACTGGAATTGATGTTCAACAACATGGAGATTTCAGTATCACGTTGAGTCAATCCAAGTACGTTTGTAAAATCCCACCAATCAAAATTGAAGTCAATCGAAAAACCCAACCAGAACTAGCTGTGACAGAAGAAGAGAGGTTGGCGTTACGGGGATTGATCGGCAGTTTACAGTATGCTGCAACCCACACAAGACCAGATCTTTCAAGTCGGTTGTCCCTTCTCCAATCATCAATTAATAAGGCAACCATTGAAACTTTGAATGACGGAAACAAGCTTCTTCACGAGGCAAAGCACCATCATGACGTGACCATCACCATCAAGTCCATAAGTCCCAGTGATTTAAGATTCATGGCCTTTAGTGATGCATCCTTTTCATCTCATAATAAGCCCGATTCACATGCTGGACACATAATTGTAGCCACCCACAAAGAAATCAACTCCAATGTTCAATGTCCCATCAGTCCAATTACTTGGGGATCCAAAAAGATTCAGAGGGTAGTAACAAGCACACTGGCCGCAGAGACCATGGCATTGGCCTCATCCGTTGATCAGCTGTCTTGGTTGCGAATTTTCTGGAGTTGGCTTCATGATCCACGCACTAAATGGAGAAAACCTGATGAAGCCTTGCCAAAAATCCCCTCAGCCATTTCCGTAGCCACCCAAAATGAATATCCCGATCTCTCAGTAACAGATTGTAAGTCCCTATACGATTTGATTTCTCGTACTGCTCCCCCGTCGTGTTCAGAGTACAGAATCCAATTGGTAGCTAGGGCAATCAAAGAGTCACTTGAAGAGGGCACAAAACCAAGATGGGTGCACACAGGTGCACAATTAGCCGACTCATTAACAAAAGCCATGGAGGCCCATTTCCTCCGTGCCACTCTCAAACATGGATCGTACCGGCTGACTGATGAAACGGCTTTGCTCAAGGCTCGGGAAAACACCAAAGACAGAATTCGTTGGTTGAAACAGGCCACCACGGAGAACAGTGATCAGGACCTTCCTCCCAAGCACTTGAACCCAGGCAGTTAAGATCAGAAAATAGTAATTTTTGGGAGTGTGATTTTCCAGTGTAAAGCATAACTATCCAGTGGGGTCCCTTTTTCACTTGCTCCAGGTTTTGCCAAAGACATGTTTACGATGCTCCACCGTTGGCATTGGGATCAAAGGCCCAGGCTTCCGGGAAGCCAAGGAACGTTGGGTGGGTAGGGCTAACAGCCTTGCAGCCATAGGCACTTACCTTTTGTGACCGGGTTCACATCACTGGTATTAAGAGCGTGGCAGCTCTTTTGGGTGTTTTGGAAAAGAAGAAGACGGCGGTTGATCCCGCCTGCCTGGCAAGCCTGCGACAGCATCCGTGTCGATCTCTTGGCAGCAGTGGCAAAAGGACTAGAAGCAGCTGACGCCGCTTGGGTGTGTTGTCTGGAACGGGGAAAGCACTACCAATTTCAATATATATATATATACATATGTATATATATATATATGTATATATATATATACATATGTATCTATATATATATATACATATGTATATACATATGTGTATATATATATATACATATGTATATATATATGTATATACACATGTATATATATATATATCAATGAATATTTGTATATATTTAATTGTATATATTTACATGTATATATTTACATACATATGTATAAATATACACACACATATATATATGTATTTAAATATACACATACGTATACACACACACATATATATATGTAAATGTGAATATATATATACATATATTTATGTATGTATGTATGTATGTATGTATGTATGTATGTATGTATGTATGTATGTATGTATGTATATATGCATGTAATGTATGTATGTATGAATGTAATGTAATGTAATGTAATGTAATGTACTGTGTGTATGTATGTATGTATGTATGTGTGTATGTATGTATGTATGTATGTAATGTATGTAATGTATGTAATGCATGTAATGCATGTAATGTATGTAATGTATGTAATGTATGTAATGTATGTATGTATGTATGTTTGCATTTTGTATGTGTGTATGTATGTATGTATGTATGTATGTATGTATGTATGTATGTATGTATGTATGTATGTATGTATGTATGTATATATGCATGTAATGTATGTATGTATGTATGTTTGTATGTATGTATGTATGTGTGTATGAATGTATAGACATATGTATTTACATATGTATATGCATATGTATATGTATATATATATAGAAATGAACATATATGTATATATTCATATATATATATATATATATATATTAGCATACATATTTTCATATTTTTGTTTATATATATATATGTATGACATATGCTTATATGCATGGCTTTCGATGGCCTTTTGGAAGCCTTGTTTTGGCCGAGGCCGCCTCTAACGACACCAGTCGGCTTGCTTTTTTTTCAGCGTTGTCTTGTTACATGTCATGTTTTGTATGCTCTTTTTTAGTGTTTGTCTTGTCACATGTCATATTTTGCATTTTCATTTGGGTGGGGGTGGGAGGGGCTAAAAACATTTTGTCGCCTCTTCTTTTGGCAGGTGCTTTAAACTTTGTCAAACTTCTTCGTCACAGGCTGTTGATGCTACGCCTCAGCTCTTTTGTCTTGTAATTATCTAAGACGCTGTTCACGCTACGCCTCAAGTCTTTTAGTCTTTTGTCTTGTAACTATCTAACACGCTGTTGATGCTATGCCTGAAGCTTCTCTTTTGTGAATTTCCAGACGTTTTGGACGGTCTTTTTCAAATAGAGGTATATATAATATATCTATTTATGTTTATTCCAGCGGAGGGACAGCTGTGCTAGCGTTTTTGACGTCTTTGGATATGCGGCATGTTTGCACATGGGGGAAAGTAATAACGTTCTATGATCTTGCGTGACCTCGAGCACGCGTTGCATGCGACGCCCTCAACAGGGGTGTGGGGGTGAGGTAATAACGTTTTATGATCTTACGTAACCTCGAGCACGCTTTACATGCGACATCCTCAACATCACTGGCTGTGAGCACCTTCCTGTAGTATCTAACACGCTCTTGGTGCCACGCTCTGAACACTTTCGTGTAACATCTACACTTTCATCTAACATCTATCTAGCACCCTTTTGGTCTACTTTGAAGAAATATATCCCCAAGGAGTTGGCGTCCAAACATTCAGGTAAGCAAGACTTATCAGAGACTATATATACAGCTTTGTCTGGAAATGCAATGTGCCCAAGGATGATCAGTTGAAACAGCTTGGCACCTTGGCAAAGACCTGCAAGTGAAAAACACCAAACACACAGGTTTTTTTAACATATGGGAAGCGAAAAAGCACATTTCCACCGATGTAAAATCATCAAAACAATCACGACGTCATGCAGCAACTTATCGATTTGTAAGTCTACACAAAATGCTCTGGACACGACACCCTGGACGGGTTGCGAAAACAGAGGCTTGGCAGCAGAAAAAAGAGTGAAAGTCAGCGCGGTCATTGTGGGCGGCGTGACCTTGTCTTGCGATACCTTGTTCTGGGTCTTTTTCCCAATCAGAATTGGTTCATCTTCCTCCATGTCATGAAGGATTGCACCACTCAAGATCATGAGTCTCAGGATGGCTTTTGATGGCTGTTGATGGCTTCTTGAAGGCCTTGCTTTGGGATACCCTGTTCCGGTTTCGGCGAACTCCAGCTCAGTCTGTGCACACAGGGACTTGGACGCTATCGCGAGTTCCAGCTCAGTCTGAGCACGTGCGGACCCGAACCTTACCGCAAGCTTCAGATCAGTCTGCCCAAACCCCGTGGCGACCTCCAGATCACACTGCGCAAGCACAGACGCCGGCAACACATACGGACGCCTGCAACACATGCCAGAAAGAACGTCAGAGTTTATGCCAGATAGAATGTCAGAATATATGCGAGAAAAGATGCTAGAATAGGCACCAGATAGAATGCCAGAACGAATGCAAGATAGAAAATCAGAGTATATGCCATTTAAAATTCCAGGTGATATGTCGGAAACTATGTCAACATGTTTTGTCAAGGGGATCACTCGAACAAAAGCACTTCTTCTAATCTTGACATTTCCCATGTCGCTCATGTCCAGAATGCCAGATGCTGGAGGGCCCCATGCACGCGTGAAATCCAAAATCATGTTCTGAGTTCACAGATGATTTGAATATTCCGCAGACGTTGCATTGTTGGTCCCGATCAACTTGTAGAGCTACGAAACGTCTATCCATTGAGTTTGGCTCGAGATATGCCAGTCGATTCAGTTTTTCGAAAAACATCCGAATGCTACACATAAACGTTGCTTTACCCAGTGGTCGTAGTGAGAACCTCTCAGTTCTGCAGTCTTCCAAAGTAGGGGACTTGAGGGTTCTGGCCCAGAAATCTTTTGAGCAAGGTTTCTTGAAACTGGTTACTTCTGAGGGGCATGTCTTGAATGATCCAACTGAGTCTCTGCAAACCGCAGGGCTTCAAGATGGTGACCACATTACTGCAATCTCTCTACAGGCAAGGCTGGCAGCAACCGCAAGCGCCTTTGCTCTGTGGTGTTGTGGATGTGACAAGATTGTCACCTGGGGCTCTGCATATCATGGTGGTGACAGCTCGAGAGTCCAAGAGAAACTCAAAGGTGTACAGCAGGTACAAACCACATGGAATGCCTTCGCTGCCATCCTGTCGGATGGGTCGGTTGTTACGTGGGGCGATCCACAGTGTGGTGGTGATAACTCAGCCGTGGAACACCAGCTCAAAGGTGTACAGCAGGTTCGGGCCACAGCTTACGCATTTTCTGCCATATTGGCAGACGGATCGGTTGTCGCGTGGGGCGATAGAGCAGATGGTGGTGATTGCTCTGCAGTTCAACACCAGCTCCAGAATGTACAACGACTTCAGGCCACAAATTCCGCATTTGCTGCCATCCTGGCCGATGGATCAGTCGTCACATGGGGTGATCCCCAAGCTGGTGGTGTCAACGCTGCAGTCCAGGATCGGCTGAGGTGTGTGAAAGAGGTTCAAGCCACAGATTCTGCATTTGCGGCCATATTGGCAGACGGATCGGTTGTTACCTGGGGCAATCGAGGAGATGGTGGTGACAGCTCTACAATCCAAGATCAGCTTGTGAATGTGCAGCAGATTCAGAGTACGCGTTCTGCATTTGCAGCAATCCGGGCAGATGGATGCGTGGTTGCATGGGGCCATCCACTTTGGGGTGGTTGCTGCTCTGCAGTCCAAGACCAGCTCATCAATGTGAAGCAGGTTCAAGCCACACGCTACGCATTTGCAGCCATCTTGAGTGACGGTTCGGTTGTTCCATGGGGCGATACGCAGTATGGTGGTGACAGCTCTGCAGTTCAACATCAGCTGAGAAGTGTGCAGCAGGTCCAGGCTAGTGACAGCGCATTTGCTGCCATCTTAGCTGATGGGTCAATTGTCACCTGGGGCGATCCTGATCGCGGAGGTGACAGCTCTGCAGTCCAGGATCGGCTGAGGTGTGTGAAAGAGGTTCAAGCCACAGATTGTGCATTTGCTGCGATATTGGCAGACGGATCGGTTGTTGCTTGGGGCAATGGAGATTATGGTGGTAACAGCTCTGCAGTCCAAGATCAACTTACCAGGAACGTACAGCAGCTTCAAGCTACAGAGGGGGCCTTTGCCGCCATCCTCTCAGATGGATCGCTTGTGGCGTGGGGTGTGGGACGTTTCGGTGGTGACATTTCCGGAGTCAATGAGGACCTTGCGTCTCTGTAGCACAGTCTCTGCCATGTTTTCAGACTGAATGGTTTCTTTCTGCTAAAGGGCAATTTCTGCAAGTTGTTTTGCCACATCAGGTGACTTGTGGAAATATTTTGGAGGTTGGAATGGCCGGCAAAACTACGGCAACTGAAGTCGTACCGGGTGAGGAGCTATCGCCCACAGCTGTTCATCCCGTTGGTGAAATTGCCGCTTTTTCAGGGTGAAATCCCCATCTTTGTTGGTTGATTTCAGCTGCCATAGCTGCCACATAAATCAACATCGCTGACTTATTTTTGGCTGGTTGGTGGTTTGGAATATTGGGAATAATCATCCCAACTGACTAATATTTTTCAGAAGGGGTTGAAACCACCAACCAGTTGGCAAAGTTCCCATTTTTGTTGATTTCATGCTTCCATTGATACCATCGATGTTCAAATCCCAGGTGCCACAAGGTCTCCCTGCTCCGACGTGCCAGGACTTCCGATGTGCCAAGCGTCGAAAAAGCTGCTGCCTGTGCAGTGCAAAGCATTTGGGATGCGAACTTTTCGATAAAATGGTGTGATTCTTGTGGGTGGCCAGGAGTTATTTTTTTGTTGGTATTAGTGTAAGTACGGATAAGTACGGAAATTACCTCCAGAAGGTTGAGATATATTACCGACAACATGATAAAATCTAACGCGCAGAAGTTAGTGGAACTGCACCCCCCAGCACAGCCATTTGTAGAGAAGGTTTGAAGCATTAACAGATGAGGATTTACCAAAAACGAGGAGGCAACCCTACAAAGGTCACAACCCATGAACGGGCTCTTTCTAGCAACCGATGGGGGTTTTACCCACCGCATTTGGGGATATCCCGCAGAATAGGATTATAGCAACGTTTTTAGGACACTTACCCATTTGATAACTCCACTAAGAACATTTTTTGGGTATGGCCTCGAATGCTCCCAAATGGAAAGGGTAGATGTCGTATGGGTACGACATTACTGACTGAACTTGCCTCTTTTTCCTGGATGGGTTTGTCCAGAAAATCATCTCCCCCAAATCAAGTGGTTCATCTCATAAGTATGAGCTTGTTGGGATACCTCACACACATGTGTACAAACCAGTCCGTTTACATATCAATCTGTATTTCAAGATCTTCTTGGTAGGGCTGAGTTGTGCAGTCTTTGTTTACAGGTCGACTTTTTTGCGTGTGCAAGCTGTTTTGGCTAGAAGACCACTATAATCTGGAAGTTTATTAAAAAAAAATGGCAGCTAAAGAGAATGCCAGGAGTTCGGGGCTTTGACATGTGCAGTTTCAGAAAAGCGACAGCACAGCTGATTTGATCAGCGGAAATGCTGATAAATTGGACAATAAATGACAACGATTGAGATCAATCACCCACAATTTCCGGAGATGAGCGCTGTTGGCTAGTCAAGGAGCGCTGGCTTGTGGTTTCGAACAAGGTCTCCATCACATCCCTATCATATCCGATTGCAGTACTACTGGCACCCCTTAGTTTACAGCTCCCCATGATATCCTTGCCCATTGCTTAAAATCCAGTTCTGTGTTTTATTTTGTTTGCAGCTGCACTTAAGTGTCCAAAAAAAGTCGTTTTGCCTTCCCAATTCTCTTTACCAAGCATCCAGTGGCAGGAAGCTTCCCTTGGGAGCTCTGCATCCATATTCCCAAAGAACAATGGTCGAGCCTAGCAGCTACAAACCTAACACGAGTTGACGAGTTTCCGACAGCGGGGATTCACCTGGGGATTCACCATGACGCCATGGTGCCCATGGAGCCGGAAGGGCGAGAACTCAGCAGATGCCTGCAGCAGATCTTTGGAGGTTCAACGCCAATGGGAATGGTTATCTGATGGGTATCTTATGACTTTTTATGAGACTTGATGGGTATTCTTTGATGGTCTCTTGTCGGCCATTATGGGTAAATCTAGAATTTGCAACTGGAAATTAAATGTGGGTGCATATCCAGAATTAGCCATGATTAGCCATGAATATCCAGAATATTATATATACATATACAAATGTTTTTTCCGCGGAGCTCACAAGTTTTTTGATGGCTAGGAAGGCAACTATTTGTCAAATGGCCCGCTTTAGGGGCGTGAATTATTGCACTACCGGGACTCAGAAAATAGACAAGCATTGATCATTATTGAGAATTGTGGTAGACATACCCTCCCGTAATCAAACTTGTCAATGGAAGAATCCCCAATTCATAGATTATTTTTTGAACCCACAGGCTTCGTTCCCAAAATTATTTCAATAAAGATATCGGATGTCCCCAAATTGATAGTAACTTTATATAATATATAGAATGTTTATAATATAGTGTATACATCTAAAATATATTATATTTTATCAAACAATATAATATTAGATTTTGATTTGAGTTAAACTATGTATAATATATATATATACATATCTAAAATATAATATTCAATAAATTATATATAATTTATATAACATATAGTTTTTTTTTTTTTTTATATATTATATAAAATGTAAATAATAGATCATACATAATATATGGGGTAATGTTTAATATTATAGAAAATACATAAAATATATAAAATACATAAAATATATACAATACATAAACTATAATATACAATACATAATCTAAAATATATGTGATATATAATAGATAATATATGGTACATAATATAGAAAATATATAATATATAAAATATATAATATATAAAATATAATATACAATATATATATATATATTTACAGAACAGATAATATATGATAAATATCATATTGAATATTTAATGTATATATATAGTATTTAATGTTTGATATAATATACAATACAATATAATATAATATGATATAATATATAATATAATATAATAAAGCATAATATATATATACTATATTGTATACTGTATAATAAATTAAATATAATTTCAAATACATAATATAAAATCTATTTTTTTAAATACATAATATATAATATTATATGTACAATATAATGAAACTACAATATAATTAAAATAAAATAAAATTAAAATATAATATATAATGATACATAACAATATTTAATAATATATAATAATATATTGTAATATTTATTTATTTAATATTTAATAATGAAAAATATACAATAATATATATAATAATATATAATATGTAATAATATATAATAATAAGTAAACATATAAAAACATATATATTTTTTTAAAAATACTATTTGAAAAATATATTCATATATAGTAATATTTAATAATTCAAAACATATATAATATATAATATTAAATTTATAATATAATAAGTATATATATATATATTATTTAATATATAGTATATATAAAATATAAATATTATAAAATATATATATAATATAATATATATATATATAAAATATAAATAATATAAAATATATATCTAATATATAATATATATTTAATATATATAGATGATATATAATACAAAATAGATAATATATAATATATAATATATATAATATATAAGATATGTATATAATGTATATGTAATATTTTAAATATATATATTATATATATAATGTATAACTTATATATATAATATATAAAATATAAAATATTTAATATATATAAATATAATATTTAATATATATATAATATTTAATATAAATTATATATATAATATATAATATATAAGAATATATTTCTGAATAATTTAATCAATATGATATATATAGATATATATTATTTTGTACAATATGTATATATATATAGAATGTATAATATTTAATATAATATATATTATAAAACAATTTAATATATTTTGTATTACAATCTATAATAATATATAATATATATTTGTGTAAATAATTTCAAATTACATCACTATATATATATATTATATATGATCTAAAATATCGTATACACCTAGAATACAATATATAGTATATACTTTGTAATATTCCAGATAATGTATAATATATAATATATGATATCATAAATAATACGTAATATATTTTATATGATAATATATAAATATTGATATATATATATATCTCATAATATCAATAACAACAATTAACAATAACAATAAATAACATATATAGATATAAAATAAATGTGTACACATATATATATATATGCATATGCATATATATATATACATATATATATATGTATTTAGAATTTGCAAACCATGGACTCCAACTCAACAATTAACTTCCCGGGGTCATTGGATTTGGGCACATGAGAGTGACTTCGCTGGCCCTTCGCTTCCCTTAAATGATAGCTGGGATTGGGGAAATCTCAAATTTGACTCGCCTGGAAATACGTAGGCAAATCATGGGCCAAAATATGTCCGAATGAGAAATAAGTGCTTTGAATCATTTGGGTGGAACCAGAACGAATCATTGAACTATCAGTTGGCGCATTTTTTCTCAGAATTATGGGGCCAACAATTGAAGTATAGATCTGGTTGGTGGTTGGTTTCAAACATCGGAAAACAACTTTTTCGCATCAGGATTATTTCTCTTAACCATATTTTTTTTCCGACAAAAAGGGTATTTTTTTGGGAGTTTTGGGATGCGTTGACACATGTTGACACAAAAACAGCATCGCCACAAGGTGACGAGCTGGTGTCCTTCGACCATTTGGTCCATTTGGTGCCAGACGGGACGTTTGGATTGGGTGGATCTGGGTCAAAAATGGTTAGTTCAACTAAGAAAAACTAAGGGAATTGATCAAAATTGATCAAAACTCCAAAATTATGAACATTTCGTGGAAAGTATCAGATATCTTGATATCGATAAACGGCCAGAAATTCACCAATGTCTAGAAAGTTCCTGTGATTTGATGATTTCCCCAGTCATTGCAAAAGTGAAACGCCGTTGTACTGTGGTAGTACCAATTGATATAGTGGCAGGAGGTACAAACTGCCGGTTTCAACATTTTGATATCTGCCCCTGCATTGGAGAACTGTACCGATGAGGACCGATGGGGGAGCCATCAGAGATGCCGTGGGTTGGAACGAAGTGGTAGTGGGGAAACCGCAGTTTCCTCGACCAAATTCAAGGTTGGTTTAAGGGAAAATCGACAGGATACCATGGTTTCTCTCATAAAAATATGAAATTTTCCTGTAGATTTTCCCTTCAACCAAGTTGAAGATAGTTCATTGCTATGAAAAATGGCTACTTATAATCCAAGAAATCCAACAAAGGGGGCCACAACAAGTTGGGATCAGGACAGCCAACCAGGTCGGGGCCCCTGGGCCAGGTCCCTCTGGATCCAACGTTCCGTCCCGCCCTTGCAGAAGCCTTGCGACCCCTACTGCAACGCCTGGAGGCGGAAATCTTTGGCCGTGAAAAAACCGCACCACATTTTTTCCATATTTTGACCATGCCACAAATCTCCTCAACATTTGCTAGTTATATTATGTTATATTTCCATAATACATCCTGGTGTCAAATATGTCCGAGTGGACTCTATGGTTTCTTCTTGTGCTTTCGAGAAAGAGCCCAGGTGGCCGAAGTGGCTCAGATTCCAGCTATATGGCGATCCTTGGAAAAAGCTTCCTGGCTGCTGAATGACTTCGGCGACAACGAATTGGTGGAGTCCATCATGGCCGCTGCCAGAGAGGTCCTGGCAGGGCGCGCCACGGTGGCTGCGCAGTTGGTGGAGCAGCACCTGCTGCGGCTACAGCGCTTCCGGACGGATCCCCTGAGCACTGCCACGGCATTGACGGAGAGGTCTCGATTCAGGGAGATCCTGGCGGATCTGCCCCCGTGGAAAGAGAAAGTCGAGATTTTCCAAAGAGAATCTGTGGCGAAGTACGAATTGGACTGTGCCAAAACCCTAAAAACTGTGGCCAAAGGTGCTTCCTGCGAAGTCTGGGCGCATCGTTTGTCCTCCAGTGTGCAGGTTGAACAGGTCATAGACCAACATTGTCCCGGCCGATTCGCTGCCGCTTGTGCAGTGACCTGGTTGCAACAAAGTTTGCCGCTACTCCCATGGCTTCTGCTCCATCTACTCCTCCCTGCCATGAAGCTTTCGAAGGCGAACCACCAGATTTTGCTGAAGCTTCGCAAGGCATTGGAATGCTGCGATGATCCAGAGGCCCTAGGGCAGTTACGTGATGCCTTGGTGAACGCTTGTTCACTGTTGTTGCGGACTGCCTGGTGTCAATCTACAGAGATTGACTATGCTGAGGCATGGCTTTCAAAATGATCAAGTATTTTGTCGTTTGTGTAACATCAACTCCAACATCAACCGCAACTTTTGGGGCTTTTTTGGATATCACCAAAAATCAATTTCCCAGTTCAAAAAAAATCCACCTCGTCCTTTCAGGCCGTTCGCTGGTTCTCCTCTGCTCTGGTGGTGACCCACGAGGCGTGTCAACTTCTGCTGCCCGAGCTGCCTGTGACCAGCGTGGCCGCCGCGCTGGCCGCCACGCCCTTGGCGCAGCCGCCCCCAGGGGCGCCCTGGGAGACGTCCACGACCTCGACGACGTCGACGTCGTCGCCGGTGATGGACGCGCTGGCGGAGGCGCTGGCCGTGGCGGTGCATGAGGAGATGAGCTGCTGGGGTGCCCTGGCAGACACACTCAACGTATCTCAACGTATGTCAACGTATCTCAACCGTTTGGAAAATCAGAATCGTAACTCATCGTATACTGACAACACATGTTTTTTTCTGCAAGACATGGTTGGATTGCCAGAAGCGGATTGTGACCCTCATTTTGATGAGGTAACAATGGTCACACAAATTTCTGTTGATTTTAGGGATTTCTAACCACATTTTTTTGCTGGTCAATATAGTTTTGAACCCTAAACCCACTTGGAGATCTTAGAGGCTTAGCCTAAACTCAGTCAATGGAGAGAAAAATAGGGTGGTGATTTCGCAGGTCGACGTTTTTTTGATCCTGGCTGAGGTGAAGTTGCGATGGCTTTTCTTTTTGGTGAAGTTTATTTGAAAAGAATCAAGGATATTGAAGAATATTGAAGAATTAGCATTCGAACTTCATTTCAAGAATCCAAAAATGGTGTGAACATGTGTGAACAGCGAGTCCAGCTTTGACACTTTGAAGTGGTAACTGACCTCATCAGGTGAAGGCGCAGCATGGCCAGGGAAGATGGCACCCCTGCTGCTGCTCTTTCGAATCCTTCCAGACGCAGGACTTCCCGGTGGGTTTCGATGGGACACCGGGACACCACAAAAAATGGAGTTTGGTCGGATGGATCATCCAATGTGTGCATAGGATTCAATATGATTCAATATGATTCAATATGATTCAATATGATTCAATATGATTTAATATTTTTCCTGATCCTTACCATCATTTACCCATCGATCTTAGCGCGCGGTCAAGATTTCGGTAGAAACACTCGCAGATTATCACTAGGGGGTCGCCAGAATGGTAATGATTCCACCTGTACGTGGTACAGCATATAAATCAACTAGTTGATATCGATTCATATTCTTCCACTAGGGGCTTCATTAGTCCAGGAAATCCCATGTTAGCGAAATCTTTTTTTTTCTTGGTATAACCTTCCTATAGGGATAGCCTCCAGCAATCTAACCCGATTTTCCCACAGTTCTTTCCCAGTCATGGAGGCTCGTAGCCGGTGCCCAGGAGGCTCCCCACTCCAAGCCCAAGCTCGTTTAATCGCGCTGAGAGCGTTGCAGCAGGAGGCGGGATGGTCGGTGAACCCTCCGAGGTAACAATCCCCGGCCGGACTTTCAGGTCGGTGAAGTACTCGGCAAAAAATCCACACTAGGGTATCCCAGGATCTAAACAGCCCCAATATGGTTGATCCAAGAATCCAATGGTTAACGCCTCTGTGTTTGAACTATTGGATGCTGGGATGTTACCAAACTTTTGGGTTTGTCTAAACGTGGGAGATGGTCCCCAATTGATATCATCAAGATGATTCCAATGGATGATTTTTGTATATACTAGTAGATTCAAACCACCAGCCATTTGGCCATTTGGTTTGGCCATTTGGCCATTTGGTTTGGCCATTTGGCCATTTGGTTTTGTCCGCATCCCAATGGTATGGTGTTTTTTCAGTGCGGACAATTAGCCGCTTAGCCAGCTTGCTATAAATTGTTTGTAACTGTCTCATTCTCCCAGTTTCTAAGTGGGAATGCCAGCAATACTTAGACCGAGGAATCATAAGTTGTTGAGAACCCATGGTTAGTTCGCATTGCACAGGATATTCCCACTTATATATGGGCTCGTAGCCCATTAATTCTGGGACCAACGACCAAGGCCAGATGCCTAGAGCACAGATTGTTGGAATTCCTGCAGAACGAGTGCGGACATCAGCACCCGGTTGCCTGGACATTACAGTGAGTTTTATTTTTCCTTGGGGCTATTGTGAGGGAGATGGGATCAGTCTTATTTTCCCCCCAGTGAAACCGCTAAGGCTGCCCAGCACCTGAGTCTACAATGAAAGATGAACCCCTAGTGGTCAATGGAGCAAACAAGTCCTCAAGTCTGATCCCCAAACTTTCAGTGTGGTTCGTTCACCCCAACAATGTCTGCCAGTTGCGGCACTGGACGTTTTCCTCCCAGGTGCTAAGACACTTGGCCAAAGTGCTCCACGACGCTGACGCTGATGGAGCGGCGATGGGACCCCTGGGCTTCCGTGCCGTGGCGGTCCCACAGCTGGCCGTCACTCAGCTGGGGCTGGCCGAACGGGGTCCGCGGTTTCCGGTGCCGGTGACGTCTGCGGCGAAGGTGTTGGAATCCCAACAACTTCAGTGGGAAGAGCTGTATCGCAAGAAGTTTCCACACCGCCGGTTGCAGTGGACCAGCCTGGGCGCGGTGCAACTCCTATGGAGGCACCGGAAGGGTGAGACACTTCTGATTGCTACGGAGAGGCAAGGCCATGTCTTGCTGGCAGTGGATGAAGGTGGAGCTTTCGAATGTGAAGCGAAAGAGGACTCTGGTTGTTCCCAACTTTGATTTTCTTTGAATCCTTATGCAATGATCCCAGTACCTGAAAAAACAGCATGATCGTTTGTGTCTATCTCTCAGGCTCAACATGGGGAAAGAAACAAACTCCTGGATGATGAGGCATCAAAAGCAACCAAAGACTGAGTGAGGCATTATCTAGGTACAGATCCGTACCACTGCAGATACAGATTATCAGTTTTGCCTGATCATGTTGCAAAGCAACATACTGACCTACCAGTTTTGGCAAGATCTCTATGCACATGGCGTCAATCTTAATTCTGTTGTGGGGCTTCCCATTTAGCGATTGTTTGTGCTTCCTGTGTGGCAGCTTTTCACTCAAACTTTCCCTTATTCGACCTAAACATTGTTGGATGGTGTGTCCGCCTTTCCGAGGGTCTTGTCTCCCTTTGTCCCCCATTGTCTCCGCACATGTGTGCCTGTGTCGGATGGTGCTGAGTCCGCCTTCCTGTGCCATTGTATCCAATTGAAGGCGTGTCCGCTGTCCTGAGGTCTTGTTTCCCAGCTCTCCCAGCTCTCCCAGCTTGTCTGTCTTCTTGTTTCCTTTTGTGGCGAGTGGTCTCATTTTGCATGTTCCAAACAGTGTACTGGTAGGGTTATGTTTGCCTATTCCAGGCACCCCTTGGAAATCAAGGAAATAATCAAATTAGCAAAAAATAGGAAAAAAACGAGGATTGACCCCCCAAAAAATAGGAAAAACAACGGGTGGACAAAACCCGTGGTTTTGGCGCTCTATTTCTTCCTATTTTTCCAACATTTTTTCATTTTTTCAATTTTTTTTCCGATTTTGTCCCTAATTTTCTCGAGGTTTTTGCAATTTTTCACGTTTCCAGATTTTTTCAGCAACATTTCGGATTTCTCTTTGGCCACCTACATTTTTCCCGTTTTTTCCTTATGTTTTTCCTATTTTTCTCATGAAAACATGCAAAAACCTCGAGAAAAATATGAAAAATAGGAAAAACATGGAAAACAAGAAAAACATAGGAAAAACTAGAGCGTCAAAATCACGGGCTTTTGTCCACCCATTGTTGTCCTATTTTTTTTTTGGGGGTCAATCCTATCTTGTCCTATTTTTTATTATTTTGAAAACTCCCAGGATGCGCCTGTAATTCAGACATAATGTTAGGGGTTCTCAATGCTTTCTCATGTGCTTGACCCTGTTCCCCAAAACACTTCTTGAATCCACCCACTGTTTGGGTGTTTTTCATACTTTCTCCATGCTTTTCAAACTGTTTTTTATCGTTGTTACCATCATTATTTGTTGTTGTTATTCTTATTATTTCCATTACTACTATTATTGTTATTGTTTCACATTTTTTCACCTTGATCCCATTCTTTTAATTTCGAACAGCACTGGAGTCTTCCACCTTTTTTAAACCAAAAAAGGAAAACAAGCAGCACACATTTCATCCATAATTTCCATCTCCAAAGAATTTTCTAGGATTTTCCAAGAGAATTTCCAATGTTTCCATGTTTTCACGAGCTTTTTGACGATTTTTCCAAGCAGTTTTCCATGGTTTCCTCCATTTTTTCATATTTTTTCCTAGGGACGTCGCCAGGACACGTGGCAGCACGAGCTGCTGCCGTTGCAGCAGGTTTTGACGGTCGACGAGTGCCACGTGGCCATGCTGGATCTGCGAGTGGTGCCACGTGGCGCTGCTCCCGTGGTGCAGGAGATGCGGATCATCCCACGGTCCTCGAAACGTGGTTAGCCCTGGTTTCTCCGTGGTCAATCCGTGGTTAATCCGTGGTTAATCTGTGGTTTATCCGGTCATAGGGGTACCAAATCATCCATTTGTGGATTTTCCAGTAGCATCCAGCTATTGGGGTACCCCGATGGCTTGAGAAAGCCCCCATTTCGGTGAAATTGCGGAGGTTCTACCATTCCAGCACTCATTTCTGGAGATTTTTCGAGGGATTTCGATTTAAGTGAAACCCTGGGGCCCTGGAGTCCAAAGACCAAGGTGGTTCAAAAAAGGGATTTCAGCAGCGAATGGGTCGAGTCCTTGGCCACCCCTTGGGTGGCTAAAAACATCTAAAGTCACCATCACAGTCCATTGAAAATGGGGCAAAATGATGCAATATCAGGTTTTTTTTAAGTTGGAAAGCGAAAAAATCTGGCTGGAAACCAAACCATCAGTTTTTCTTTTTTAAATGTACAGATACTTACACCCCAATGATTGTCCATTTGGCCCCAACGGTCCAATACTTCCAATGATTCATGAAAATTCAACCAATCCCAGTCCGGTGACCCCCTAGTCATAGACAGCTAAGCAATGCCCTGGCAGAACGTGGATGTTGATGGCCAGTATTTTCTTAAACCTTAATATCAATCCACTCAATATGAATCATTTTTTATGGACTTAGTATCACTAAGATTAATATTACTTAATATTCATAGATCAACCATTCATAGAATTGGATGATGGGAACATGTTCACCGGAAAGCCTCAATTTGATTTTGTATTTTAACCATGGTAAATAAAACCGGTTCAGATTTTCCCCAAGAATACCAATCCAGTGAACCATGATATCGTCCGCCAGGAACTGACATCCCGGCCCTCGCAGTCTGCGGCAGTGGTTGATGCAGCCCTGGTGCGGCTCCTGAAGTGCCTTGGAAAAGCCAAGAATTGGCGGTTAAAAAAATGCAGGTTTTAAGCAGGTTTTCATGTTGGAGAAAGCCATCAACAGTTGATTATTATTTTTTTTTTCGGAAAATGTTCACATTTCAAGAAACAACAATGGGGATTGAAGCATCAAAACAGACCGGAATCATTGGGCGAATTCTTTTTGCGGCAGCATTGACCCATGAATTTACCTGAGGAACTGCGACATTTATTGTCCGCAACATCAAAGAAGTATCTCTACTTATTTGGTGGTTCCATCAAATATATGTTGACCAACAAACATGCGAATTTAGCTATTCAAAGACGGCAAAGCGTTTTGACTGCTTGGCTTTCATGGATTCATGCACTCTTGCTATATCATATCCAGCCACGTTATTTTTTTTCCATGGTTTTTCTTTTGTGCGGGGTATCTAATATCACCCCTGATGCTGTTGGTTATTGAACCAACCCAAACTGCGGCATTCAGAGGATTCACGGAAATGATCGAGCCATTTTTCCTTTCCATCCTGACCAACGGGGATGAAGTGACCACCAATTCTTGGGGCTTGTGTCACACTGTGTCACTTTTGTCATGGTGAAGGCTCTTGACTTCATGCTGCGTGAGTCTTTTTTGTTGAAAAACACCGTGGACGACGGCTACTTGATGATTTAAGCATCCCTGCTGATGTCATCAAGCCTGGAAAACTGGCAGGATCGCAATTCCACCAGCGGTCAGCCGTATCTCTGATAGTGGCATCCTTGGATCATTTTTCACCTATGGAACCCGTGGGAATCGCTGTCCCAGGCGCTTCCACGTCTTAACTGGTGAGGAGATCCTCAGAAAGTTGAGCCAATATCCCGAGAGCTTAGAACTGGGAGCGGAGTCGCTTAGCGGTGCTTTGCTGTGGCAATGGGGATTTACCAATCACTGGGCACATAAGTCATAGCGAAAAATGCGGAGATCTACAGAACCCGAAAAAATGTGGGATAAATGCAGACACATAAACACATCATATAACCAACTCCCAGTATCCTGTGGCCTGTTGAAGAGGAACATGGAGTCTTTCTCTTACGAGGATTCGGGGCTTACAGTTTTTCCGCATTGGGACCCCCTTGGAATCTGATCCCGCCGTGGCCGTGCCCAGTTCAAGAATCGTGGGATTTCCAAGGATTTTTTCCGGGTTTTCCAGCTTTTATTTCGCAGAAACCTTAGCTGTCGAGGTTATGTGGGCCGAAGGCCTTCAGTGATGCGCGTGCTGCTGCACAGGCCTGATGAGTGGTAACCAGTGGTTGTACCTTGTACTTGTAGATGGGAAAATCATCCCATCGAATGATGATTCTTAGGCAAAACCGGAGGTTTCATAGGGCATTTTGAGGTCCAAACCAAACTGCCCCAAGCCGTTGGCTTTTGGCACAGGATGATGGCCGCGAAGCATTTCAACGGCTGTGTGCTTTGTGTGTGTCAAGCTCAGGGTGACCTCACTGAGGAACTCCTGGGATTTTACCATTCTGTCATCCTCATCTCCCAAGAATTCAATATCCCCCGATCGACACCTGGTATAGTGTTGGTCCAATGAATTTTTGGGGCCCATTTGGGGAAGATAATATAAGGTTCATGGAATTAGATGGACTATGAGTTTGTGCAAAACTGGTAAATAACCCAACATAAAAAAACAAACTCATCTATTCTTGCTATATGGCAATTCGAGGCATAGCGTCCTATAACCGTCCCCAAATCCTTCGCACTGAGGATCGCGGCCTCTTGCGTGAGGAGACACAGGAAGTGGGTGGGAACACCTTGACCCTGGCAGGCGGCGACAGCACAAGGGCCGGTGGTGGGTGGTCCTAGAAATGATATGGCCTCAATAGCAATCAGCTTTGGGATTTAGAGCTAGAAGCTCCAAGCATTGGATAGAGGCTACTTGAACAATACATATATAAAGATAGATATAATAGATATTTTTGAAGAGAAGAGGATAGTGTGGGATGACAGGAAGATGTCAACAGAGCAACTTGGACGTTTTTTTTTTTTCGACTTCCAAATTCCTTGATACTAAACAGTATATTTCAGGCTCGGGGTCTAGCGCATGGTTCCGGAACTCTTTTTGTGGGATTTCCCATCGCGCTCTTCGTGTCCAGGTTCAAAGGCAGTGGAAACCCCACTGCAGCCAGGTGGGGCCGGCAGTTGTGGGACGGATCATTTCTGTTTCTTACAAAAGTCGGGTCAGTCCAGGATCTATCTATCTATCGATCTATCCTATCTTGTCTTATCTTATCTTATCTTATCCTATCCTATCTATTTAAGCAAACCTTGGAGGACCCGCAAACATTGGTGGAATGAGTGACACCCTGGGAGAGGGCACCAGGTTCCTCAGGTTCCTCTTCCGGTCCTATCTCCTTGTTGGTCCATGTCGGTCACCTCACAAAAAATTGGCGACCATAAAGGCATGGCCTTCTGAAATACTGGAGAACCAACTATGATATATCATTATGGTATAAAATAATATATTATAATTAATATAGTATAACTATAATAACTATGTATAACAAAAAAATGATATCTATACCAGTATATTATCATAATTTATTATATAGCTGATAGTCCAGCACGATCCTTCGGATTTAGGCATCATTTTCAGGTGAATTTCTGCAGCGACGCTTTTTCTACGAGACCTAGGTGATCTAGGTGCGAGGCCACTGAAATGCCGGGTTGTTTGTTGGTAAAGTGAGTAGTCTATGGTTAGAGTTTTTCATTTTTGGGGTTGGTTGACACACCCCATTTAAAAAGGAAATCCAAAGCTGTAAGAACTTGCGGGTGGGTAAATGAGAATAAAATAGGAACAATGAAGAACAACTAAGAAACCACATTAAACATCATTAAACATCATTAAACCACTCGTTGGTGGTTTTCGAATGTTTTGAACATCTCTCGAAAACCGCCTTGGGATGACTGCCGACTGGATCTGCTGTGGCTCAAGTCGTATCGAGACCGAATCCATGTAGGACTCCCATGCTTCAGGTGTTTCAACTGCAATTGGCCACATTTGAACATGTGTCGTGGGGTTCACCAGAGGACTCCGTACATTTCTCAGTCCTGGGTTTTTTGGGCATTCCTTCTTGTGCACCCTTTGTAAGCAGCCTATGCTCCCAGGTTATGATCTATCTTCGATGTTGTGGGAAGAGTAGTCTTCGATTTATATCCAAATTCTCTTTCACTAGTTAATAATTATATATACACACATATGGTCCACATATAAATACATGTACACATATATATATATATATACATATGTGCATATACATACATATCTCTGTATAGTTATGTTGGACATTTATTTCTCACTTCCGGTAGTTTCAAGTGGTTCACTCCGCATCCAAGGCGAGGGATGAACCTCGCAACACTTTTGGGAGTGGCAGGCGCTGTGGTTTCGTACCAGGATGGCCACATACGGTTATATGATGTATAATTGATATATAAGTTATATGTTTGTGTAATATGTACCCTACACATCAATGATATGCATATATATATAATTCAACAAATTTTGTAAGAAATATATATATGAAATATATTTATACTAATGGTGAATATGCAGTTAATAACAATAGAAAAACACCGATCCCCGCTGGATTTAATCCTTGAAAGCATCGATCAGGCCTTGGCCTTGCGATGAGCTCTGTCTTACAGGCGAGGGGGCCATGTCATGTTGACATCTTTGGAGATTGACATCGGGGTTGGCATCCCATTCTTCGGACGTTGACATACTTCCTTGCAGTGAACATCCCATTTCCATTGGATAACCTTTGGCGAGTGTCTGAGCCATTTCTATGTTATGGAATGCGTAGCAAGATGCAACTTTTCTTCAGGGTATCTAAGCTTAGGAAGAGCTAGCCAGTTCCGTGGAAGTACTGACTCCCCGCGTCTAAACGTTTCGATTTCCACATCGAACATGGGGGATTTCTAAAACCAACAGCATCGTTTCATGGAGCCATACAGCATTAACATCGGCTCTGCTGGTGGTTGGTGGGGGAAACCACACCATTTTCTACGCTTTTCGAGTTGTGTTTTCAGCCAGATCAAGCAAATATCAAGAGATGGGTACCTTCCAAATTCAAGACCCTAGAACGTGCCGACAGATTCTTTTGAGAATTCCACTTTCTAGTATTGACGCACCAGTGTTGACGCATAGCACGATCACTGAATGACTTGGGAGTACCCCCCAATTCGGCTGACCTTCAGCTTGGACTCTTAAAACTTGGACATTCACATTCTTGGTTGATCTTCTGTGAAAGTTGTTGATTGATGGTTGCCCTCATTTCCAACCACAAAGTTGGTCGATTCAATTTAGCCATCCCGAAAAGGAGGATCTCAATCATTTTGAATCATGGTGACTGGGTGACTATATCAATGGTTGGGAAAATACCGCATGGTCACTTTTTTTTTTTTTAACGGGAGTGGTAAACATCCCATTTTTTGAGGATTTTGAGGATATCATACCCCATTTTTTGTTTTTGTGTTGTCTATACAGTCTATACATCTCACCACTCCTGTGAAAAAAAAACGCAGCTTTGGCGTTGGTTCACATGGAGCCACATCTGCCGTCCAGGACAGACATGATTTTCACAGTCTCCTACAGGAGGAGGTTCGGATCAGAGATGGGGGGGGAGGAACGCCTGACGCAGGAGAATGACCGATGCCAACTGTTACCCCACCAAATGGTGGAACTCGTTTTTGTTTGTCCCTATGATTATGATAGTCAGATAGTCGTTTCAGTTGTTTCCCCAGGAAAAACACACAGGTTGCGGCTTCCCATCGCCAGGCTCCCAGACATCGGCCAGAGGCTAAGCGACCAGGTCTTTCCAGTGCCTGCATCATCGCCACGTCATGACTTTCTGTCTGAGGGGCACTCCAGCATCCAAGATGCTACAACAAGCTCCTACGGGTGCAAGCCTCAGCCGCAAAGAAGCCGCCGCTACAACAAGTTCTGGTCGTTTAGTTACAGAACTTCTCCAGCCAAGGGCCCCCTTTTTTTACGACATTTTTATGGGAAAATCAGGCTCAACAATGAGTTTTTGGTGCCCTACTCTTGGATCATGAACACGCATCATCCGCAAAAATCGAATCAGTGGAAACGTTGACCCTCGTATTGTGCTTTTTTTGAACACTACTTCGGAAGGAGAAAGAAAAGAAAGTGGACATTTGGAAGAGGGTTTTCCTACCCTCTGGTAATTTAACATGGCTATTAGAAATTGCCATTTATAGTTTACCGTAAGATTGACCCATAAAAAAATGTTATTTTCCACACTTATGTTAGTTTACCAGTGGAACAAAAAGTCTTTGGCTGTGGCCATGGCCAGACACTGTGGGCCGCCCCGGAACCGCCCAAGGCAATGCCACTGATCTCACAGCTGGCAGCAGGCCGAAAAAAGAAGATGTTGACGGATGGTGCTTGGATCCTTTTTTACATGTAACAGATTGTAAAAGCTGGAATATTGAAACTCCTTGAAACTTCTTGAAACTTTGTTCCTTTTGATCTCCCAAGACTAAGATCTCGACCAGATCCTAGTTTTGGATCACGAGTCAAAACACTTTGAAGCATCTTCAAGCTGCTTTTGTGCACTCAGCAACCCCAGCACTCAGCTGTTTCAGGCCCATTGATCTTGGAGCCGGATGCTGAGCGCAGCCCACCAGCTGTAGCCAACAATGGCCCAACGGTAGCGGCACCGAGGTTGGCTTGCAGCCCACCTTCATCGTAGCTGTGGCCCTCGTCTTCAGCTGTCTCCTTGGAGTGGTGCGCTAATTCGCGTCAAACGCGTGGCGTTGGGGGAATGGAAGCCTGTGGCGGTTTGAAGGGTCAAGCTCCAGCTGTCGGTGGTTTTCTTTGGGATGTCAATATCAAGTATGGAGTAGCACCAACAAACTATGGGAATCTCTTTTTTCAAAACCACAAAAGATAGGCTGCAACAAGTGGCTGTCAATGCAACGGGGATGCTGCTCCCATAAAAACTGTCGGGATTGATGCTAATCCCACGGAAAATATCATCAAGCTCTCCAGAGAACTTGTCATTTTGAGGTATTTGCAGTACCCTCTGGTTATGTCAAAATAGCTATTGAAAATGGCCATAGAAATAGTGGATTTTCCCATTAAAAATTGTGATTTTCGATAGTCATGTTAGTTTACCAGAGGGTATCCAGTATCCCCCATGAGACATCCCACATTGGCACATTCTTTTTCCATCTTTGGTCTTCCTTCCGCCGTTCTTGCTGTTGCTCTTCATCGTTACTCTTCATACACCAGGATATACTCACCGGTGAACATGTCAGACATGTCACCAACTACTTGGTGGCTCATCCCACTTAGTAAGTGGGTTATAACCCCAGTTATAAGTGGATTAACCCTACTTATCCCATTTATAACTGGGGTTATAACCCACTTACTAAGTGGGATGAGCCACCAAGTAGGAGGGTAAAGCCAGTTGCCACCTGTAATTCCCCAGCTCCGCAACGCCAGATGTGTTGCTTCGTGCCTCGCCTTGAAGGGGTGACCCTGGGCATCGCCGGCACCCTGGAAGAAAGGTGGGGACCGGTGGTTTTTTCCATGGGTTTTTCACATGTTTCCCAGCCAAAAATGAGGCAAATGCCATGGGTTTTCTATGGGTGGTATATTTTCCCCATGGTATTTCCGCTAAACCAATCCGATAGTTGTGGCTTTCATGGTTTATGGGATGTTTTTGAATGAATATCCCAAGCATTGGCCGGAATCAGTGAAGATGCCGGTAGGTGCCCGTGGCTTCACTGCTTTATGTTAGACTGAATTCAGCTGGAAGTGGAAGTTGGCTCGTTGGAAGCTAGGTACCCACTGGCTATAAATTGAGGAGGTAGTGCCTGGCAAAAGGGGTCAACCAATACCTGGATTCTCCATTGGAATGTCAGCTTTGGCAGGTGGAAGCGTTCCGGATAGTGAGAGCACAAGCAGAGAAGCAGAGAATCGTCTCCTGGAACTCCAAAGAAAAACGCGTGATGAGTTGTGCTCTCAGAGAATCACTTTACATTTACATGATGAAAGGTTGCTTCAGTTGGATGGGTACCAAAGTTGAATGCCTGTTTGGGGTTCCTGGAGGGTGTCATGTGAAAAGACTAGGTTCAAGCCAGTCCCAACTCTTTTCCATCTGCCCCAGGGACGCGACAGCGTCCAGCGGCAGCGATCCAGAAAAAAGATCGGTGCAGCGCAAAGCAAAACCTGAGAGCACCCATTGATTCCCGTGAAATCGATTCGTCGTGGAAGACCTGGAGGCTCCCGAATTTTGGGACCCATCCTCTGGCAAACCTGAACATTTTGGGGTCCAAACACCTCCAAGAGGCATCGATTTCAATGATTTGAGGTGGGCAGTGGCTTCAGATTCCGAACTAGTGACAATACTTTCCAACAGAAAATTGACACCTTTCAACATGTGAACTTTTCCAAGATGTGAACATTTGCCAATTCCTTTGGCTCATGGAGAAAACCGATCCCAACGCGCCATGAGTGGCTTCCTCTGCCCCGTCTCCAACCGCGAGGCACCGGAACGGGCACCGGAACGGGCGGAAAGCCCGGCGCCGTCGCCGTCGAATCCGGCCACCTTCTTCCCATCGGTGGCGACGCAGGCGACGCAGGCGACGCAGGCGACGCAGGCGACGCAGGCGACGCAGGCGACGTGCGCACGAGCACGAGTACCACGACGGATGAGGTGTGACTCCTTGGATGGGACAGTGGATGTGTTGGTGGCTTTGAGATGTTTCCTGCCGTGACAGAAACAGCACTTGGCACCTGGAGCTACCTGGAGGCAATACGCTGGCACTGTTGCATAGGCATATCACTTTTGGACCCCTCCCGCAAGGTGCAAACACATGTGGGAACAGCAACAGCTTGATTTCCAGGGTTGGGACATAAGGGGAATTTGTGAAGTTCAAACATGTCAGAAAGTGCAATTCAGGACCAAAAAGATAGCTCCAACCCTGTGGTATCATTTGTAGATGTGAGCCTTTTGAAGCCACATCATGTACAGATTGAGTGGAGATTTCATCTTGAAAAACAGATCAGCAGCTGGTGGTTTTCTGTCATGCTGACAGTCACAAGGTGTGAACAGGTTTAAAGACGGGTCGGCCAGAGGTCCATCCTGGAAATCGAAGAATCGAAGTCTCATCGTGTGCAAAATCGCAAAGTGCGTGCGACGGCCAGTGTGCAAACTAAAAGCAGTCCTAGCGGTGATTCGATATCGGCATTACATACAGAGTCTATGAATAAATAAATGAAAAAAAAAATCATTGATTAACAAACAAATATAATCATGGAATATCATGGATAGATATATGATATATGTAAAGACATGCACATTGTGTATACACATACGCATACTATATTTATTGCATACCCCACTATATTTGTTGTACAATGCAGAATAGGCATACTGCAGATCTACTGATATACGCAAAGTACATGTCCGCCGCAGGCCAGCTGCACCAAGTCACCAGTCAAAGATCCACTGGGCGGAGGAAAAGGAATGCGTCTGAAAATCCACCTGGGCAGATGCGATTTTTGGCATCCAAGGTTTGTTTCGGAGTTTCATCACAAGTTGATGATGTACAAAAAATCCCCATGATATCCCCAGAAAATAATCCCAAGTTTTTCCCCATCAGATCACCAAGATCAAGGATGATAATACTAGAATTCCTGAGATCTGGGTGGATGTGTTTTTTTTTTCAACATGATTTTGGAGGCTCTGGGCTCCACATGACAGATCGATCAACGGGATTAAACATGTCTCATCCTGGGTGGCTCTGCGACTCAAGCGAAGTGAAACAAAGAATATCCAGCACTGCATCTGTCACTGTTTCTTTGGTGTGATTTTCAGTAACCAGTTTTTCTCACTGCTAGCAGCATAGCTTTTGGGCTAAGCAAATCTTGTCAGCGAAACATCAAAACATCAGAGGCCCCACATGGACATTGGGCCATGAGTCCCATGTAGGCACGCGGCTGATCGAATCATCAGATCCGTTGGATCAGATCCGTCCGTTTCGGGGGAATTGTTGTGACATGTTGTGACTATGTTGTGACCAGGAATTTAAAATTTGGGATAATTACCAACTATCTATGGGATTTGCAGCGAAAGTGAATTTGTAGCTGGCTTTTGTAATCATTTACGTTGAGGCGAGCCAAGTGATGACAAGACCAGGAGACAGGGAAAGACTGGGAGAGACGGAAGAATATGGGCAGTCAAAAATTGAGACCTATGACTTCTAGCTACATCTTCGGCACACTGCTTTTAAATTCAAGCTAATTGGACGTTGCTACGAGGCATATTCCAAAGTGGGGAGCCCCATCAAAGGCTTCCCGGAAGCACATTTTTGTTGCTCAACATTCCCATTTTTCATGGGTAGTTCATCCCATTCTTCGGGGTTAATTCATGATCCCTGTCGGAGCAATCCAGATCCTCTATCTTTTCGTTTTTGTCAGAGTTTTTTTTGGGATTAAGTCCCATGTTTGGTAAAAAGATGACTGGGAAGTTCAAGTAATGTTACTAACTGTTTTTTTTAAAACATTGGGGTTCAGAGCCCCTTTGCTTTTATTATCATTGTCCGTGGGTAAAAGGATGGAATAATCAAACATCCCAGTATTGGATAACGAAACATTGTTCCCACTATTCCCATGATACACAACCATCTAATGGTTGGATGGGATAATGTACCCAACCATGACAAGGTGAGGCCCCCCTAGCGAGAAAAGTTGGTTTACAAACCAATTTCTATAACTACAGTTCTAAGGTGTCTAAGGTCCAATAGAATTCACCAAGTTATATCAACTTAGCGATCACCTCACCGTGTAAAAAGATGTACCCTCTGGTAATTTAACATAGCTATCGAAAATGGCCATTTATAGTGAGTTTACCCATTAAAAATGGTGATTTTCAATAGCTATGTTAGTTTACCAGAGGGTAAAAAGGATCATCCACCAACCTTTCCCCAGGAGCCACGCTTTTGCCGGGCGCCCCTCCCTCCTGGCTCCCCGGCCCCGGCGCCCCGGTGCCAGCCACGCCCGCGGCCAGCCGGGCGACCTCGGCGCCGCGCTGCGTGGGCAGTCGGGTGGTAGCGCCGCCCAGCGTCACTCGTGGAAGATCTCCTGTTTTGGGATCCAAACACTTGGTGGCTCATCCCACTTAGTAAGTGGGTTATAACCCCAGTTATAAGTGGATTAACCCTACTTATCCCATTTATAACTGGGGTTATAACCCACTTACTAAGTGGGATGAGCCACCAAGTGTTTGGATGTTTTTGGGCAATAAAGATAATAAAGCCGCAAAATCGGGGAATGGTTTTCCAAGGGGTGAAATTGGATCAAAAACGGGGCTAGTTTATTGTTTATGATTGAGTTGTTGCTTAAATTGAGTTGGAATTGATTGGAATCGCCCGATACCACAAAATGTTGGGTCACCCTAAATGGCTTTGGGTTAAAACTCAGCATCCCCAAATTGGGTAAATACAAAGATCTTATTTCGTGGTCCCGGGGTAGAGTTTTGATCCATAACCAGCTGATAAAGTGTTGCTACGCTCTACCATGTGCATGGGTCAAAACTTAACGCCCAGGGCCCACGGAAACACAGAGAACTTGCCCATGTGGGTATCAGAAATGGACTAGCAAGGCACCTGCACAAGTTGGCTGTTTATGTTCAGTGTATAGCCGGGTATAGCCCGGTATAGCCATCCAAGATTTTGTGGGTCAGTCTTCCAAGCAGTAACTTGATTTGGAAAGTGTCAAGGTCGTTAGTTTCCACCCAGGCTTTCTTCAGTGGAAGGACAGGCACTTCAGCTCTAATTTTGCCAGCTTGGGTCACACCCGGCACGGGTGCCTTTTCGCTTCATGTTGTAACTGTATGGAAGCTAGTCACAGAAAAAGCAAGGAAAATGAACCATGTAATGCCAGTACTGGATTAGTAAACCCTGTTTGATGAATTGAGCGGTTACAACTGGAACGGGACAAGCCACCAGCGGCTTCACATGAACACTAAACCAGGTGAAAAGGGTAAACCATAGCGACCCTCACTGGCCCACCTCACCACAAACTGCTCAAAACATGGGGCTGAATCATTCCACCAATTCATCGTATTTCATCTTGTTCATCTATATAGATTTCATTTTAAGTTCTAATTTGTGAATCCTGATTTATCCCATTATCAATCACTATGAATGCCAGTAGTACCGCACAAGGCGGTGGCGGAAGTTTCAAAGATGGGACACTATAGGAGAGGCGAGTTGTTGTGATGCATGGATGGCAGAGCAAATCCACTGATGGATCGAAAGCTGGTTGGAGTTGTGCTTCTTGGAGTGGTTACAGTGGTCACCTCACCCACCACTGCTGGATGTGGTGTGGTGTGGTAGTGGTAGTGGTAGTGGTAGTGGTAGTGGCAGTGGTGGTGGTGGTGGTGCTGGTGGTGGTCGTCGTCTTCGTCGTCGGCGTCGGCGTCGGCGTCGTCGTCGTCGTCGTCGTCGTAGTAGTAGTAGTAGTAGTAAGAGTAGTAGTAGCAGTAGCAGTAGCAGTAGCAGTAGCAGTAGCAGTGGTGGTGGTGGTGGTGGTGGTGGTAGTAGTAGTAGTAGTAGCAGTAGCAGTAGCAGTAGCAGTAGCAGTTGCAGTAGCAGTAGCAGTAGCAGCAGCAGCAGCAGCAGTAGGAGTAGGAGTAGGAGTAGTAGTAGTAGTAGTCGTCGTCGTAGTAGTAGTAGTAGAAGTAGTAGTAGTAGTAGTAGTAGTGGTAGTGGTAGTGGTAGTGGTAGTGGTAGTAGGAGTAGTATAAGAGTAGTAATTGTAGTAGAAGTCGTCGTAGTAGTAGTAGTCGTAGTAGTAGAAACAGAAGTTGTAGTAATAGTATTGGTAGTACTAGTAGTAGTACTAGTACTAGTGGTAGTAGTAGTAGTCGTCGTCATAGTAGTAGTAGTAGTAGTAGCAGGAGTAGTAGTAGTAGTAGTAGTAGTAGTAGTAGTAGTAGTAGTAGTGGTAGTAGTAGCAGTAGCAGTAGTAGTAGTAGCAGCAGCAGGAGTAGGAGTAGGAGTAGGAGTATCAGTAGGAGTAGTAGGAGTAGTAGGAGTAGTAGGAGTAGTAGGAGTAGTAGGAGTATTAGGAGTAGTAGGAGTAGTAGGAGTAGTAGGAGTAGTAGGAGTAGTAGGAGTAGTAGGAGCAGTAGGAGTAGTAGGAGTAGTAGTGGTGGTAGTAGTAGCAGTAGCAGTAGCAGTAGCAGTAGCAGTAGCAGCAGTAGTAGCAGTAGTAGCAGTAGTAGCAGTAGTAGTAGTAGTAGTCGTAGTCGTAGTAGTGGTAGTAGCTGTAGTAGTCGTGGTAGTGGTAGTGGTCGTGGTCGTGGTTGTGGTCGTCAGTAGTAGTAGTAGTAGTAGTAGTAGCAGTAGCAGTAGCAGTAGCAGTAGGAGTAGTGGTAGTGGTAGTGGTAGTGGTAGTGGTAGTGGTAGTGGTAGTGGTAGTGGTAGTGGTAGTAGTAGTAGTAGTAGTAGTAGTGGTGGTAGTGGTAGTGGTAGTAGTAGTAGTAGTTGTTGTTGTTGTAGTAGTGTTGTAGTAGTGTTGTAGTAGTATAGTAGCAGTAGCAGTAGCAGTAGCAGTAGGAGTAGGAGTAGGAGTAAGAGTAGGCGTAGGAGTAGGAGTAGGAGTAGGAGTGGTAGTGGTAGTGGTAGTGGTAGTGGTGGTAGTAGTAGTAGTAGTAGCAGTAGTAGTAGTAGTATTAGTAGTAGTAGTAGCAGTAGTAGTCGTAGTGGTAGTGGTAGTGGTAGTGGTAGTGGTAGTGTTAGTGGTAGTGTTAGTGGTAGTAGTAGTGGTAGTAGTAGTGGTAGTGGCAGTAGGAGCAAGAGCAGTAGCCGTAGTAGGATCGCGTGGCGCCGCTGAACGTCCAAAAGTGGTCCTAGGCTGAAGTGTTTTGTGCATTTTGGCTTCCAAATTGCGCTTGGCGCCACAACTACGTGCACTGAAAACCTTTCAACTTCCAAAAATGCTCCGAGCATGAAGTGTTTTGCGCGTTTTGATTTGGAAATGTGCCTCGTGCGACGACGGCGTGCACTTTTGCAACATCTCCATTCTCAAAAGTGCTCCGAACCCGTCATTTTTCAACTCTTTTGACTTCGAAATGCTTTTGGCGCCACAGCGACGTGCACTTTTTCAACATTCAACTGGCAAAATAGCTCCGGGCGTGAAAAGGTTTTTAGCCTTTTGGCTTCGAAATTTGCTTCGCGCCGCAAGGGCGTGCAACCTTTCATCTCTCATCTCCCCAGATGGCTCCGCACCCGCAGCTTTACGGAGCCTACTTTTCGACCCATGGAACCACAAAACATTGGAACAACACAGTGTTTCGCAACTTTTCTACCTTGTCGCTCGCCTTGATTTTTTTTCTTCTGCCTTTTTTTTCTTTGATCTTCTCTCTTCTTCCGTTCTCTTGCCGGACTGCTCTCCCCACTGTTGCCGCATCTGTCCATATTGGTGGAAGTTAGACTTCTAAACTTCCTTCGGTCATATTTTGCCCGCCAACACCCAGGTCACCCGGCCTTTTCGCATGTCGCATCACGTTTTGCATGCCCAGGTGAATCGCTATCCAGTGGTGGTGCAGACCTACAGCCCTGGCGTCAAAGTCCTGCGCCAAGTGTCCTCGCCCAATTTGTCGCCGCCGACCGCAACGGCAATGGTCGTGCCGGCCGCGCAGTCCCCAGGCTGGGGGATCTTCAGAGATTTTCAGTTGTTAATGTGGTTCATCCATATTTATCCCGTTATTATTCATTGTCACATACCTTGGTGAAGATTCCCATGGGCATGGGATGGATGACCATACCTCACATTTACCATCTTATGGCGCTTGGCCATGGCACATCATATCCTCTCCCATTATGATTGGTTTACTCTCATACGTCACGATTTGCTGGTTAAACCATGTCAATTCTTAATGTTGTGATGGTTAATGTCCGGTAATCAAATGTCGCAGGTAAAAATCATCTATTTATAGATGATTTTCGTAGTAGAATTTCCAGTTATAGAAGATTTCCCAGCCAACCATGTTTGATTACCAGAGCGTATTAGCTAATATCCCATTCATATTCCATGAAGATTTCACTTGTGGGTGATAAGTCCCTATGAAATCCTTCTTAAATCCCTTATTAACCATCGATCATTGGGGAACCATCCATCCTGTGGTAGGTCTGGTGGTGAAACACCGCGGAGCTGTCTGCGCTCCACTTCCCACATGGGCTGCGCCGGCCACCCCGCCACGGGCAGGGATGACGGGCGTCGTGAGGGGGACCAGCGCGACGGAGAAGGAGAGTGACCTGGTACAACGGGGTTACAGTGTATATATACAGTCAGTGCCAGAATTATAGAACGGAGCGAAGAGGACAAAAGTACGGTAAAATACCGTACCTTTGTCCTCTTCCGGGTTCGAACCTGGAGCGGAGTCGGAAAATTTAATTATAGAACGGGGAAGAGGACAAAGGTACGGTAAAATACCGTACCTTTGTCCTCCTAGCTCCGTTCTATAATTCCTGGCACTGACATAAAATGAGGATAAAATGAGGAAATGATGAGGAAATGATAATAAAACGCGGATAAAATGAGGATTTAATGGGGATTTGATGAGGAAATGAGGATAAAATGCAGATTTAATGAGGATTTAATGAGGATTTGATAAGGAAATGAAGATAAAATGATGATAAAATGAGGATTTGATGAGGAAACGCGGATAAAATGAGGATGCTGTAACATGAGGATAATGGGAAATGTGGGAAAAATGGGGGAACACAGAATTATAGAACAATAGCGCTCCGACAAGAATTATAGAACGACGAGAAAAGCTAGGAGTAAATTCAGATACGTTTTTTTTCTACCTTCCGATGAAAACAGAATTATAGAACAACAGGGTACGGTAAATAACCGTACCTTCGTACTCCTCAACTTCCGTTCTATAATTCTGTGTTCCCCCATTTTTCCCACATTTACCAGGTGATTTTCTTAGATTTCATGGTGATTTTATAAGATTTCATGGTAATTTTATGGGATTTCATGGTAATTTTATGGGATTTCACGGTGATTTTCTTAGATTTCATTGTGATTTTATAGGATTTCTGGGACCCCAGAAGAGCTTCTATAATTCTATAATTGATTTTTCCGTTCTATAATTAATTTTTCCGTTCGACGGAAAAATTAATTATAGAACGGGGCCCGGGAAACATTAATTATAGAACGAAAATGGGAAATGTGAGAAAAATGGGGGAAAACAGAATTATAGAACAGCAGCGCTCCGACAAGAATTATAGAACGACGCAAAAAATTAAGAGGAAGATCAGATACATTTTTTTTCACACCTTCCGAGGAAAACAGAATTATGGAACAACAGGGTACGGTAAATAACCGTACCTTCGTCCTCTTCAACTTCCGTTCTATAATTCCGGCACTGACCATATATATATATACACAGCATATATGATTAATATGTATACTGTATACATTGTTGCAGGCTCTTTACAGGGAACCAATCTAGACACTTTTCTCCACAATGCCTTTTGGAAAGTAAACCTAACTCTTAATCACGGATTTTTATGGCCGCAAGAATGTTTTACGGAGCCGACCTTTTTGACAAGAACATCACGTATTTATAAAAGGAGAACCTCTCCTCTGAAAAAGTCATGCCCCCTAGGGCCAGCCAACACACCCTAAATCCTTGTTGCTTGAGATCATTTTGCGCTAACAATGTTTCATCTTAAAATGATCTTTCTGCCAAAAAAAGTTTTTGGAGGTTCACCAAAACGAGCACGAAAACGTGTATATATATATGATATACATATATATATATGTATGTATGTATGTAATGTAATGTAATGTAATGTCATGTCATGTCATGTCATGTCATGTCATGTCATGTCATGTCATGTCATGTCATGTAATGTATGTATGGTATGGTATGGCATGGTATGGTATGATATGATATGATATATTATATATATATATTGTAAGGTATATAATTATGAGTATATAATTGTATGTGTGTATATATACATATATGTATATATATATACGTATATATATAGATATACACACAGATATATATATATATATATATGTATATCTATATATACGTGTATATGTATATATGCATATGGATATATATATATAGATATACACATACATATCAGGAATTTAATTGTACCAGGTAACTATCATTGTACTATGCCCCATTACTTTTCAAAAACCAGAGAAGATTTGGTTTACAATGGTATTTGATGGGCATTGACGGAATTTCAAATGAGGAACGTCCATCATTTTGGTGGGTGAGCTTCCATGGGTTTTAAAATGATTTGCATTCATAGCCTTATCCAGGCCGTTTTTTCTGGAGCTTAAATGGAATGCAAGGGGTATTTTATATCACGTCCATCTCTAGGTGCGTGACTGGTGCATCACGGATATAAGGCATTTAAAGCCGGACTGGCCGTACTGCTGTTGGCTTGCAAGGCTGCGTTCATCACACGGTTGAGATGATGAATTTCGCAGGTCCATTGGTAGTCTATTGTTGAGCCAACGCCTCACAAAGCCATATTGATGGGTTACATCCATTTTTGTTCCTTATACAGATGGTTCATCATCTGATCCCTCCGTCCCTCTAAGCTTACACTTTTCAGGAATCCTTTCCCTATTTCTGAGATACCCATGTGCTCCAATGTTGTGGGCTAATCTTCCGTTTAATCCCCGTAAAGTGGTTGGTCAATATCCCATGAATCCCCTTTATATTGGGATAATCTCATTCATAATCCTATTATGGGGATTGGCCCCAATACTAATCCTCAAAGTTAGCCATAATACCCATACGAATCCTACATTTATCCACGTGGGTTCATAACCCACAATAATCCATAATAATCCGTAATGATCTCATGCAGTCCGATGATAATCCCAATTCCAACAATCCACAGCAGAATATCCCGATGTATTTTCACCCATGCCTTTAGGTGACCCTGTACCGGGCACCGCTGGCACCGCGGCGCCGCCGAAGCCCGGACCGGTGCCCCGTGGCTCCCGCGGCGTGGACGAAGATGCGCTGAGGGCGCGACTGGAGGTGACCAGAAGAGAACTCACACAAAAGATGAGCGAACTCAGAGAAACTTGGATTCAGGGCATGGGGGGTTCTTAGAATGATTTTGGAAGTTACGGTTTCAATACTAAAATGATCGACTTGGATGATTTGTGGATTTTAGGAAACTACCATATAACTTTACATGATATATGCCATATATAAGAATTACATATGTTTACTTGGGATATGTATAGTATAATATATATATACACATAATATATAATAATATATAATAATATATAATAATATATAATAATAGCTAATAATAATAAATATAAATATATAATATGTAGGATATGGTTACGCAATGTTGGATAGGATTTAATGTTGGAAAAGTAAAAGGACCCACCAGCCCCAAATTTATCATGAATGGCTGGGATAAACCATCAAAATATGGGTGGGCTATTGTTGCTTTACCAGCATTAGTGCTGATATATATATATATATGTATGTGTATATATATAAATATCTGTATATATATATATAACATTAGGCAAAAAATATGGGTAATGGGTACGTCATAAAATGGGGGTGCTAGCCGTTCCAAATGGCAATGGAATGGGTTCATCAAAAAACTTGGGGACCACCAAACCAATGGATGTCAACGGGAGTTTAACGATGGATGCTAATGGGAGTTTAGCCAACTATTTATAGGGTTGGAGATATCTAGGATAATTTTAAATTGGGCACAATTTCTGGGTGGAAATGGATGGACATATGGATGCAGGGGGATGCTCTCGATGTTTTCTTAGATTCAAAGAATCCCTAAACGCAGAGCTTGAAAGTGGATGAAAGCGGCCCTTGGGGATGGAACTGTTGCCCTGTTGCTTAAGGAACTGGAAGCCAGTCTTCTATCCACTTCATTCACCAAGCGTCTTTCGGACCACAGTTTGACGCGGCCCTTTGACGTCTTGGTAGAGGAGTCGGAGACCACAGGGCAATCCAGTGGTACTCCCAGCCCAGATGCTTACCTTGCACTGAATTTTATTTACGTTTCCCTATTGACTATGGTGAATCAACTGGAAACGGGAGAATTAGTAGGAACACGTTTTGTTATTTCTGTTTGCGTGTTTTTTGCTTGGCTGGTGATATTGAGATTTCCAGGTTTGCTTCGTTGATTTAAGTGAGAATTAATGAGAGAAAAAAAACAAATATTACAGGTTTCTTGCAATTTTCCACCCACGAAATGGGAAATTACTCTTCCTCAGCCCAAACAAATCCAAGGACAGCCAAACTTTCTTTAAATGTTCCACGAAAGCAGTGGCCACCGACACTGATGATTTGCTGTGCATCTGTGCAGCGGAGCATGGGCCGGGGCCGCAGGTGCAGCCGGATCTGACCGCGCCTGAAGGGCAGGAGCAGAGTGCTGCCATCGGTGCCATCGGTGACACCGAGAAGGTGGAGCCGGCTGAGGCAGAGATGGTGGAGGTGACTGTGCCTGTGCCCATGGTGCCTGTCCAGCCAACGCCTGAGGGGCGAGAGAATAGCCAGGAAAATGGGAAAAATGGGAAAAATGGGAGAGTGAGGATCGACCCGACCAAAGCTGACTGCACCGACAGCAAAGCTGACAAGGTCCAGGTGCAGAAACGGGATCGCAGCACCTCGGTGCCGAAACGGGTTCAGATCCTTCCCCCGCGGCCCAGCAGCATCTCCGCCCCCTCAGCGTCCTCACCGCCGGCCGCGCGGTCCCGGACCAGCTCGGCGAAGGAACGGCCCAGGATGGCCACGCAGCTGCACATCCCGGTCTCCGCGCGGCTATCCTCGCGGCGGGCAAGGAATGCGAACACGGCAATGGAGAAGAGCTTCTCGGCACGGGAACTGTCCAGATGCTTGGCAGATGTTGGAAGACAAGATTTTTTTTAAAAAAGGGTCCAATTTCTTGATGATGATCGCAGAAATTGCAATATCAACTGCGATTTGAATGGGTGCAATGGTATGAGACGCTTGCGATCATATATTGCATGTTGGTAACCCAAGCCAGCTGGTGAAAGAGTTGGCTTTATTATTCATGATGTTTTTATATGTTTTTGATGGCTTTTGGGCATGTGAGAGAAATCCCGTATGGGAATCTGGGGGTTTGGATGTGCCTGGGCCAATATGAAACTGCTGCTTGTTTCACAATGGCCGTGGTGAGTGGTGAACTGTTTGGGTTGACATGTCCCCATCTTGAGCCCAATCTCAGAAAGTGGAAGGGTTTCAGGGCTCATGAAAACAACTTTTGTTGATCCTTTGCCCACGGTATATCCGAATATTGCATAACCCCTAAACGCAATCCTGGTTTAGTATTGGATCTCTTCCTTTAAAATCGATGATAAATTGATGGATGGCACCAGCATCCCCAACTTTAGATGGACAAATGGGCAACTGCCCAAATTTCCCCCATTCCCAGCCCGAAAATTGAGCCTAGGACCTCTGGCCGACAGCACTGGAGGTGCCGGGACCAGCGGCAGCGCCAGCGTCACCAGCGGCACCCTGGAGGTGGCCGACGTGGCGCGACTGGTGGCCTCGCCTGAAATAGGCGACACCCTCGAGGGGACGGGACCATGAGAGCCAGATTTGTTTCTGGTTGGTCTCTGGTAATGCGGTAATTAGATGTAATTAGAAGGGGATCATGTCGTTTTTTGTGCGAGTTTTGGGCAGAGCATTGAAGAACCAGATTTGGCAGCTCTCACTAGTATTATGTACAAGTGGGGGCACTGAGATCATTTGCCTAGCCAACTTGGGACTAAGAGTGAAAACTGTGGGCAACTATCAATTAGGGAGAGGTGCCGGTGTCGCTGCCATCAGGTACCTTGGACGACTTCTTGCCAAATCCTGTTCCTGAACCAGAGGCACCGGCTCAGCTTGCGATCTTCACCCCTCTGGGAGGGATTGGCTTAATGCCCCTGGGTGCGTCACGTCATATCATGGGCATTTACATGCATTTACTGCATCTTTAGAAAAACAGGATTTGTGAAATCCAAATAAATGTTGTTTTCAACCGTACCCATATCACCCACATCCCATTTTTCTTTGCAGAAATCTGCTCGGAGTGTGAGAGTTGCGACTAATGGTGACCACCTTTAGCCTCTGGTAATCAAACATGGCGACTGAACATCCATATAAATGATTATGAATATATATATATATGAATACAGGTTTTAGTTGGTTTTGATTGGGAAAACCAACTTTAAATGATGGAATATCAATTGCCATGTTTGATGACACCGGAGTTCTTCTTCGTTCCGCGAGTTGAGCCTGCAGTGCCACAGGTCTTGAGCGACAGTGCGGTGACAGCTGAGGCGACCTTCCACAATGACTGGCGACATCAAGTGACATCAAGTGATATCAACTGATATAGTACTGATATATATATATATCAGGTGACAGAAATCACTGATCATTATTCCATTTTACCACTTGATGATCTTGATTTCTGAAAGAAATGAAATAATGATAATATGACAAAATCAGCGATCATCAAGTCATGAGTATGTCATTATTCCATTTCTTTCTTACTTAATGTGGTAAAACCAATGACACAGACATCGACTGTATCTACTTTTGCACTTTTCTTTGTACCATTCATTGAGTTTCCAAACCGAAAACCATTGGCATTTGTCAGTGGAGTCAAGGAAAAACTAATGATGTAGATATGACGATATCAACCGACAAACATACCCTTTTTTTTGCAATGTAACAACCAAGAAAACATGGCTGTACTGAATGATGGAGCCACCAAATATATAGATACAAGCCAACATATACTAAACTTCTGAGGATATTCATATGGACATCTAAAACGTGCCACTTGCTGTGAAATGGGGTCTTCACTAGCAAAACATGTGGCTTTACCAACATGTTTTTTTTGATACATCAGCAACTGGTTGGTGCGCCTTCATTGCGGGTTTTCCATCCCCACTTGGATGGTTTCCAGGTTGATGGTTGATTTGGCAACATCAGGTCAACAGGAAGTCCGAAGTGGCAAAAGTGCCATGCAAGGACTGACTTCCACTACCTACCAGGTACATGTTGATTTTAGTGTTTCGATAGGTGACAGAAATTCTTTGGGAGGGCCTCCAGGTAGCGCAGCCCATCTACCACAATGTGACAAATCTCACGCGTGGGATTAGAACATGTCATGATCCCAAGTGGCTCTGTTTAAAGGGATAGATGCAACCTGGTTTCTACATGGTCAGCCTCCTTGGAATCCATCAGATTCATGAACAGGTTTTCCCATGCTAATCATCAAGGTTTTCCCGGATCCATGTAGAAATCTATCAACATATCAAATAAATTCAGATAATACCTTATGGATCCTTATCTTGTCAAGAAAATTGGGCATAGAACACCCAGCAACACCTCCTGGCATGAGGTGACCATTTTAGCCGGGTTGTGGCTTCTATGACCTGAAGCCAGGGGATCAGTTGTGTGTTTGATCAACCACAGATAAGATCTATTTCCGCAAACGATTTCCATCCATTTCCCCAACATTGTCCAACCATTTCAACATATTTCAACGTTAGGGTTTCAGCATATATATATAATATAATATATAATATATAATATAATATATAATATAATATAATATAATATATATAATATAATATAATATATATAATATAATATAATAAATATATATATAATATAATATAATATAATATATATATAATATAATATAATATATATATAATATAATATAATATATATATAATATAATATATATATATATATAATATAATATATATATATATAACATAATATAAAATATATATAATATAATATAATATAATATAATATAATGTATATATAATAATATATATATATAATATAATATATATATAACATAATATAATATATATAATATAATATAATATAATATAATATAATATATATAATATATATATAATATAATATATATATAATATATTATATATAATATAATATATATATATATAATATAATATAATATAATATAATATAATATATATATATATAATATAATATATATATAATATAATACAATATAATATAATATAATATAATATAATATATATATAATATAATATAATATAATTTATATATATATATATTTGGTGCTAATTTCTAACTGTTGAAAAAGTGGCGCCTCCAGGACACTGCACCTCCGAGCAATCCAAACCCTGGGAACCTTGGGCGTCGGCGGAGTGGAACACCAGGTGTCCTTGTGGGATCTGTCCAAAAAATCCCCGGGGGGTGAGGGGGTTGCTGGTTTCCCCGGATTTCCATTGGAAATTCTGATGACTTCCCCGACTTTTCAAATTTTCCCCCCATTTTCTTGACAGATGGTTGTTTCGGGTTACCAGTCAGGCGTCAGATAGGCGCATTGCCATGCCAGGCAGCCCCATGCGTGGTGCTGTGTACGGAGCTTGGAGTTTCTGAAGATGGAAGATGCTTTCAGCTGGGTACCGTTGCTACCTCTTACAAATGGACACATAGCGCACGAAGCGGGGGCTTGACCAAAAAAATGGGAGATGGGCCATTCACTGCTTACTAGCAGGTCGATGATGATTACCAGGCTTCACAGCTAGCAGTAGCATCTAGCCCATTTTTTTTTTGGGACCAAGGATGAGAATGCATCATGAGATGCAGTCGGTCAGGTTGACCTGGTTATTTCATGTTATTTGATGCTATTTGGTCTGGGTAAATTATAGCGACCTCACTGTTCTCCCTCACTGGAAATCATGGTTTATAAGGGAAATCATCCCCAAATGGCCTTAATTCAGGTTAGTGAATTATTGTAATTTACCCAGATTTGGTTGACTTGATTGGTTCTTTGGTTCCACCAACGGTCTCTTCTTGCAGCCCTCAACCTCGGGGCACAGTCTGGAACGAGGCGAGAAGCACCGGAGACAGCCAGGTGGACGACTTGGTGAGCTGTGGGTGAGAATTTCAGGCCCAAAGAATCAATATTCAGTTAATGTTGGTAAAAATAATACATATATATAATATATATATATACTACCCAATTTTTGAGGTTTCTACCACCCATTTATGATGATTTGGGGGATGGTTTATTGTTTTACCCGCATTATATTCAGTTGAAATTTGAGCAATTTTCCACTGAGCATTCAGGATCAGGGTGAACGCTGCATCCATGGAATTTGGAGTCTATCATTTTTTTGCGTCGTTCAATGAACACAAAACCATTTGTGTACGTGTTTCATTTCAAGCAAATCCACCAGTGAAGCACTCAGTAGAATCAATCCACAAGGTTCAGGTTTCGGAAGCTTCTCATCCAGGTTTTCGATATTTGACTAGCACCAAGTCCCAGCTTTTGGATGTTTGGGCAAAGTCCAATCTGGGCAGAATCTGGGCTGATTGAGCCGTGGCAACTCCAAGTTAAACCTTCCGTATCTCAGTGGTTGGTTAACTGGTTGGTGGCTTGGAACACTTTTTATTTTTCCATATATTGGGAATAATGGTCCCAACTGACTTTCATATTTTTCAGAGGAGTTGAAGCCACCAACCAGGTTGGTTAATGTTGGTTAGAACCACCTTTCCTCGGGTGAAACCATCCTTGTACCAGTTGTCACCACGTCGTCCCAGGACTGGAAGCCGCATGTCTGGACCTTGGCTCCCCTTGTCAATGGTTATTTTGCCGGGAAAAACGATCAATGGAATCCATGGAACTTGCAGGATAACCAATATTGGGACGAAACCACAAGAAACCTGACTTTTTCCAGCGAATTTTATGGCTGGACGTTAAATCCATCTTCCTTCTAGTTTTTCCATGGCTTTGTTCCAAAATTCCTGAGGCTCAATCCTTTGCTATCCAGCGGTTAGATACGAAACATCTGACAGTCACACCCAAGCCTAGCCATCCCAGCGGCCTTAGGCTCTGGAGCCAGCAGCTGACGGCCTTGAGCTGTTCCGAGCTACCGCGAAGGTCGCCCAGTCCACAGCGAATGCCCAGGTGCCGGATGAGCAGGTCATGTGGATCTGCTTTAGTTTTAAGATATCAGAATGTGACAGATAACTTGCATATCTTAGATCATCTTAGTCACAAGATAATTATATAATATTATATATATTCAGATAACTTACGCATTTTAGTCACATCTTACACACATCTAACACCTTTAATCAGATCTTTGTGAGTTCTCAGAAGCTTTTAGTTTCAAGTTGACTTCGCCAGGGCGGTGCCAAAGACTCCTCTTCGAGGCTTCGTTCCTTCAGATCCCGTGAGAAGTGATTGATGTAGTTGACATTTTTCAGATCGTGGAGCTGCATCCAACTTGCTGAGGTTCAACTGCTCAGTCGGAGTCTCTATGGGATCTATGGGCTCTGAACAAAATCGACCGCGGAAACATGCGGAAACCGCGGAAAAGTCATAGGATGATCCTGGAAATGGGGTCAAGTTGAGAACCTTCAGTAAGTCACTGACCTCATTGGCGATTTCAACTGTTAAAAAGATAAGTACTTGGGGGAAGACTCCCAGTTGGAAGTGGCTGAAGTGGCTCAGAGTTCTGGCGCTCTCCAAAATTGAAGAGTTTTATACGAAAACACGTGAGATGAAACCTAGACACGTAAGTTTTACCAGTTTTACCAGTTTTACCAGTTTTACCACCCAAAAAAAAGCAGATCATGGCATCCAAAATTGACCAAGATTTGATCACTTTGTGGTTCCATTGTTGGGCGCCACTGAGGGCGCGCGTCTCGGGGACCGAGGCGGGCAGCGCTTAGATGGGTCGCTTTTGCGATAGGGGACTTTGGATATAAAAATCATATCATTATATCTAATAGAATCTAATAGATATATCATTGGAATTATACAAATATAGACATATATATACATCATATATATATATATATATATATCATGGGAATAGTGGTAACATGTTCCTTTCCTGTCCTTTTCCATTTTCAAGGGGCTTGCGATAATTTCAAGCCAGGAAAAATCACCGCCTGGGCTGTTGGATTTGGGAGGTATCATCTCAGCCGTTTTAGTAGGAATTTATGTAACTTTTTGGCTAATTTCCCTAAGTATATGTATATGTATAGAATTATATATATCTATATACGTCAGAATCTAATGATTTCTCAATATACACAATTTCTGGGGAAACCAATCTCTATATTTTCACATGGAACTATACAATTATACAACACCAGCTGTTTAAGTGTTTTTTAAATATTACTGAATCTGGTCTTTACACATTTTCTGCAATCCCAGTTGGCCAGATTTGGAACAGGCGGTCGCAACGTTCCGAAGTGTTCACACGAACGGTCGGGCTCAAATCCAGGAATCGACCACAACGAGAGATGTCCACAGCAGGTGGCATCGCATCTAGCCGCAACACATGCCTTCACATCTGAAGACGTCAACATACAACCTACAACATCATACAACATCATACAACATCAATCATAGAACAGAAGACCCAAATCCTAGCTTTCATTGAATCTTCCATCAACAATCACATGCTTCAACGCCCTTAAACAGCCAAAATACCACTGATTGGTGCTATCATGGCGGATGGCCCGGGTCGCCCAATGTGATGCGCCGTTGAGGGTGGTAAACGACCTATCAAGCCTTGAAGGGCCCCATATACTTAGCAAGTTGTCTCACGAGGCTGTTGGGTTCATGATGGATGAAGGGACCATTCCTCCATCATCCCCATTTTTGACATGTCAAGAAGATCCATATGGTACTAGGTATGGTTGGTTTATGGGGTTTTACAGCACTGAGATGATATCCATGGCGGTAACGACTGTCGTAAATGGGGCAAAAAAATTGTGCGGTCGCATCCCTCCGAAATCCGAGCGAAATCCCGGAAAACGATCGTCCTCAGCCATTTTTGGGGCGCTTGAGATTCAGATAATCCAGATACATGCAATCCTGATTCCATTGGAGAATACTTGGGTGGCAGGCTCTCCAAGAATGGCAACTCCATAGGAGCCACGATGCAACGTCCCGTCTGATGATGATACACCGGCAGGGGTTGAAGCCATGACAGAGTCAGGCGACCCAATTTTGTTCACTTCAGCTGTGATAGTTAATACCCTTTGAGAAATTTTATCACACATGGTAACATAGCCCTAATAGCTGTGGGAAAAAAACACCTCTATAAATGAGGATGGATCAATACCTATTAATGCCATTTTTAGTGGGTTATTCACATCCATAAATCCCAGCTATTTTGATGTGAACAGAAGGGGTACTATTGGTTTTGACACTGCCAAATGAGGGTTTTTAATGAGAACATCACCTACTTGGTGGCTCATCCCACGGCTCGTAAGTGGGTTATAACCCCAGTGATTTACATGGGATAAGTAGGGTTAATCCACATCAATTACTGGGGTTATAACCCACTTACGAGCCGTGGGATGAGAACATCACCTATAAATGGGGGATGTGATCACCTCAGCGCTCAGGCTTAGATCTCGATGCTTTTCGAAGCCTGGAGAGTAATGATTTCCAGGCCGTGGCGCTCACGCTTTTTTAAACATGTCCCCAAGGTCCCATGGATATTCCAAGTAGAACTGCCCTAGAATCCATTGAAATATATTGAAATGAGCCACATGGAATGTTTTTCTTAGTCTTCCATGACGCTGAAACGCTGAGTTTCAGCCACATCCAGGTGGAAATTCGACCTGCACCCGGTCGCAAGAGGCCTCATGAGGATGTTGAAGTCGTAGAAGTCCGGTGGCACCAGTGCTGTCCAGGGGCGGGCTTCGCCACAAGGGGAGTTGAGTTTTTGCTGAGCCATCGGGATTTTACTGAAGGCGTTGGGGGGTTGCTATTTGCGAATGTACAAATGCATTTTCAACGTATTTTCCTGTTGAACATTGGTTAAAACTTGGTGGCCATCATAATCTCCCCATAATAGATTATTTTGGCTATATTTATCGAATTTTTAAAGGCCTTCGGAACAGTCAATATCGCACATTTCGATATTTTTGGTATTTTACAGGTCAAATACCACGATATGTATGATATTTTTATACTTGATAATAAACAAATAATATTTCTTCTTCTTCTTCTTCTTATTTTTAAACAGCATTTGATAAACATATTATTATTTACATGATTTATCATATTTGAAAAAATATGTGTTCAATGCAACAAGTTCCAAGTATCTGTATATAGATTGCAGAGTTTTGGGTTTGTTGTCAGGATTCGTGGGGGACGACGGGGGGGAGGGTAGGCAACCCTGACAAATAACTGGGGCACCCCAGTTATTAATTGATGTACAAAGCAATCCAACTCGACATGTATCCATCATAAATCCACGTAGCATATCATAAGGCAGTTGACCTTAGCCGTTTTGTTTCGTCAAATCACCATCGCTGTTAGTTAAAATCAAGCATCTGGTTTCAAATCGCCAAATTGATTGCTTATTAACAGTATCTAAGAATCCCTGGTGTTTCAGAAAAATAGGGGCGTACCAACAATCCCATCAAAATCCCAACATCTTTAGCCAACATCATCCAACATCCAATGGACATCCAATGGACATCCAATGGATGTCATGGGCTGGGCTCCGAGGTGGATGATGATGGCTTCGATGGCCCCCTCCGCGCGGATCCTGTGGATGCCTCCAGCTTTGAGCAGCCGGACGCCTCGGACGAGGAGCCATCGGGCCAGGGATGGGTCAAGTGGGGGGTCCAGGGCTGCTTGGAAGTGCAGTTTCAGAATATTTCAGATAAAAAAGAATATATATATATATGTATAATATATATATAATATATATATATATGTATAATATAATATATATATATATATGTATGTATAATATATATATATATATGTATAATATATATATATATGTATAATATATATATATGATATATATGTATAATATATATATGTATAATATATATATATATGTATGTATAATATATATATATACATAATATATATATATATGTATAATATATATATGTATAATATATATACATATGTATAATATATATATATATCTATATTATATATCTATATTATATATCTATATTATATATCTATATTATATATCTATATTATATATATATTATACATATATATATATACACATATATATATATTATACATATGTATATATATATATATACACATTACAACAGTAGTTTTCGATGTTATATCCCAACTTGTGGGAAAGGGAAGATCTACAGGAAAACCACCTCAAGATGGGATCAACCATGATCAACCCATCAAATTCAGGGTGCCTTCATGCAGGAAGATATCCGCGTTGTCCTTTGCGAGGGAGGGCCTCAGCCTCAGAGGGATCAGCACCACTTGGGATTTTCACCCATCACGGGGATTTCAGCGACAAACATGTTGATGATCTTGGTAAATCAGGAAACAAACATGGTGATGATCTTGGTAAATCAGGAAAATTAGCTCTTTTTCTAAATCCCCGAGGTGTTTTTTTCATTTTTTTAAAGACCACTGATTTGAAGAGCACCGGAACATCCTAACTTCCACTTTGGTGAGATCTACATGTCTGGATGGATTTTGTTCCGACAATGGCGGATTGTCGGGCTCTAAACATGGCACCAACCAGACCATTGCAACTCCAAGCTGCTTACCGTACTGCTTACCTTTCCTTCAGACTTTTCGGTAGGCCTGTTCTCTTGGTATACTTGGTATATCTTGTGGTAAGTATCTGATACGGGAATAGTACCTTGTATATCCTTGATACTTGGTATATCTTGGTATATACCAGTAGTACCGCACAAGGCGTTTGCGGAAGTTTCAAAAATAGGAAGTCTATAGGAGAGGTTGGCCGTTATGAATCACGGATGGCAGAGCGAATCCATTGATGGACCGAAAGGTGGTTGGAGTTTTTTTTTTTTGTAGTGGTTGCCATGGTAATGGTTGCAGTGGCCACCTCACCACAACTGCTGGATGCAGCGTGGTGTAGTGCAGTTGTAGTTGTAGTTGTAGTGTAGTGTAGTGGAGTTGTAGTTGTAATGTAGTGTAATTAGTGTAGTGTAGTTGCAGTTGCAGTTGTAGTTGTGGTGCGGTGTAATTAGTAATTAGTGTAGTGTAGTGTAGTGGTAGTTGTAGTTGTAGTTGCAGTTGCGGTTGCAGTAGTAGTTGTAGTTGTAGTTTTAGTTGTAGTGCAATGTAATGTAACTAGTCTAGTGTAGTGTAGTGTAGTTGTATTGTAGCGGAGTTGTAGTTGTATTTGGAATTGTAGTTGTAGCGTACTGCAGTGTAATTAGTGTAGTGTAGTGTAATGTAGTGTAGTTGTAATTGTAGTTGTAGCAGTAGCAGTACTAGTAGCAGCAGTAGTAGCAATGGCGCAAAATAATAATAATTATTATGAGAAGTAGTTGTTATTGTGGTTGTGGTGTAAAAAGTGTAGTGAAGTGTAAGCAGATGTAAGTAGTGTACTGCAGTGTAGTTAGTGTAGTGTAGCGTAGTAAATTTGTAGTTGCAGTAGTTGTAGTTCTAGTTGTAGTTGTAGTTATCTTTCTGTGTATCTATCGATCTATCAACCTACCCACCTACCTACCTACCAAATCTATCTACCTACCTACCTACCTACCTATCTCTCTCTCTCTGTCTCTCTCTCTGTCTCTCTCTCTCCCTCTCTCTCTCCATCTCTCTCCATCTCTATCTATCTCTATCTATCTCTATCTATCTCTATCTATCTCTATCTATCTCTATCTATCTCTATCTATCTCTATCTATCTCTATCTATCTCTATCTATCTCTATCGATCTCTATCTATCTCTATCTATCTCTATCTATCTCTATCTATCTCTATCTATCTCTATCTATCCCTATCTATCTCTATCTATCTCTATCTATCTCTATCTATCTCTATCTATCTCTATCTATCTCTATCTATCTCTATCTATCTCTATCTATCTCTATCTACCTCTATCTATCTCTACCTATCTCTATCTATCTCTATCTATCTCTATCTATCTCTATCTATCTCTATCTATCTCTATCTATCTCTACCTATCTCTATCTATCTCTATCTATCTCTATCTATCTCTATCTATCTCTATCTGTCTATCTATCTATCTATTTATCTATCTATCTATCTATCTATCTGCAAGCTGTTTTTTTTTGGAAATGGACACCATTAAAAACGCAGCAAGCCTGCGAGACTTCCTGAATTTTTGGAAGTCGGCGACATCAAATACGAAGCAATTCTGCGAGACTTCCTCAATTTTTGAAGTTGGCCACATCAAAAACGAAGCATTCCGCGAGACTTCCGGAAAGTTGAGTGCAGAGCTGACGGCCTCGTACCAATGCGTTTTGCAACTTTTCCGTTCCATCTAAAGTATTGCGCCTGCCACGAAAAAGTGAAGTCAGGTCATACGAAGTGCTGCACCTGTGACGCAAAATCATCTTGGCAAACCTGAAGATCTGATGCTCCAAAATGCAACCGCTCTCAGGAAATCAGCGCCCTAACCGCCTAACATCCCTGATGAACATGTCTCTTGTACTGCGCCCGCCACGGAGAATGCATCTTTGCAGATCCGCTTCAAATGTCCCACGCCTGCCAACGCTTTTGAAACTGCTACAAAACCATCACGTTTTGCTGATTTTTTTACAAGGTGCATAATCCCTTGCGCCTGCCACGCCAAACGACATCTGAACGTCGAAAAGTGGTCCGAACATGCTGTGCGTTTAACATTTTGACTTGGAAATTTGCTTCGCGCCACAACGCCGTGCACTTTTTCGACATCTCAACTTCCAAAAGTGCTTCGAGGCTGAGGTGTCTTATACATTTTGACTTGGAAATGTGCTTTGTGCCACAGCGGCGTGCACTTTTTCAACATCTCAACTTCCAAAAGTGCTCCGAACGTGAAGTGATTTCAGCTTTTTCACTTGCAAATGTGCATCCGCCACTTTTGCGAGCCTACTTTTTGACCCTCCGGAGCCGCAAATCATTGGAAAAACACGGTGAATCGCAACTTTACCTTTTCCCGCACCTGCGTCTTCTTTCTTCTGACTCTTTCTCTTCTCTTCTCTTCTCTTCTCTTCTCTTCTCTTCTCTGACTCTCCCCACCTCTGCTTGTCCATCTATTGTCGGAAGTTTGGACTCTAAACTTCCTTCGCTTATGGTAAATATCTCGCTGTTTGATCTTACTTGAGCCATTTTGAGTCCCACTCTTCTCAGAGTCCAAGGCCCAAAAGTGGTGGAATGAGCTACTACCTCAGCAGGTCAGGATTTCAGTGATCCCAATTTCTACCCCGAAAATATGCGGATTATTGATGATTATTGTTGGATATATATTATTATTATATATATATATATTATTATATATATATGTTCAGTATATATATATATATGTTCAGTATATATATATATAAATACATATACACACATATACGCATGGACGAATTATTGATAATGATTGTTGGATTATTGTTGGATTTACCATACGGGACTTGATTGGGACCATGGTTGCTCCAGTCAAAGGTAGGGTCATTGTCGGAACCCCTGTCGATGCCTTAAACTGTGTCTGTGGGTGAGGATCGCTAAATGGATCTTTGCATGGGTTTCATGAACTCAACTGCCTCCCAACCTCTTAGAAATCAGATGTAGGTTCATCCTTGTCTCATGGTTGGTGAATCAATCACTAAGTGCATCACGCCATCAACATCTTCACTGCATTGAAGTTGAAGTCCCATTTTTATTGAAGAACATCTTAGTTTGGACATGTTTGAAGAATTTCGTAGTTTCTTGGGCCCCATTTCTGACGCCAGACACTGGGAACGTCACGACGGGGAGGAAGAGAATGGACTGGCACTGGTGGGCCCAACGGTGACGTGACATGGGGCACCGGGGTAAGCAAATGGTAAACAACAAAGAGGGCGATTTATCAACAAAAAATTGGCTCTTAAACTAACATATAAACGCCAAAATGTATGGTTTTCTCGATCCAAGCATGAAGATTAACGTAAATTGTTTTTTTGACTGCACTTTGCACATATTTTAAAATAACGGGTAGGCAGTGTAATGTCAAGACACCATTCAAATTGAGGCACCATTCACCCCGTGGAAACTTCATGTTTGACAGTTGTTCAGATCCATAGATCCACTATTCAGATGCACTATATATACATATATGCATATATATATATATGTATATGTATGTATATATATATTATAATATTATAATCATGTACAATCATATTGCAGCGAACGTTCTTCCAGAGGGTTCCAAGTTGCGAGTCTTGAGATCTTCCGCCAGGTATCACCAGAAGAGCCAGAGCCGCAAGATGAGGTTCCCAGAAACCCAGTGGTCAGGGGGTCATTTTACCCACAAGGGGAGTTCACCCCAGGGTTTCTGGTGGATTCCAGGCCAGTTCTGGCCCCGGGCGCGTTCAACCGGCGCGCTTCGTTGTTGTCGCCATGGGTGGCCCGACCTTGTTCGATGACCCTGTGGCGTTGCACTGCAAAGATGCTGCGAAGCAATGGCTCCAAGCAAGCGACCCTTTGATCCAAGACTTTGGAGCCAGGCCACTGGGCTAAACTGGGCACAAACGTGATACAAGTCTTGGAAATGTGAAAACGCCATAGAGAATAGGATACAATGTCTGGTTGGTGGTTTGGAACATGACTGGATTATGACTTTCCATATATTGGGAATTTCATCATCCCAACTGACGAACTCATATTTTTCAGAGGGGTAGGTATACCACCAACCAGATGTACCAATGTTTGGGATTTGCTGGCTCAGATTGCCCACTTCGAGGGTTTTCTGAGGTTGATGGCGGTCCTTTCTTCCCAAGAGGTGTCGATGAGCCAAAGAGGTCCCCACGTGCCACCGGAGGGCCTTGTGCCAGCAGAGTTTCAGCACTATCCTTGGGATGTTGGGACTTTACTGGGCCCAGCTGAGCATAAGAATCGGAGCAATTTTCGAAGCGCACCCATGCGTCAGTTCTATGCTTTTGACGACTCGAATGGTGTGGGTTTGCGCCTGGGAGTATTTTGGACTGCTCCACAGTGGCACTACTCACTACATTCCTATAAGTCTTTGGAGCTACATCATCGGCTCAGGGGGAAAGGGCAGTACTTTACCAGAAATGCAGAGGAAGTGGTGACTTTACTGGGAAGCTAAGCGTTTTTTTGTTTTTATTTTTTGATTTGTACAATTTGCATGGAACACGGGGTGTCAAGACAGTCAAGAGTGGCAGCTAAAACAGATATTGCAGCTTTGTGAAAACAACCAATGAATAGAGGAGCATTGAGGATGATGAGATTCATTGTCTTCCATTCATCAACAATGAATCTATATTTACAATCCGCGTAATTTGTCGATACTTCCAAATTTTATCTCACCAGGAGGCGATTCCAATGGCTCCTGGTGACACCTATCTGCACCTTCCAAGCAACATCTATGGCTTTGAGTCTTGGGACGAGCCGCTCCTCACCTTGTGGGCGGAACGTGTGGTGGATCCGGGTCGTGTGCCACGTCTCCTCTCCGAGCTGCAGGTCATGGCCTCAGATCAGGTGACAACGACGTTGAAGCGGGCGGCACATCTCTGGCTGCAGTCTGAGGATCCAGCCGTGGAGCTGTTTCTGGGCTGGGCGAACACCGGGAGGAAAGCTCGGGGTTCGGAATGCGACTTTCAGGGATAGGAATTTCTTGGGGACTTATGAAATTTATCACTGGATCACCTATAAATGGAATGGGAATATGAATGGGATTTTCTAGCCTCTGGTCATCAAACATTTGACATGACGGCTTGCCGGAGAAGTCCCCGTTAGGGATCCAATAGATCCAACAGGTCTCCAGTTCCTGCGAGGGTTTCATTGTGGGATTACCCAGGTTTGGCCGGAAACTGCTGGTGATGCTCAAACCGCGGATGAAGTTGGTAGAGAAGCATGCTCCACCGGAAGGGATGGTGCCAAAGGACTTTCGCAGTGCTCCCTGGTATCCAAGCCTCGCGTACACCAGTTGCAATGATTCCACTCTGATAGAACTCAGAGACTGCATCATGTACAAGAGTGAGGACGCCATGTTTGGGATGTTCTATCTGCCACCTGGGGTTTATTACCCAGCACACCGCCATGAGCCAATGGAAATCTACCATGTGATCCAGGGCAAGGCGCGTTTCTTCCTGGCGGATGACGAGGCCGCCGCGCAGTGTTCGGCGGAGATCCATGGCCCAGCGTCTTGGGAATTGGTTGGCAATTTTTGTGACTTTGGTTTTCCATAACGAGTAAACGTGGAACGTGGCATCCAGGATCGATCTGTGAATTATTTGATGAAGTAAACATCCAACCATCAGCAGATCATCAGCAAAACAGCGGGGTGTCCACCCTTACCCCTTTCCCACCTTGGTCCACACCATTCCACACCTGTCGGGTAAGGAGTCGTTTTGGCTGCATCAGCCCTATCAATCTCATGGATTGCAGACCTTGGACCTTCCCGTGATCATCTGCTGGGGATGGATTGGAGAACTTGAGGATTCGGATTTTCACTATCTGCCTGGCAACTTGGGCCGAGAAGTTCCACTTCCATGGTTGGTCATATGGCTTTAAGTGTAGAACGTTGTCGAACATGTCTTTTCATATTTAATCTCTCAAATTTGGAATCAAACATCATCAAACATCTGCTTTGCCAGAGCAATCTGTATCAATCTGTCAAATTGTCGTGGAGAAAACGCTGGTTCTGATTCGAGAAGCGGACTAGGCCACTATGGAAGATGATGTTCCCAGAGCAGGGATGAAAGGGGTAGACTTCCATGTGACTTCCGTGATTGTTTCAGATGCTGTTGCAGAGTTGAAGAATATCAATGTCACAGATTCATTTGTGATGCCAGATCTGGGTCTGAAAAAAGGGGTACCCTCCGGCAATCAAATGTGGCAACTGAACATCCACCATTTATAGATGATTTTCATTGATTTTCACATTGCCATTTATAGGAAATTTTCATTTTCGGCAAGGTCCTCGCTTTAGAACGCGCAGAAAACCATCGCTTTAGAACGCGATGATCCCCAGTCAGCTAGATTATCTACATCAACTTCATTCACATTACATACAGCACTGCATCTCGTACATATCTTCTATATCCTTTACATCATCTACATCATCTATATCAACTTCATCTACATCACATGCATCATCAACATCAGCCACAACAGCTTTATCAACATCATCAACATCAACTTCATCAACGTCACCTTCCCCCCAAGTAAACCCTAGTCATGGCTAGTTGTGTTTTTCAGGACTCCCAAGGCAAGAGACGTAACGTAAGAGCCATTACTGTTGAAAGCATGACGTCTTGGGAAACAACCCTTTTTATGGCGCCTTTTTTTGGTACACACATCGCGATAGAGAACACGTAACCTCCCGGTCAGTTCCGCGCCGCTTTTAGTTGCCATGATGCCCTGGTTTTTAGCTGTGTTCTGAAGTGATCCTTTTCCCTTTTTCCATTGCCACATTTACCGGAGGGTAGCCCCAAAACTTGGCCGAGGCGATATCTTCCAACATGCCAAAGTGCCATGTGCCAGGCTGTGAGGATCGGAGGATTCCAAGAACTGCACCGTGTTCCTATTCACTGCTGCACCACGATATCCTGGTGGGGCGTGCCATCATGGTCACCGTTTTCGGTGAAAACGGGTGAAAACCCATCGATTTTTCACCTGCTTAGTGATTGGTTCCGTGCAGTCTGCGCAAGGAAAAAGTCTCCTGCAACGTTTGTGCTCTCCCAGGTACCTGACTGAACCACCTATGACTTGAAGTTGCCTGGTAAGGAAAATTTCTGGTACTAAAAACACACACATACATGCAGATAGCAAGTAAAAACAACCATCATACACCATCTTGATTTCAGAATTGCATTGCCAACAGCTTCCATCTGAATATCCCATTCATCTTCCATTCATATGCCACAGGCCACGGAGAACAAGATGTCCAAGGTGACCTTTCACATGGACGAGGTGCGGGAAGCGCTTTATATCCCATGGGAATTTCATAGGCCTTATATAGGCCTTATATATGGTAGGTACCTCCAATAGATCGGTTCCTGAAATGGCCATTGATTTATCATGATTTATCCAATGATAAAAATGGAATTTACCATTGGATACCATTGGTTAGCATGAATTGACTTAAATGATGACTGTATATTTTTTTCAAGTAATCTATCATCCAATTGATTATAGCCATATGGGTAATTACTAAATCCAACGTAATGATCAATCTACTAAATCATTGGTTTATTACCTTGAAGTACCATGAATTTGGGAATGTAACATACTGGTAATGTTAGTCACTAAATCATTGGTTTATGTATCAGTTCCATTGGAGAATTGATTAATTGGTTGATACTCTTATCTAATTCATAGATAACCAATCCACTTTTGGAGCTAAACTTCCAGCCATGACGCAGTTGGATGTTTTTGTGGACCAGGTCTTGGAAAGCTGGTCCCATAAATAAGGACCTGGAAAAAATCCCTGGTAGATGTTTACCTCTCAACATAGGATTTCTCCATCTCGATTTCCATGTGATTTCCAGTGTTCGAACATGTGAAAAAACGACATCCGAAAACTGGACATGATTTTTGCCGGTCCAAGCAGCAACTACTCAACTACCACTCGTACCACTGGAGGCCGAGTTGGCGGATGCTCCCTGGCGGGGGCCCATGGCGAATCAATCGGATTTCTTCAACTTTGGGCTGACGGAAGGTGAGTTCAAGGACCGCGGAACCATCCGGATCCATCCGGAGCTTGGCCCGGCGGCTGACGGAAGGTGGTTCCTTGCTCCGAGATGTTCCTTGTTAAGAGGGAACCTCTTGAGAAACCCATCGGGAATTGACATGAATTGACATGAATTGACATGAATTGACATATTTCAATTTGGGAGGATGATTTTAATCATGGAAGTCCTGCAAGCTAATAATATATACCCATACAGGACTAGCATTGACACCTGCTTGCTCAACAACCTATCCTGCTGATGGCAAACCCGCTGCTGAATTCGCTCTAGGATGCTGCAAGCAGGTAGAGATTGCTTGGTGACACAATGCTTCATTGCAGTGAGTCTTTTGAGTATCCTTTGTTTGTGTTTTCCATGCCCCTGAAGACATCCTTTACTGCCCCTGCAGCAAATGCGGTTTGGTATTGGATTGTGCGAATCATGCAGATCATGAGGTTGCCCATGTGTCGGCAATGTTGTTGCTTTGAATTTGGGTCGCATGCTCTCTTGCAACGAACAACATTTTGCGGTTTGTCAGTTTTGGTTTCCTTGGACTGTATATAGCTTTGTTGCATTCTGAGCTAAACTGCAGTGGTATTTGTGCATGTTGGTCGCAGTCTCTAATGTTTTCTGGCTGTTGTCTTGGGTGCCGTCTCGAAACAGCAATGTCAATGTGTTGTGCTATTGTTGTCAAACGAGTGTGGACGATTCAGGCACCGTTGGACTTCTGCACCGTTGAGCCACCAAGATTCCATACATATTGAGGTGGAAAGTAGAACTGGAAATGCCAATAACGTCCCTTCACCTTTCAAAGCGATGTCTTTGGAATGCGGCTGATGCGGGTCGCAAAAACTGCAGCTGTTTCGCCCAATGACCCCGAGGTATGTACTACACACATGGACATTCACATTCTTACAGACCGATGGATTTGATTGTGATGAAATCATGCATGGTAGGAGTATGTGATGAAGTCTATTCGACTTCGCTTCGAAGCGTGGAACTCAGTCAGACAGAGCTCGTGCTGGAGAAAGGTTGGAGGTTTCAAGGTGGGATGGCGGTTCAGGCTAAACCCTGCAAAAGGTGATGTTTATTGCGAACGATAACCGCTGAATAGAGCGAAAAGGTTGAGTTTACATCTATTTTACAGCCATGATTGTAGGATTTGCATGGAAAAATCCTATCCATTTGAAGGTTTCTATGTACGGGACCCAGGTTCGATGAATTCCCCCCAGGCAGCGAGCCGCAAGCGGAAGGGGAGCGATAGGACCCGATGAGCGCTGCCGTGTCGCAGGGAAAAAAAGCGGCGGGTGAAGCGACTTGGTGAGTCAGCCACAGTTCATCACAGTGGATGTTTCTGGCAATTTATAAGTTGGAAAACAGGCTAAGCAGCCCAAAACATCCCATTTTTCCATGGTTTTTCCTTTGGGGTTTCTGGTGCTATCGCTACCAGAAATCGGCTCGCTGCCCTAAAGAGGCGGTTGACGTGCCCAGTAGTCGCACCCAGCCGCGAGCTCAGCCTGTTGGGGATGGGTTCAAACCAGCAGAGCATTAGGACCATCCCCATCCCCATATCAATACGGATGTTTCTGTAACATAGAATCATATAAAAATGATTGTAAAACCATGTCAAATCCCAATCTGGTTGGTGGTTTGGAACATTTTTTATTTTCCATAATATATGGGAATGTCATCATCCCAACTGACTTTCATATTTTTCAGAGGGGTTGAAACTGCGAATTGCATATTCCCTATTTAGCATTCATGTCATGACTTTGCAATTGTCATTTCAATCAATGGGCATTTCACCATAGCCCTTTTTCCAAGCTCAAAGATCGGTCGGAAGACCGGTGAGTCCAACGTGAAGGACTTTGGAAAGAGAGTTAAAAGCGCAGGACCACTTGTCTGACCGTGGAGGACTTTGTGTGTCTAACGCAAGGAGTTTGAGGTGTGGACTAGTACCTGGCTTTTCTGGCCGCAGACGTGTCAGGACTGTCAGTGCTAGTACCCCCGATAATATTACCCGGGTGAACCTGTCGCGAACAGGTTATGAGCCCAACGCATGGGGACTCTGCTGAAATGATGCTCAGAAGAAGAAGGTCTGAGCCTGATGATGAAGAGTCAAAGAAAGACCAAACAGCGTCAAGCACCCGGGCAAGCGCGAGGAACCAAGGGGCAGAGATGGCTCTAGTGGCAGTGGATAGGGAAAGGGTTGGAAAGCCTTCACCAAATGGTCCTGTTGGGGAAGATATGAAAACCCCCTTGCCAATAGAAGACTTTCCAGCAGAACCTGTAGGATCCCCTAAGGCCCTAGGACCTAGGAACCTCCAGCCACTGTTCAATGAAGCTCAGCTAAAGAAGGCTGAGGAGCTCAGGTTGAGTGCACCACTTTTGCAGGGCCCAAGCCCCACCGCAGTAAGCCAGTCCACCGGCGGATGGGATGGGGGTTTGGCGGCAGGGAAGGTGGGAATGGGGAAGGAAGCTGACATGTCAGAGGGACCATCAAGGAAGGGTCCGGAAGTCTTGATGATGTCACCAATGGGATATCCCTTAGCACCTCAACATGGTTATGGATACGTGCCACACCCCACACAACAAGGAATGTTTGATGAGATGATGTGGCAGTTTCGACAAGAAATGGGACAAATGTCAAAGTCTCTCACCCAGCTTCAAGAAGAAAATTTGAGGTTGAGGATTCAGCTTATGGAAGAACGAGAGACTAGATACACAACACCTCCCGATGTCACTCCTGCTGAAGGTCTCCGTGACAGCGCCCGCCGTCAGAAGGTTTCAGGAAAGAAGCCCAAGTCCAAAGGTGTAGAAGCCAAGCAGGAAGACTTTGAAGCTTCGAAGCCAAAGGAGGATGCAAGTCGAGGAGAACAGGAGGCTGAGACCCCCAAAGCAGAGGAGGAAGTGATTGGAAGGAAGCTTGAAGAAGTTTCTAAGGAGGATGGTCCAGCTGGACAGCAAGAGTCCAGTGAGGAGAGTCAATCGATTCAAGAAGAGGAGTCGGAAGATTCAGTGAATGTGAAAGATCACAAAGGAAGATCAAAAAAGGAGGACACCACAGTGGACGTGATGCTCAAGTTGATGCAAGGGATGCAATCGCTGCAACAACAGCTCTTGGATCGAGAGATGATCAGGGGCCGACGGCTAACAGAGGACGATGAAGAGGAGCATGTGAGGAGCAGTGTAGAGCTGCACAAACTGCCGGAGTGGACAGCTGAGAATGCTCCGGTGGACTTACAGGACTGGTTGCTTCTCATCCATGCACAGATGTCGGATCTCACTACCAGCAGTTCAGAATGGTGGGATCTAGTGGTTGAGACTGCGAAGGACTGGTACCACAAACACCAAGCCATGAAGCCCATCGACAAGCTGAAGCATGAAGTCAGGGCACCACCGCAACTACAGCAGAAGAAATGGAGAAGGTTGGAGAAGAGAGGAAGCAGTTTGCTTCTTCAGGCCTTGCCCAGTAGTCAGCGTGATGACATTGTGGCAGGGAAAGACCTTTCAGTGTTGGCGATTTTGGCAAAACTCCTCAACAACTACCAGCCTGGTGGTTCCCATGAAAAAGCAGCAGTGCTGGCCGCTTTGGAGCTGCCGGCAGAAGCGGTGGGGATCGGCGAGGGCATCCTGGGACTACGTCGTTGGTTGAGATGGAAGAAAAGGGCAGAAGACATGGGCCTTCAGTTGCCCGATCCATCGGTCCTTTTGAGGGGCCTGGACCGGCTGGTCTCCAAGATTTTGGCTGGCAATCCAACCTTGCAGTTTCGCATTAACCTGACGAGGACAACACTGATGGTGGATTCTGTGCCCACTATGTCTTCCATTGACCAGTTGGCCGAATGCTTACTGGCTGAGATGGACCAGGTCTCCTATGCCAAAAAGAAGGAAAAGGCAGCCATCGCAGGAGTTCCTAAAGCTCGGAAGATGGAGGAGGCAGGAAAAAGAAGCGAAGTGCCTCAAGCCAAGAAGGGCGATGAGGGTAAGAAGGAGATGCCAAAGTGTAAGTACTTCCTGACGGAGAATGGATGCCGTCGAGGAAAAGCTTGCAGATGGGATCACAACCAGAAGGATGACCAGCGTCGCTGCTGGAATTGCGGGTCCACAAAGCACTTCTCCAACAAATGTCCAGTGAGTGAGGGCCAAGGAGAAGTCAAAGTGGCCAAAGCCGAAAAAAATGGCGAAGCCAGAAAGAAGAAGAATGATGAGGAGGACAATCAGTCCGAGCGAGCAGTTGCTGGAGCGGACGATATGAAGAGTCTACTGGAAGAAGCTGGAAAGATGCTGAAGGTGATTCCAGGAGCTTCGCAGGAAAGCTCATCGGTTGAGGAGACCGGTGATGCCAAAATCAGGAGACTTCAAAGACAGCTGGATGAGCTTCGAGCTTCTTCGGTGAGAGTGCTGCGATTGGCCAGGGTCCAAGCAGCTGTGGAAGATTTGGGACTCCTTGACAGCGGAGCTACCCATCCTCTTCGACCTCCAAAGAAAGATGAGGATCTGTCCAAATGTCAAAAGGTGAGGATCAATCTGGCCGGAGGAAAACAAACAATGATGATGCTTTCAGAAGGTGGTGCCATCATAGGCTCTGAGGATGTGGAGCCCATCGTGCCACTGGGAGCGTTGGTGGAGAACTTGGGTTGCTCTTTGCAATGAACCGAAGGCCATATGGTCCTGTATCACCCCTTCAAGGGGCAGATTAGCACCCAGCTCAAAGAAGGTTGCCCGATGATCAACAAGTCTGATGCTTTGGAGTTGATCGAGGAGTTGGAAAAGAAGGCACCCGAGCTGAGGAGTGTAGAAGGATCCGCAGCTGAAGCCTACATGCACTGGATGAAGCGCTTGGTAGAAGAACACCCAGCACTTCAAGGAGTTCCAAAAAGAATCACAGAAAGGTTGGTGATCAGCCCTAAGGAAGGACATATCACCGGAAACCGAAGCCGAAGAAAGCTATGGAAGAAAGAAGGAGGTGTGACGTTGTACCTCTATTCAGGACCCAATGAAGGGTATACTATGGCCAAGGCCATTCAGCTCCTCGGAGGAGAGAAAAGAAAGGTCATAGCGGTGGACATCAAGAACGGAGCCAAATGGGGTATGATGGAGGATGACCTCTATGCTGAGCTCATGGACATGGTCATCAAGGGCCAAGTGGAGTCCTTGGTGATGTCTCCAAATTGTCGCACTCGCTCAAAGCTCCGACACTATGAAGTTGAAGGAGTTGATCTTCCTGGACCGGTCCGAGAGTGGAACGGTGGAGAATGGGGAAAGAAGGGCATCGGAGAAAGAGAGGAGAAGAAGTGCCATGAGGATGATGTGATGCTCTTCAGAGGACTCATGCTCTACATGGTTGCCCAGGAGATCAGGAAAGCATCCCGCCACACCAAAGACATCGACCTTGTCTTTGAGCACCCCAGCACCCCGGCAAACATGCCACAGGTGGTATCGTTCTGGTCCACCCCCCAATGGCAAGCACTCAAGCAAGCATACGGCCTGTGGGAGATCCACTTAGACCAAGGGAAGCTTGGAGGAGGAGGGGTCAAACCCACAACGTTGGGCGGCAACTTGCGCATGCAAGTACCCAGCGTGGTCGTACCAGCACCACAACCTCGATGCACACATGGCAAAACAAAAGAGCAGATAGTGCAGGAATCCCAAAACCTTTCCAGATGGGTCCCTCTGCTTACCGACATGGTAGCATGCGCCCTGCTGGAGTCCCAAGGGATCACCCCGAAGTTGAGATCCTGGAGGACACATGTCCAACGATGCCACCAGCCTTTCAGAAAAGACTGCAAGGTATGTCAAGAGGCTGCAGCAAGAGCGAGACCTCACCGGCGTCAAAAACTTCCTCCAAGAGCTGGCGTTCTTTCGGTCGACATCGCCGGACCACTCACCAAAGCTCCAGACCTGGGCAAAGACCATGCTCGTTTTGTCCTGGTCGCGGCGTTCACCTGGCCTACACGCCTGAAGGGTGACGACTTAGAAGAGTTGCCCGAGGAGGATGATGAGGATGATTTCCCAGGATGGGAAGAAAATGAGGAGAAACCAAAAGAAGAGATAGGGTCCCAAAAGCCAGGAGCCAAGAAGCGAGGCAGGCCACGGAAGAAAGACCCTGAGGAGGAGTTTGAGGAGCTGCTGAGAAGAGAGCAGGAAGAACAGAAGCAGAAACGGCAGAAGGAAAAGGAGGCTGCAAAACCCCCAGGAACTGAGGAGCCCTTAAAGGAGGCCGCAGAACCCCCAGGAGTTGAGGAGCCCTTGAAGGAGGCTGCAGACCTCCAGAAGAAAGATGATGATGAAAAGGAAGGGGACTATATGACCCGGGTGGCGCCCGATGTTGAATATGAGCCCACTGAACCGGGCGAAGGCCCTTTCCCACAGGTGCCAGCACCAGATGTCCCTGAAGAGCAACAGGCACAAATACAAGTGCACCGTTTGGCATTCCCCTTGCCAGACAAGAGAGGCATCACGATCTTGAATGCCCTGATCGATGCCTACCTCACCTTGAGGAGTGAAGGCATGTTTGTCAACCAGCTCCACTCCGATTTAGGAGGTGAGTTCACTGGAGCGTACATTGAAAAGTGGTGCAGGGAAAGATGCATCCTCACAACAACAACCCCAGGGGTATCCCCTCAAACCAACGGCCGAGCAGAAAGGGCCGTACAAGCAATGAAGACAGAGACGAAGAAAAAATCCTGCGTGGCGCGCAGGTGGGTATCGAATGGTGGCCGATTGCTGTTCGATATCTCAATGAAGTATGGAAGAGAAACAGAACAGAGGCCATTAGGGCCATCCCACCGTTCATGTCCAAAGTGCTGATCAGAAGAAGGTATTGGCGCACAAAGGACATGGAACCCAACAACGAAGAGGTTCACTACCTCGCCCCATCCTGGCGGAACTATGGGCATTGGGTACTTCGCTCAGACAACACACAAACCTTGACCAGGGCTGTCATCACCAACACCGTGGAGCCAGTCACTGAGGACACGTGGATTGCCTTAGAAGACAATCTGACTCCCTTGGATCTTCGAAGGAGAATTCGAGGAAAAGCCATGATCAGAAAGGTACAAGAGGAGAAAGATGAAGAAAGCAGGCAAGACAGGCTGAAGCGGGAAAAGGTGATACAGGAAGAGGCAGAACATGCCTTCTATGATGATGAAGAGGTTGTTGAGGCCGTACTCAGGGGGGTGAAAGCCATGCAAGAGATGGATCAAGAAGATGAAGGAGAAGTGCTCCAAACGAAAATTGTGGGCACTGCCGAGGTGGTCAAAAAGAAAGACCTTTGGCATCAGGCCATTTCCAATGAGATCACTTCACTCTTCTCAGAAAAGAAAGCGTTGAAGCTTTTGACGAAAGAGGAGAGCGACAAGTATCTCAGAGAAAGAGGAGCGATTCCACTACCTTCCAAGACCGTATTTACGGTGAAGCCAGATCCGGCTGATCGTCGGGGAAAGCGAAAATGTCGCATAGTTGCATGTGGCAACTATGAGACTGGGGGTGGAGATGAAAACTGTTTTGCGGCAGGAGCAGATGCTGCTGCCCTTAGGCTGGCGCTTGCTCTGGCCACAGTTCGCAAATGGTGCGGAATCAATGTGGACATTCGCACCGCCTTTTTGAACGCTCCCTGGAGACCTGAAAAGGGGGTGAAGACTGGTTTTTTGAAGAGGAAGGCGAAGAAGCTCCGCTCCCAATGCTTCTTAGGCCACCGCCAATTTTGGTCAAACTTGGCTACTTTCCTCCCTATCAGCTCTGGGAGGTTTTGCGAGCTCTTTATGGCTTCCGGAGGTCTCCGAAACTCTGGAAGGATTATAGAGATGAGGAGATGGAAAAGATGAGAGTTGGAAAGATGAGGTTGCATCAGCTTGAATCAGAGCCGAGTACATGGGCCATCCGCCAAGAAGAAACTGGCGATTTGCAAGGGCTCATGCTCACCTATGTTGATGACATTTTGGTCCTTGCCTCAGAGGAGACTGCAGAAGCTTGGATCAGCTGCATCCAATCCAAGTGGGAAACCTCCGTCCCTGAGAAGGTGGGCTGTCAGCAAACCACCCGGTTTTTGGGTATGGAGTTGTCTCGAGATCAAAATGGAGTGTGGTGCGCCACTCAACACTCCTACACTTTGGATCTCTTGCAGAAGAACATGGGGATGGACAGACAGAAGTGGGGATTGAAGAAGATTCCCATGTCAAAGGAGGATGGAAGTTTGGATAGTGATGGTGAGGAGGATGCAGAAAAGACAGTGGAAAAGGTTCGAGAAGCACAGAGAATCGTAGGTGAGCTGACCTGGCTGGTGACCAGGTGTCGCCCCGACATCATGTACGTCATGTCCAGAATTTCCAGATGGACCACCAGACGACCTTCCAAGGTCATTGCTGCAGCGCCTCAGATCTGGAAATACCTTGCGAATTCCATCCAAGAAGGGATTCGCTTTGGAGGAAACGAAGATGGTTGCCTAGACCTCCTGGTCTACACTGACGCGGCCTATGGAAATGAAGGCCACGGATGTTCAGTGGTGATGTGGCTGGGAGCTCCAATTTTGTGGCGAAGCTCGCGCCAACAACTTCAAACCGCATCCACAGCAGAGTCGGAGCTGTTGGAGATTTTGGAAGGAGGAGTTTTGGCAGAGGCAGTCCGAGTAGTGGTGGAAGAAATTTTGGAAAAGGCAGTGCGATGTTGGCAGTACTCGGATTCTGCCTCAGCCATCGCCATAGTTGGAGGCGACAGTGCGTCCTGGAGGACGCGCCACTTGAGAAAGAGGGCTCGCTACATGAGATGGCGGGTGCTGAGTGGAGATGTCATCCTCCGACACACTCCAGGCAACGGCATGATCGCCGACCTGGGCACCAAAGCTTTGGCGGCATTGAAGTTGGAGGAGCTGAAGAAAGCCATGGGCATGACAGATAGAAAGATCAAAACAGAAAAAGAAAAGGAAGATCTCGGTGTGGTGAGAGGGCCTACCGAAGAAAAAGAAGAGAATGGCGTGGTGAGAGAGCCGGCCATAGAGACGAAAGAAGCGAAAGGAGGGATAAAGTCCCCAAAAGATATGGTCAGGATGGCGATGATCATGGCCATGCTCAGCCGAGCGAAGGCCGAAGATGAAGATGGAGATGCAGGAGAGGAATCATCCATCTTCTTTGACATGATGATGGTATATACAATAGTGGTGGTGTTGGTCACGTTGGCCATTCAAAGCGGCTGGCAGCGACGACTGCTCAGGGCTGAGACGGCTGTGGGATCAGATCGATCCCGCGGCGAACTCGCTCAACGGAGTGCCAGGACATCGGGTCTGATGACCGATGGTCCAACCTCCGTCCCGGGTGAGACGGTTCTGGGATTCGGTGGAGGAGACCAATCTCGGGACGAACTCCCCAGGGGAAGCAGTCAGTTGCTCGGGAGTGCCAGGACATCAGGTCTGACGTCACAGACTGGTGGTCCAACCTCCCTGCCGGGTGAGACGGTTCTGGGATTTGGTAGAGGAGACCAATCTCGGGACGAACTCCCCAGGCGAAGCGGCCAACCATCTGGGAGTGCCAGGACGTCGGGTCTAGCGTCACAGACCGATTGTCCAACCTCCCCGCCGGGTGAGACGGTTCTGGGATTTGGTGGAGGAGACCAATCTCGGGACGAACTCCCCAGGCGAAGTGGCCCACCACTAAAAGAAGAAAAGGAAGAAACACCAAAGGCTGTAAAAAGAGCCAAAAGTATGGGCCAGTCTTCTGCGTCCAAACAGGACGGACAGAAGAACACTTATGGCCAACCAGCTTCAAAACTGGAAGCTCCGCTACCAGAAGATCAAACAGCCTCTGCAGGAATCCAAGAACCAGCGATTCCCAAGGCGGCAGCAGAAAAGAAAGAAGTTGCTCCGCCACCAAAAGTTTTGCAATCAAAGTCAAAAGGAAAGAAAGGTGATGAAAAGAAGCCAAATGAAACGACCTCAACAGGGATGACGCAGATCAGAACCAACCATGCTGCAGCCGAGCCAAAAGTTGCAGCTTCCTCATCCACCAGCACTGGTGCTCAGATCCCTGCGGATCCATCTTCCAGTGCTGCCCCATCGATTGACCTGTACTTTACAGGCCTTGGAAAGAAATATCACTTCCGAAAGGATTGCTACGGGTTGAGAAATTCACAGATGGTGCGACACACCGATATCTGTGAGCAGTGTGTTCCTCAACTTCGCGGATGGCATCCTCGAGGGAGAGACATGTATGGAGCTGGATTGAATGGACCCCAGCACACCGATGTGACTCACTGCGAAAAAATGCATGGATATTCCATTGCGTATCAGCCGTGTAATTGGTGTGCGAGGCCAAATGAAAGCGAAAAGTGAAAAAAGGTGCGATGACATGCAAAGTGAAAAATTTTGGAAAAGAAGAGCGGAAAAAGAACATCTGAGAGAGGGCTTGAGCTTTGAATGTAACACTGTCGTGCAGATGGTGTGAGATATATTTTGCTTTTTTCGTGTGACTGTGCCTCTAGCGAAACACAGTCAGGGGGTGTGCGAATTGCATATTCCCTATTTAGCATTCATGTCATGACTTTGCAATTGTCATTTCAATCAATGGGCATTTCACCATAGCCCTTTTTCCAAGCTCAAAGATCGGTCGGAAGACCGGTGAGTCCAACGTGAAGGACTTTGGAAAGAGAGTTAAAAGCGCAGGACCACTTGTCTGACCGTGGAGGACTTTGTGTGTCTAACGCAAGGAGTTTGAGGTGTTGACTAGTACCTGGCTTTTCTGGCCGCAGACGTGTCAGGACTGTCAGTGCTAGTACCCCCGATAATATTACCCGGGTGAACCTGTCGCGAACAGAAACCATCAACCAGCAATATTTGGGAATCCGATTATTCTATGACCATCAAACATTGAGGCTTTTGGGTTGATAGGACCGGGAACTGTGGGGATTGAACCACAGCAACCCGCCCATGGCGTGACAAACGAGCAATGGACACTATGATGCATCCTGGATTGACAATTGCGGATAGTCTTGCGCTCATACATACATACATACATACATACATACATACATACATACATACATACATACATACATACATACATACAGCATACATTACATTCCATTCCATTCCATGCCATATGCCATATGCCATCATAGGCCATCATAGGCCATCATAGGCCATCATAGGCCATCATAGGCCATCATAGGCCATCATAGGCCATCATAGGCCATCATAGGCCATCATAGGCCATCATAGGCCATCCCATCCCATACATACATACATACATAAATACATACAATAAATACACATATATATATAATAGTATAGGAAATACATGCCAATGATGCAATGGTCAATAGCTCATGTGGGCGAAACCCATACTTTGCAGGTAACATGATCTTAAGTCCAGATTCTTGGTATCCAACCATCCCCACCCAAATCATCCCAGTTCACCCCTCGAAATCCGCTGCTTCCAATCTCAAGCGTTCCAGGAAGAAACAGGTCACTTGGAAAGCAAGGTCGGGATGCTCAGCTCCAGCGAAAAGGGCATCCTGGATCCAACAAGTGATGATTTCTTGATATTGTTTGGGGGCTCCAAGTTTTTTTCCGACACACGTTTGAACATTGTGGTGTTACCCAGAGATTTCAGTCCTGAAGGTCCAGGCCTAGCGAGGCAGGGTCCGCATCTATGTCGTCCATGTCATTCTGTGTCTATTGGCAAAAACCATGGTTTGCTGAGAAAAAAACCCTTTCACCAATCCATTGAACGATGTTTTGAAGCGGGCAGCACGCAAGGCACGTGAAGCAGGCTGGGCAGTGTCCCATAACTGGTACTCGAAATTTGGGACACTAAAAAATCACCCAATAGCAGGCACTCCTGTGAAAACTTCCGCGATCATTAACCTTTGGACTCCAAATCCCTTGGTGATGCTATGAAATACTATTTGAGGCCAAAGGCACACGACATGGAGAGATTCCATCCTAAATCGGTGGGATAATGGCAGCACTGGACTTTCACATTGTTTTTTTATCGGTGGCTGGATCACCAACAAAAATCTGGTGGCTCATAATGTTCATATACCATCTGGTTATTTAACATAGCCATGGAAAATCATCTATAAATGGACCATTTTCCATGGCTATGTTAAATAACCAAATGGTATCCTCAACATTTGCCAATTACATCGCCAGTCTCTGTCCGAATCGCGAAAAAAACAAAAAAAACTTCCATTTTGGTCGGAAACTCACCAAAGAATTCCGGCAGGAAGGAATGATCGGAAGGATCTCGCGAGAGGACGCAAGGAGACCAGCATTCAACTTAGAGTGAAACCGTTGCCTCCCAGTATCTGGGTTGTTGGGAGCACCCTGGACAGTGTCAAACAAGTACCTCTGAATTAAGCATTGGTGGAATTGTATGTATCTATGCATTTTAGGATCCCAGCAATTTAGGGAAGCCATTTCCCACGACTTGAGGTGTTTATGGTTGATTCTGAAGGCTCTTCTCCCGCTGATTTGAGGTGAGGATTCTTGACCATTGATCTCAATTTCTCGCTTTTGCTCTCTTGGCTGATGTGTACAGACATGTCCGCTGGGAGTGACCATTTTAACGTTGTGACACCAATGCACATGCCGAAGTTCAGACCCAGACCTGCCTGAAAACAATTTCCGAAGGCAGTATTTTCAGGGAACCAAGCATCTTTGAAAGGCACAACACTTACTTTCAGTCAGATTCAGATGACCCTATTCCCATGATCTTGGATCCCTGGAAGCGACAGCTCACATTTTGCACCAAAAAGGCTGCACCGCACCGCGAGCGGTTTGATGCGCCCAGCTGAGTGGATTGCGAGTGATCCGCAGGGATTGTCCTAGACATGTCTCACGACTTCCCCGCAGATTTCAGGGTCAAACAAGAGTGACAAGAGCGTCGTCATGGGACTTCTAGAACTCAGGGACTTGGCAACATGCAACTACTAGCAATATAGATCAATCATGCTGGAAATGGATGGAAATGGTCCAATAAGAACAGTTGCAGCACAAGATCTTCTTTGGAACTGCCCGTGGTAACTGGCCTGCCTCTGCGGTGGCAGGTGGGATGGGCCATGATGGGCCTTGGAGATGGTTCCAACTCCATGAGTTTTTTCGGTTCCAAAATGGGCACCCCCATTTTTTGGGGGGGCCTCATACAAGATTGTCAGATACTGATTGTGGGAAAAGAACTCTGCAAAATCCCAGTTGTACAAGAAGGGCACCCCCGGATAGACAAGTATACGTCTATATATGTACATGTTGTATACATATCCATTAAATAAATATATACATGTATATGTATATATATATATATATCCATCCATGAAACACATATATATATATATTATATCCATCCATTATATATATATATAGTTATATAAATACAATACATATACCGTCCCAACATTTCTATGGTGAACTAACCATAGCTGACCCAACTTTAGCCCATGGCCAGGTCGAGTCGCGATGCTGGGCTATGCAGGCTATGACTCCGAGGAGGAAACGCCAGGTGCGTTGCAGTTTCACCTGGAAAAATTGGGGTAGTTTCAACAAGAACGATGGGATTTAACCGTAAGAAATGGTGATTCAGCAACAAACATGCAGATTTAACATGATTTAAACATGAAACATGAATTTTAAGTGTCCAAAAAGCAGGAGATTCATAACCGAAAACGCGGATTTGAAGCAACGGAAGTGGGATTTCAAGCATTTGAACACGTTGGGGATAAGGGAAAGCCGTTTTTGTTGTTACCATAAGGGGTACATGGCTATTTCTAACGTCCATACCCACTGATGGGTTCGCTAAAGTCGCTAAACATACCGATAATGATGGGATTTCCGGGCTGCCGGAAAAAATTCCCATGACTCTCCCCAAATGCCCAACAAATGGCTGGTGAATAGTAATTTTGGCAGGTCATGGTTGGCATTTGTAAGATGCTAAGGGTCGTGAGCATGTAGAGATCCTGATACGAAGGCGTGTTTTTGTCAGTGTTGCCCATCGTCCATTTGGAGGTGGGTGTCTGAAGGTCACAGACTGCCAAATAGAACAGTTCCCCGTGAAGCTTGAAGGTTTACCCACTCGTAAACTAACAGTTTGCTATTGACAATGGCCATTTTGGCCATTTATAGTTGATTTTCCCATTAAAAATTGTGATTTTCCATAGTTTTTTGTATGTTTACCAGAGGGTATATAGGTTGGTTCCATACTCTTACAGCACCTGCGCTCGCAGATGTGGTTGAGCCACCGGCGAAGCACTCCTGTCACGCTTAATCTTTGGCGAGCGCTAAAGCAATGGCGATGTAGATAAAATCTAGCTGGCAATTGCAGATCATTTTTTACACTTCTCAACATGTATCAACAATTTCTTTTACATCAGAAAAGGAAGCCGGAGTTGAGCAGTTTCACATCTGAGCATGACAACTTTCCGTTTCAAATCGTGAAATGTGTGAGTATCCCAGAAATTGGGAGGCCACATCTACCAAAAACCAAAATCGGGGTGCAAAAACGGCAGCTGTTTGTTGTGTTTGTTCCTTTTGTAGTCATCAGCCGAGCGTGATGTTCGGTTGGCGTTGGCCGCCGATCCACAGGCGAGCGTGTGTGGAGACGGTTGCAACAGCTGCGAAGGCGACGTTTGTCAACGTCGTCGCTGATCCAAAGGTGATGGCTTTAACGTTTAAAGATGAGATATAAAAACTACCCTCTGGTAATTTAACATAGCTATGGAAAATCACCATTTTTAATGGGAAAATCCACTATTAATGGTTATTTTCAATAGCAAACCGTTAAATTACCAGAGGGTATGGTTTGCTGCCCATCCCAAGATGTCCATTGGTTCTGGTTTTGCCACCGCATCTGGGGAAACGTCGATAAAAGTTGTGGGTTGAGAAAACGGAACAAGTCAACGATGAATTGCACATAAACAACTGTTTGTCTGCTGCTGTTGTTGTTGTTGTTGTTGTTGCAATGGCTTTGTGGTGATACGCTGCCTTCACCTGTGTTTCCTGACACGTCCCTTTGTAGGCCAGGCTTTGTGTTTTTCTGGGCTTGAAGCCACCAACCGTTTATTAAATGACAGCTTGTTTGAACCATGACCACAAGCCTATGCCCAGGCTGTGGCTGCAGTGCCCGCGCAACTGTGCGGCCCGCAGATTTCTCGGGTGATAGGCCCACAAGGCCAAAAATGAAGGCCCAACGTTTCATCCCTCGACAGCAACGAAAACGGGATCATTTTTTGCCCAAGAAACGGTGGTTTCTGCTATGAATTTTTGGCCAGTTCCAACCGTTTGCGACCGGGAATTTTCATGGTTCCGGGACATTACAAAAATCATCCCACTAGGCCGAAACGACATTTTCCGAATCTCGTGTTCTTTTTTTTGGCGGAAATGTTCCCCCCTCTTGAACCTATTTTTTGTAGTATTTTCCCTTGTTAAAAGTGGAATTTCCCAGCCAACCAACAGGTAAGTTTGTTGACCCGGTTATAAAATGTTATAAACAGGATCGATCCCGATGATGTGGGCGTTTCTCACACCTAAAGCACACAAAAATCATTCTTTTCGCTTGTGCAACATCCCCCTTTAATAAACAATATAATATAATAATATAATATAATAAACAATATAATATAATAAACACTAATATATACATATACTGTAGATACTTACAAACATGTTTGTATATATGTACGCATAAGTATGTGTATGCGTACCCGTATCCGTATATGTATCGATAGATATATATATATACATACATACATGTAAATGTATATGCATATGTTTCTGTATCTGCAGTCTGTAATATGTAACGTGTAATATGTAAAACACACACACATAGATAGATAGGTAGATAGATAGATGGATAGATGGATAGATGGATAGATGGATGGATAGATGGATAGATGGATAGATGGATAGATGGATGGATGGATGGATAGATAGATAGAAAGATAGAAAGGTATAAAGGTAGATAGGTAGATAGATAGATATAGAGATAGAGATATAGATAGAGATATAGATATTTACGGGCCATTCCTAGGTCCTGCACTTCCGATCTTTACGAGGCATAAGGAGGCGCCCAAGAGACTGCACCAGCAAAAGTTGCGAGATCTGAAACGCGAGGAGCGACGTTTCACGGTTCCTCTCAACCACCTGGGTCGTGAATTATCAGGAGGGCTGGCCGACATCACAGAAAAACAAATGATGTTTAGGATTGAAGGGGTTCCCCCAACCCGGAAAGAGCATCACTTCAGGTTGGTATTTGATTGTCGGTATTATGAAAAGGCGGGCCAGAAGCAACTGTTTTGCCCAGTTAGTTTTTGCCCTGAAAACTGATCCATGACGTAGTCTTCAACCAACATTCACCTTAAAGGGCACCATCCGGGATTCCCATCGTGGAGCCAGATTGGTCTGGCGAGAAGTGCCACGGCGGTTGTGCAGGCCGGGGCCATTTTTTTTGTTCAGACTGGCAGAGAGTTTCCAGTTTATTGGTAAGTGAAAACATCATTAATTCACAGTTTAATGATGTCTTTGGAGAGTTAGTATTTTTTTGATCTAGTCTAATTGGATGTCTAATTTAAGGACTGTAGTAACATCGGCGGCTCAGGTCGTGCGACAACATCTCTCCACTTGTTCGGTTCCTGGAAATCCTATGAGATCCGATGTGCTTTGATATGCAGAGACTATAGATTTTATTATAGATATCATCCATGGATGATTCTAGATATCTGGTTTGATGTGGTTTTATAAAAATATCAATCCACAATCCACAAACATCCATGATTTTATAAATATCCACTTATATATAGATATCATACTAGATATTGAATCCAAATGGATGTTTTTTCGATTGGAACAGAGGTTGGGACCTGCGCTGGGGTGCCGAAGCGCTGTACCAAGTGGCCAAACGCTCCACGGCACGAACCCGTCAGGAGACGGGACCCTTGTTTCAGAGGCGACCAGGTGTTTGTTTTTTTTTGGATCGACATGTTGAAAGCCACAGACATATATTTCACCATATCTGATGATATTTATGGATTCTGCGAAGAATAGCAGGCGTGGATTCTGTCTTGAAAAAGAGGTTTGGTTGTATCTTTCAAGCTCGAGATCTCGGGTTTTTACACCAAGATCAAACTGTGCATTTAGAAATAGAAAGATAACCCTGATTGTTTTCGCATCTTTTGGTTACCGAAACAGACAGCCAGAGTCCAGTTCTGACGACAGCATGACCTTCCCGGATAACATCGCTGAGTGTCAGGAGTGGGCCGAGGATAAGGCTGTCATGAAGTTGGCAGAGAAATTGAAAGAGGAAGCCACAGATGCCACAGCATGTTGCTTTACTCCAAGTGCTCGGAAAGCGCAGGTAGAACATCATTTTAGCCGCAGGTAGAACAGGTCAGATGCATCCATGGCATCGATCTGGACAGCCCCAATGACTTCCAGTCGTCATGACCATGACTTCGTGACTTGAAACCCAATGGTGACGACTTGGGGACGGCCAATGAATTAAGAATTTCCCATATATGATTTATAATCAATATCTCAATTCTTGTATGTTGTTGTTCCAACTCTGGGTCTCAGTTTTCAAGCACTTCTTCTTGTAGGGGTCATCCCAGTATACTCTGTTTTTCTGAACATGCCATGGCCATGGCTCATGAGGTACCAGGTAGAGACCAAGTTCAATTGCTTTCAAATGGTCCCCAAAGCACGAACCATTCCCATCAACAATTCTAGTGTTCAAAACTTTGTTCCAACTTGGTAGACCGGGGTGACTCATTTCGAGCAACACCGATCTGTCCATATATGTCCTGATATTTTGATCACATCTTTCTAGCCATTTACCAATGTCAGAGATCCACATTCCATGGTCCTGATATGCAGAGGCAGACTCCGCTCAGGGTTTGGAGCTGAGTTGTGTCACTTCCAGCCCAGACGGATTCAACCAACACGACTGGATAGTTGTTTTTTGCTGAAACCTGGGGGACAGTGCTAACCAAAGGCCCTCAACAGTCCAGTCGTCGAAAATTGGAAGTCTCCAAAACTCCCACAGAGCTGTAGAAAATGCAAAAAATGAACAGCTCCAGAGTTGGAAAAAAGGCGAAGCTGACCTCATCTTGTTGGCTTTAGAAGCCTTGCGACGCATGGCTCTGCAGGTGGGAAGTGGGATCAGCTGGAGGTTGATAGCGATGACTTAGATCATTGGGTGCCCTAAAATGGATTTGCCAAACATCATCCAACATCATCTCTAGTTTGAGTCTGATATATATATATATATTTTAAAAGAATCATTTTTGATCACTGAATGGTTCAAACGAAGTAGTTCCCTAGAATGCAGAGAGGACTAGCTACTGTGCTCTATTGGATTAACATGCAGGTCTGGGGGAGGAACACTGGATACCCTGTGAAAATGCTAGTGAAATTAAATGGTCCATGTGGAGGTTTCCTAAAATAGGGGTACCCCCAAATCATCCATTTTAATTAGATTTCCCCTTATAAACCATATATTTTGGGTCCCCCCCATTTTCAGGAAACCTCCATGTATTCGGAGGATTCTGGAGGTAATTTTATATGTCCACCAGGAGCCGGCAGATCAAAAAGCATACCTTGAGGCTGGGATCTTTCAATGGCTGGGGGAATGGTAGGCAAATGGGTTGATTTTTGGCCATATTATGGATCAGATTGACATGTGTGCAAATATCTTTAGCCTGAATATTTTTTGTTACTTCCAGGGTTTACCATCCTTGAGAAACTTTGGCTCCGCAATCGCTGGGATGGTAGCCATGGCTAAACATCCTGAGAAACCCTGGGTGGAACGTGCAAAATCTGTTTCTTTGTGGACTCCTGTTATGGAGGGGTCTATCAGGAATGGGATTCATTTTCCTTCCGGACAGATGCCTTGTTCCCCAATCTGGGAGTCTCTTGGTCTCGGGTTCCAAATCCCCTGTGATCCTCGCCACTTTCCAAATTGTCCACTTGACCATTTTGGATCCAGATTTGGTAAACCCGCCATGTCTTGGGATATCATCCCAGCAGATCAAACCCAATCTTTTCACTTCTGTTGGTTCTCTCCCCCTTTGTTGGCTAAATGACACTTCTTGGTAGGTTGAATGAACCCAATGCATTCAGGTTTATCATTTATGCATATTCACACAAATGATACCAGCACCCCCACACACAAATGCAGTATTTAAGAACTACTACAATCTATCAGTGCGGATATATCATGTCTATATGTCTATGGTATGTGTGTGTATATATATATATATATATATGCTCGGGGCCCTAGGTTTCCGCAGAGTATCTTGGTTCTCATTGATCCATATGTCAAAAATCATTGTTTCGCCAAAGCGAAATGTGGATTTTGCACATTCTTCTTTCTCTTTCTTTAATGACAATGTTACGGAGCTAAATTTTTAGGCCCGCGCAAGTTGCATGTTATGACATGTTATCCACAGTACATGTCAATTGCGATTTTCATGTTTTCCTACACAAATTACCACTTTTCATGAATGTCTTTGTTTTTTTAATCCGGAATTGTCATTTTTTACTGCGGCACGTGGGGTAATATGAAGAGGTGTCTTTTTTTATTGGTATTTGCAGTGAATTTTAACGTTAGCATGAAACGGCACATGTTGATAGTCAGCCTTTTTTTTGCTCGTTGTTGCTTCAACTTCATCAGCCTGCTGCAACATGTTCTTTTTCAAAGTTTCTGATTTTCTTGTTTTCCCACTCGAAATAGCACATTTCATGAAAGTCGTTGTTTTTTTTTAAGCGGAAAAGTACTGTTTTTACTGCCACTCGTGGTGTAATATGAAGGGCTGTTTCTTTTTTAAATTGGTATTTGCAATATTTTTTTATGTTAGCATGAAACGGGATATGTTGATAGTCACGTTTTTTCCTCGTTGTTGTTTCAACGTCAACACCCTGCTTCAACATGCTGCAACATGTTCTTTTTCAAAGTTTCCACGTACCATGAACATGACGTTAACATGCCCCACCCCACCCCACCCATCAACGTACCATGAACATGACCTTAACATGCCCCACCCCACCCCTCCCATCAACGTACCATGAACATGACTTAACATGCCCCACCCCACCCCACCACATCAACTACCATGAACATGACCTTACCATGTCCCCACCCCCCCCTCACCATCCACGTACCATGCAACATGACGTTAACATGCACCACCCCCCACCCCACCCATCAACGTACCATGAACATGACCTTAAGATGCCCCACCCCACCCCTCCCATCAACGTACCATGAACATGACGTTAACATGCCCCACCCCACCCCACCCATCAACGTACCATGAACATGACGTTAACATGCCCCACCCCACCCCTCCCATCAACGTAACATGAATATGACGTTAACATGCCCCACTCCACCCCTCCCAATCAACGGACCCCTGAACATGACACTTAAAATGCCCCACCCCCCCCTACCATCAAGTACCATGAAATGCCCGTAACATGCCCCACACCACCCACCATCAAGTACATGAACATAAACCTTAACATGCCCCACCCCACCCCCAACCCCACCCATCAAACGGTACCATGAACATGACCTTAACATGCCCCACCCCACCCCACCCATCAACGTTACCATGAACATGACCTTCTTCTTAAACATGCCCACCCCACCCCTACCCACTCAACGTACATGAAACATGACCTTAAACATGCCCCACCCCACCCCTCTCATGAACGTACCATGAAACATGACGTTAAAATGCCCCACCCAACCACCCCACCCCCACCCATCCAACGACCGATGAAACATGGACATTAACATGGCCCCACCCCAACCTCACCCATCAACGTACCATGAACATGACGTTTGTGGTGCCCCACCCCACCCCACCCATCAACGTACCATGAATATGACGTTAACATGCCCCACCCCACCCCACCCCTTGCGGATACCTGGGGCCCCGAGGGTGTATATATATATAATTATATATATTTATGTACATACATATATACACAGGTATACATACACATGTATACATACGCACATACACATATACACACATATACATATAAACAATTATATATATATACAGCTAGGTATATTACAGACATAGATGTGGAATATCTCCATGATCTCCGCCGCACCAGCGTGCGATCACCTCCATGGTGCGGAACCAGTGGCGAAATCCGGTGAAGAGCCAGGGAAGCCAAGTGGAAAAGCTCCGAAATCCCAGAGCTGCAGGAGAAAACGAACTCATAAAACATGTGGTTTTGATAACATGAATTAACTAACAAATCTAGAAATTTCTCAGAATCTGAAGCATCGATGTTTTTGGATGTTTTTTTATTTTGACCAATTTCACATTCGGAACATTCAGACGTGAGTTGCGACATGAGGATGTTCTGCCACTCGCCTGTTCCAACATCCTTTAACTAGTTGACAAGTGGTCAAAAAATCAGCCACATAGGTGGACATGTCGCATATTCAGCTGGGTGAAGAGCACGTGTTTACTCTTTTTTGGTATTAGATGGGATTCACAATATGTATATATATATACATACACACATATAGCGTATGTAGATGTATACATACTTGTATATACACATGTACATTTGCATATGTCTAATCTCTACAAATGCACACACACATGTATATATATATATAGATAGATAGATATACATATCTGTACACACTACATAAATAGAACATAGACACACATCTCCCGCCAAAAGGATCTCTACTTTTTGGGGATCACGGCCCCTGAGGTCTTGCCAGACTCTTTTGGCTGGGAGCTCCTCTGTCCAAAGAAGGCGACGGAGCAACAAGCGACGGATCGATGGTGACGCTATTATCATCCAATGTTAGTTGGTCAAAGTCATTACTATAGTATTATAGATATTGATATGATATTGTAGTATAATCCCATACTTTAATTTCTATAATGGTCAAACTCATTTTGATACCCATCGTAGAATCCCACTTTATAGTCTGATTGAGAGAGAACATGATTTTCCCATCGAAACTATCACATCTAATGTGGTTAAAACAATAATAAACCATCCCCAAAATCACCATACATGGGTGGTATAAACCATAAACAAATGGGTGGTTTATTATTGTTTTAACGACATTCATAGGGTTTTCCATTGCCACGTTTGATGACCCCGGAGGGTGCCAGTTGTGACGCTGGAGGCGTCTTCAAAGAGCACTTTGACTCTAAGAATCTGCCAGCACAGATTCGGGCCAGGCAAAACGAGTTGGTGTGAAGCTCAGCTGCCCTTTTTGTTTTTTGGGATCTAGCAGCTCAGTAACTTCAATATTTCATACGCCCAAAAATCTGGTATTTCAGTAACTGCAGGAATTTCATCACGTGGGATGGGATAAAAAGAGAAACGTCGACAGCACTTCCGATCGGATCGACGGCCGGAGATTTACATGGCTTTGATTTGGGTCATTTTGGGTCTGAAAAAATCTGAAAAAACATGGTAACATGGACCCCTAAAATCCAGTGGGGAACCCCCATCATTTTCCCTTAGCGTCAAAAAATTGGGGGTGAAAGTTCCAAAAATCCCAAGCCTCAGGATGGTCCTGATGTCGCTTTGCTCCTTGCTGCCATGAGGGGCTCCAGCGGTCACCTGGCACAAGAACAAGTTCTCCAACTTGAAGTTATGATGCAATAAAGATTCAAGTTCACAGCTATCAAATTTAGGTCCCTCCAACTTTACTGTTTTGCTGTCTCGGAATGTTGACTTGATGAAATTATCGTATCCCATGGGATGCACCGGTGGCGAACGGAGAGCTGAGTTCGGGATTCATAGTCCCAATAAAGGGGAGCCAAGGAGCTACGAGTTGAGTTTTCGAACATGAAAGATGTTGGAAAGCAACATTTTTCCAGAGCATGTTGGAAAACATATGATCTGCAAAACTCGAGATTTCCAACAAATACCCTCTGGTAAACTAACATAGCTATGGAAAATCACCATTTTTAATGGGTAAATCAACTATTTCTATGGCCATTTCCAATAGCTATTTTGACATAACCAGAGGGTAATTTCAAGCGCATGGATGTCAGATGTCAGATGATCCTTTGGAGCTCTGTGACGCCACTGGAATGATCCCCGCTGGCCCGCCATATTTTCGAGACGAGCTAGCCATGAATGGCTTGGTGAATGATTGCCATTCAGCCAGTGTATCCCAGTCTCGAACAATTTTTCCATGAGATAAATCCCATTATATTCATTATATATACCCTCTGGTTATGACTAACATAGCCATGGTATAGATGGCCCATAGAAATAAATGGTTTACCGTTCTTAATAGCATGGTGATTTTCTAGTTGGCAAACTGTGAATGTCATAACCAGAGGGTAGATCCCATGAAATATCCCATGGATAATTCAACCAGATTTCACCAAGGCTTGAAAGAGAGCGCCCTGCAGTCAAAGGTGGGGATGTCGATGGATGTCGGTCGTAGGATTTGATCAGCATGGCAGTGCCATGATCGAGTTACACTCGTTTTCCCATGGGATATGATGATTATATCCAGTACACAATAACAAGAATATACAAGAATGATAATACTGACAATGAAGAAGAATTAACAATGATATCATATGATATAATACTAATACCAGTACTACGAATAATAACAAGAGTAGAAGTAGAAATAAGAATAGGGATTTAGATGTTTGGATTCGGCACGGAATGGATGACCAGGAATGCAGAATTGCGATAGCTATCACTGGGAAACTCAGAATGAAGTGACTGCTTTAACCACTAATTCTTCCACTCATTTTTACTGTTTTACTGTTATACTGTTGTACTGTTTTACCATTTTACTGTTATACTGTTATACTGTTGTACTGTTTTACCATTTTACTGTTATACTGTTATACTGTTTTTCCATTATACTGTTGAACTGTTATACTGTTTTATTGTATTACTGTTATACTGTTGTACTGTTATACTGTTGTACTGTTGTGCTCTTATACTATTTGACTGTCATACTGTTGTGTTTTACTGATGTACTGTTATACTGTGAAACTGTTATACTGTTGTACTGTTATACTGTTTTACTGTTTTTCTGTTATACTGTTTTTCCGTTATACTCTTGAACTGTTATACTGTTTTTTTGTATTACTGTTATACTGTTGTACTGTTATACTGTTGTGCTGTTATACTATTTTACTGTCATACTGTTGTGTTTTACTCATGTAATGTTATACTGTGAAACTGTTATACTGTTGCACTGTTATACTGTTTTACTGTTTTTCTGTTATACTGTTCTTCCGTTATACTGTTGAACTGTTATACTGTTTGATTGTATTACTGTTATACTGTTGTACTGTTATACTGTTGTACTGTTGTGCTGTTATACTATTTTACTGTCATACTGTTGTGTTTTACTGATGTACTGTTATACTGTGAAACTGTTATACTGTTGTACTGTTATACTGTTTTACTGTTTTTCTGTTATACTGTTGAACTGTTATAATTACTGTTTTATTGTTTTACTGTTATACTGTTGTACTGTTATACTGTTATACTGTTTTACTGTTATACTGTTATACTGTTTTACCATTTTACTGTTATACTGTTATACTGTTTTTCCGTTATACTGTTGAACTGTTATACTGTTTTATTGTATTACTGTTGTACTGTTGTACTGTTATACTGTTGTACTGTTGTGCTGTTATACTATTTTACTGTCATACTGATGTGTTTTACTGATGTACTGTTATACTGTGAAACTGTTATACTGTTGTACTGTTATACTGTTTTACTGTTTTTCTGTTATACTGTTGAACTGTTATAATTACTGTTTTATTGTTTTACTGTTATACTGTTGTACTGTTATACTGTTATACTGTTTTACTGTTATACTGTTATAATGTTGTACTGCTATACGGTTTTACTGTTTTACTGTTATACTGTGATACTGTTTTACTGCTTTACTGTTATACTGTTGTACTGTTATACTATTTTACTGTTTTACTGTTCTACTGTTATACTGTTTTACTCTTTTACTGCTATACAGTTATACTGTTGTACTGTTATACTGTTTTACTGTTATTTTTCTGTTATACTGTTATACTGTTTTACTGTCATCCAGTTGTACTGTTGTACAGTTTCAATGTTTTACTGTTTTATAGTGTTGAACTGTTATACTGTTGTACCGTTATACTGTTTTACTGTTATACTGTTGTACTGTTATACTGGTTTACTGTTTTACTGTTATACTGTTGTACAGTACTGTTATACTGTTTTACTGTTTTATCGTTATACTGTTATACTGTTGTACTGTTATACTGGTATACTATTTTACTGTTATACTGTTACACTGTTGTACTGTTGTACTGTTTTACTGTTTTTCTGTTATACTGTTATACTGTTGTACTGTTGTACTGTTATACTTTTTTTTTACTGTTATACTGTTTTACTGTTATTTGTTATGCTGTAATACTTTTATACAGTTTTATATTTGTTTTGCTGTTATCATGTTATACTGCTATACTGTTGTCTGTTATTTGTTATGCTGTCATACTGTTCTACTGTTATCTGTTGCGCTGTTATAATGTTATACTGCTATACTGTTATCTGTTGTGCTGTTTTCTGCTATACTGTTATGTGTTATACGGTTATACTGTTATTCGTTATACTGTTACATTGTTGTACTGTTGTACTGTTATACTATTTTACTGTTATACTGTTATACTGTTGCACTGTTGTGCTATTATACTATTTTACTGTTGTACTGTTATACTGTTGTACTGTGGTACTGTTACACTATTTTACTGTTATACTGCGATACTTTTATACTGTTATACTGTTATTGGTTATACTGTTATACTGTTATACTGTTATACTCTTATACTGCTATACTGTTATACTGTTATACTGTTGTACTGTTGTACTGTAATACTGTAATACTGTAATACTGCTGAACTGTTTTACTGTTATACTCTTGTACTGTTATCCTGATATAGTGTTATACTGTGATACTGTTATACTGTTATACTGTTGTACTGTTTTTCGGTTATACTGTTAGCTGTTAGCCTTTATGCTGTTATACTGTCATACATTTGTACTGTTGTACTGTCATACTGTTATACTGTTGTACTGTTGTACTGTTATACTGTTATCTGTTATACTGTTATACTGTTATACTGTTTTACTGTTATACTGTTATACTGTTATCTGTTATACTGTAATACTGTTGTACTGTTATACTGTTATTTGTTATACTGTTATCTGTTATTCTGTTATGCTCTTACACTGTTATACTGTTAATTGTTTTACACTTATACTGTTATACTGTTATACTGTTGTACTGTTACTTGTTATACTATTGTACTGTTTTACTGTTTTACTGTTATACTGTTATTTGTTATACTGTTATACTGTTATACTGTCATACTGTTATCTGTTATACCGTTATACTGTTATGCTGCTATGCTGTTATACTGATGTACTGTTGTACTGTTATACTGTTATACTGTTATCTGGCATACTGTTATACTGGTTTACTGTTATTTGTTATACTGTTATACTGTTACACTGTCATACTGTTATACTGTTATACTGTTGTACTGTTGTACTGTGGTACTGTTACACTATTAAACTGTTATACTGCGATACTTTTATACTGTTATACTGTTATTGGTTATACTGTTATACTGTTATCTGTTATATTTTTTACTGTTGTACTGTTGTACTGTTATACTTTTATACTGTTATACTGTTATACTATTTTCTGTATACTGTTACACTGTTGTACTGTTGTACTGTTTTACTGTTTTACTGTTGTACTGTTGAACTGTTGTACTGTTCTACTATTTTGCTGTTATACTGTTATACTGTTATCTGCCATACTGTTATACTGTTATACTATTATCTGCCATACTGTTATACTGGTTTACTGTTGTCTCTTGTACTGTTATACTGTTAAACTGTTATAATGTTATACTTTTATACTGTTGTGCTATTATACTATTTTACTGTTTTACTATTTTACTGGTATACTGTTATACTGTTGTACTGTTGTACTGCTGTACTGTCATACTATTTTGCTGTTATACTGTTGTACTGTTATACTGTTATACTGTTGTACTGTTGTACTGTTATATGATTTTACTGTTATACTGTTTTTCTGTTGTACTGTTGTAATTTTATACTATTTTACTGTAAGACTGTGATACTGTTGTACTGTTATACTATTTTACTGTTATACTGTTATACTGATGTACTGTTGTACTGTAGTACTCTTATACTCTTTTACTGTTATACTATTTTACTGATGTACTGTTGTACTGTTATGCTATATTACTGTCATACTGTTGTGTTTTACTGATGTACTGTTATACTGTGAAACTGTTATACTGTTGTACTGTTATACTGTTATACTGTTAAACTGTTGTACTGTTGTACTGTTGTACTGTTACACTATTTTACTGTTTCCTGTTATACTGTTGTACTGTTATACTGTAATACTGTTGTACTGTTGTACTGTTATACTATTTTACTGTTATACTGTCGTACTGTTATACTATTTTACTGTTATACTGTTGTACTGTTGTACTGTTATACTATTTTACTGCTATACTGCTATACTGTTGTACTGTTGTACTGTTGTACTCTTATACTATTTTACTGTTATACTATTTTACTGTTATACTGTTGTACTGTTGTACTGTTATACTATTTTGCTGTTATACTGTTATACTGTTATACTGTTGTACTGTTGTTGTACTGTTATACTATTTTACTATTATACCGTTATACTGTGGTACTGATGTAGTGTTGTACTGTTGTACTGTTGTACTGTTATACTTTTTTACTGTTATACTGTTATACTGTTGTACTGTTATACTATTTTACTGTTGTACTGTTGTACTGTTATATGATTTTACTGTAATACTGTGATACTGTTGTACTGTTGTGCTTTTATACTGTTATACTGTTATTCGTTATACTGGTATGCTGTTATACTGTTGTACTGTCATATTTTTATCTGTTATTTGTTATGCTGTTATACTGATATACTGTTGTACTGTTGTACTGCTATACTATTTTGCTGTTATACTCTTATACTGTTGTACTGTTGTTGTACTGTTATACTATTTTACTATTATACTGGTATACTGTGGTACTGATGTACTGTTGTACTGTTATACTATTTCACTGTTATACTGTGTGTCCTGTTGTACTGTTATACTGTTGTACTGTTGTACTGTTATATGATTTTACTGTAATACTGTGATACTGTTGTACTGTTGTACTTTTATACTGTTATACTGTTATTATTTGTTATACTGGTATGCTGTTATACTGTTGTACTGTCACATTTTTATCTGTTATTTGTTATGCTGTTATACTGTTGTACTGTTGTACTGCTATACTATTTTACTGTTATACTGTTATGCTGTTGTACTGTTGTACTGTTATACTATTTTACTGTTATACTGTTATACTGTTGTACTGTGGTACTGTTATACTATTTTACTGTTATACTGTTGTACTGTTGTACTGTTATACTATTTTACTGTTATACTGTTGTACTGTTGTACTGTTGTACTGTTATACTATTTTACTGTTATACTGTTGTACTGTTGTACTGTTATACTATTTTACTGTTATACTGTTATACTAATGTACTGTTGTACTGTTATACTATTTTACTTTTATACTGTTGTACTGTTGTACCGTTATACTATTTTACTGTTATACTGTTGTACTGTTGTACTGTTATACTATTTTACTGTTATACTGTTGTACTGTTGTACTGTTGTACTGTTATACTATTTTACTATTATACTGTTGTACTGTTATACGTACTATTTTGCTGTTATACTGCTATACTATTTTACTGTTATACTGTTTTCTGGTTTACTTTTTGTTTTATTGTTATGCTGTTATTCTGTTATAGCTGTTTTACTATACTATCCTGATTAGACGTTGATAACTATCGAAAGATCTCAGCTCCCAGGTGGTCTTGCGGCTCAAGGAGAAGAGCATCCACCGTGGGCTTTCGGCCACGGACAGGGCGCTCGGAGGGGGGTCGCCATAAAATGCCAGGTTTGCCATCCAAAATCACCATCAAATCACCATTTTTTGGGTCTCAACTTACCATTCCCAGTGGTGGTAAGTAAGTTTATGGCATTGTGAGAAACTTAGCCACATAAAAACCAGTTTTTTTGGGGGGTTTCTCAAAGGGGAAAGTCCGATCTCTGGCATCGCAGGACCTGGTGGAAATGGCTGAAGCTTTGGAGGTGCAGAGATTTTTACGGCAGAAAAACTCAAAACGGTGAGTTTCGCGGAACATTTATGTGTTGGAGAAAAACTATCGATTTTCTCAGGTGAATTTCACTCACTTTTTTTGTTTTGATGTGAATAAAATCTGATCCCATCAGTGCTTGGGAATCTTAGCTTGCGCCGAAATTGGCGCATGATTTCATGGTCAACGTCCCAATTCCTGCGCCGCAGGAATTGGGGGTTATGGATGAGGTGCCAACGCGAATTGAAAGGTTTGATGTTCCAACAAGGGACTGCTTCCAAATAAATCCAAATAACATAAAAAACCAAAGAGATGGTTTTAAAATGCATTACAACCAGGTTTGACAAATTGCAGGTTTGATTGCTATAATTATCCACTACAAAGAACTGCCAGGTCAAGAGTTGAATTGTACATCCAGTCCTTGGTCATGCAGGGATTCCCATGGCATGGACCGCAGGCTGCCTTACGGCCACTGGGGCAAGAGGCTCTGAGGCGACGAGGCGATTTAAACAAAAATCAATCAAGGGATCTTCCGCGGTTTGTTGATACCGGCGGGTATATTTACACACTTAACAAAATATACATGATCACATATATATATATATATATGTATGTATATATATATATGTATGTATATATATATATGTATGTATATATATATATATGTATATATATATATATATGTATATATATATGTATGTATATATATATATATGTATGTATATATATACATATATGTATGTATATATATATATATATGTATGTATGTATGTATGTATGTATGTATGTATGTATGTATGTATGTATGTATATATGTATATTTGTATGTATATATATATATGTATATATATATATGTATATATATGTATATATGTGTATATATATGTATATATATGTATATATATGTATATATGTATATATGTATATATATGTATATATATGTATATATATGTATATATATGTATATATATGTATATATGTATATATGTATATATGTATATATGTATATATGTATATATGTATATATATATATATGTATATATGTATATATGTATATATGTATATATGTATATATGTATATATGTATATATACAATGCCATGCATGTTTGGAATTAAGAACCTATATAATATGGCTTTAGATGCTTGAGGATCTGGGTTTGTCCAAAAAATGGGAATTTACCCCGCCGTTTGGAAGAATTAGTTGACATGTTTGATCTTGATTCTTGTTGATCACGTGGGTATCAAGTCCACATTTTCTTGGTCCTGAAGCTGTTACCACAGCTTCCATTTTAAAAAATAGACCATTGAGGGCCATAATTCATATCCGATGATGTTTGTCCCAGTAATGGATTGATTGAATTGATTGGGAACATTAAAAAAACTCCCAAGGCTTTGTAGGGTTTTGACCATTTTTTACCTATAAATTGCTTAGGCTTTCAAAGATTCACCCTACGCCCATGGCCGTTTCCCTTCATCCAAGTGGTCGCCGGGTGCAGGTGAGCTCACGCCAGATGAGTCGCACCGCATCCACACCGCCTTCCAGGCGCAGCGGAGCGACTCAGGACATGGCCAGCCAACTGGGTACCCGGCCTGGTAAACATAGAAAAAACTATGGAAAGATCCACCATTTTTCATGGGAAAAATGGGAAAATCCACTATTTCGACTGGGTCATTTTCAATAGCTATATGTAACAAATTACCAGAGGGTAAGCCAACTGGTTGATCTTGGGTTTCATGCTACATCGCCATGGAGGAATTCATGGCAAGCTTCTTTTTCCTGGTGGTAAAGGACCCATCTAAGTTGCGGTGATCCCGGTTGCCCTTTGTTGCAAGGGTAGCAAAGACCAACCAGTCCCTGTCGTACCGAATTTTATGTGAGACTAAGCTTGTGCAGTTTGGAAGTTTGGCTCAAGATGTTTTGGACAACAGATTCTAGTTGTGGCAACCGTTGATTTACAAACAGGGCAGAAGATGCTCAAAGTTGAAATTGCCTTACCCAGTGGTCACTGTGAGACCCTGTCCGTCAGGCAATCCTCAAAAATAGGGGCCCTGAGGATTTTGGCCCAGAAATTGTTTGGAAGAGGTTTCTTGAGGCTTGTTACTGAAGGATATTCCTTGACGGATCCTGCAGAATCTATATTAGATGTTGGGCTTCAGGATGGAGACAGCCTCACAGCTCTTGTACTTGAAGCAAAGCTAGTGGCAACGCAAGAAGCCTTCGCCTTATGGTGCGGAGGCGGAGGTCGGGTCATCACATGGGGCTGTCCATATTCTGGAGGTGACAGCTCCGCTGTCCAAGAGAGGCTCAGGAATGTGCGGGACGTTCAGAGCACAGGATTTGCATTTGCCGCGACCCTAGAGAATGGATCTGTCGTTGCATGGGGCCATCCAGATTATGGCGGTGACAGTTCCGGAGTTGAAGATCTTCTCAGGAGTGTGCAGCAGGTTGAGGCTACACAGCAGGCATTTGCTGCGATCCTGTCAGATGGGTCTGTGGTTACATGGGGCGTTGCAAGCTATGGCGGTGACAGCTCCCGAGTCCAGCACGAGCTCAGGGACGTTAAGCGGGTTCAGGGAACAGACTATGCATTTGCGGCGATCCTTGCAGATGGATTTGTTGTTACATGGGGCGACCCACGAGCTGGTGGGGACAGCTCTGGAGCCCAAGTTCGGCTCAGGAATGTGCGGCAGGTTCAGGCCACAAAGGGTGCATTTGCTGCAATCCTGGCAGATGGATCTGTCGTGACTTGGGGGGATTTCGACGTTGGTGCTTTTGTGCCATTCGGGCATCCGCGATGGAGCTCTTCTGTCCAGGAGATCCAGAATCGGCTAAGGAGGGTGCAGCAAGTCAGCAGCACAGATTCTGCATTTGCTGCGATCCTGGTGGATGGATCAGTGGTGACATGGGGGGATCCGGATCGTGGTGGTGATAGCTCGGAAGCCCAAGATCACCTAAAATGTGTGCAGCGAATTCATGCCACAAAGCGGGCATTTGCTGCAATCCTTGCAGACGGATCAGTAGTGACATGGGGCAGTCCAGCATATGGTGGCGACAGCTCTGCAGTCCAACATCGGCTCAGGAATGTGCGGCAGGTTCAGGCCACAAAGGGTGCATTTGCTGCGATCTTATCAGATTTGTCAATTGTTACATGGGGCAAAGGCGAGTTTGGAGGTGACAGCTCTGCCGTCCGAGAACAGCTCAGGGGTGTCCAGGAGCTTCAGGGTGCAGGTCGAGCATTTGCTGCAGTCCTTGTGGATGGATCAGTGGTGACATGGGGCGATCCAGGATATGGTGGCGACAGCTCTTCAATCCAAGATCAGCTGGTACACGTGTAAGTCATGTGAGCAAAGCCGCAAAGGACCTTGGGAATGATGTGCACAGTTGATCGGATTAAACGGTTTCCAGACATGAGATTAAAATAGATTAAAACCAAGATTTAGGGCTGATTTCTGAGATATTCTGAGATATTGAATGGATATTTCTGGGACAATGTGTGCAGGTGCCAGAGCTGTGAGAGCAGAAAAAGCAGCGGCATTTTGTCGGAACCTGCTTGAATTGGCACCATTTGATTTTAGGAGCGAATAGAAGACACGCGGTTTCTTTTGCTCAATAAATTCCCTGCTTGGGCTGGCCATTTTCTTTTGAAGTAGTTCAACTACAACTCAGTTTTCTTCAACAATTTGAAAGGTCGAACCATTCTGATGAGTTTTGGCCACTTGCATTTTCTTGTGCTAACATGTCGATTCCTTCTATATTGTTCCTTGAATCATGCCCGAACTGTCCGACATTTGATTGGTTGCTACTCCGACTGCCGAGATAACATACTCCGTCGCGTATTGGGTGACATTTGCATGACAGGTTGTTCAATATTTCCCAATTTTCTAGTTCCAGCATGTTCCACTTTTCTAAGTGTTTCCAATCCTTTGCTACCCACATTTAAGGGATGATGGTCCCAAAGTGGCGCGTTTCCAAAACTCTGGGGCTTGAAATTGAGCTCAGCCAGGGGATGAAGCTGCCCCTACCGCTGCTCGGCGGAGCTTGAGAAGGGGCATTGATGATATGGGGGTTTCCATTTTTATGGGGGTACCCCAATAGCTGGATGGTTTATGAGGGAAAATCCTATCTATAAATTGGATGATTTGGGGGGTAGCACTATTTTAGGAAGCCCCCATATTGATGTTGACATCTTTGGACTATTTGGACCAACTATAAAACCACTTTGGCAATGGATGAATTTCTGGGCGGTTCACAGAAAATCAAGGCAAGTCTGGGAGACAGCGGGCAGCACGAAGACCATGCAGAACTCCATGGGAAAAGTCACCACTCAGGCGCGGAGGCTTTCGAGGCTTTCTGAAAGCCCCGCCTTTCAGGGGGAATCAATCTAGACTTTATATGACTTTATCATACCTGTATCTTGTATAGTTATTTATGGGGAATAACTCCTAGAATATATGGCAACATTTCCAGACTTTACATGATGTGACTTTACATGATGTGACTGGCAAATTAGGTTGAAACATCCATAATGCGACCCTGACTCATCATACTAGTATTGTCGGTTGTGTTTAGGTTAAATTGACAAAACTGGGTACTAAAGGACACCCAAAGGCTCCGTCATTTTTAGTCATGAACCATCCATTTCCAATTATTTTCAGGGAAATTAAATGGAGAATAGCTGGAGGTATCTATCACTTTGAAAGGGCATTTACAAACACCAGTTGACAGCAACTGCAAATGGACTTGTCAGCTTTGATTTTCCATGTGCATTAGATACACATTTAACTACCCTCTGGTAGTTTAACATAGCTATAGAAAATCACCATTTTTAATGGGAAAATCCACTATTTCTATGGCCATTTTCAATAGCTATGTTGACATAACCAGAGGGTATCCCAATCTGACAGATGGGGCTCCTGGAGCTCGGCAGGGCTTTGCCCTTCAGGAGGGGCATGAGAAGAAACGCGGAAACAATGTCCTGGTCTTAGATTGATCCTGAATCTCAGAGCGGCCAAGCATGGCGGCCAAGGTTGTTAGATGGAAATGATGGCTGCAGATATATGATGATCGGATTCATGATCTATATCTATCTATAATCTATATAATTCTATATAGATGTTTATAGGGGAACACCTCAATCATCACCTTGTTTCATAGTGAATTCGTCCGATTCATCCAGAATTTCGTGGCCGCTAAGGATATCGAGCGAACGCAACTTAGCGGCACATGATTTTGGTGAAGGAATCTCCCAAATTGCTTTCTCAAAATCGGATCTGGTGAATATTTTTTGTTTCCAACGGTTTAACTGGCACCTCTTGATTCTTACTATTCTTGTTGAACGCATCCTAACTTCTTGAGACTGTTTCTTAGCTTATCTTAAGTACATGCCCTTCCATTTCAGTGCGGGTCATTGATGACCAAAGTATTGACTCTATTATATGTTTTTTTTTTTTTTTTAAGGTCGTTATGTATATATATACACAATATTATTTACGTCTATATTATAGTGAATATTTATCTACATAATAATACACAATATATGATAAATATATCATAATTTCAATATTATATATATATATATATTACATTCTATATCATTATCATACATCTATCTATACACTTTAATCAACATTACAAGTTGCTGGTGAAAATCCATCAGGTCTCCTCCCAGAGTGGTCCGGGACTACAAGATGTGCTCCTACTGAGTCAACCCAGCGACAAAAGGTCCGAGCGGTTGGATGTTTTGGGAAACATCAGACATCATATGACATCATCCCTATCTTTCAATATAGAAAAGGCTTAGGGATATATGATATATATATATATATGGATATATATGAGATAGTGGGATATATATGATATATCCATATATATATATATATATCCCACTATCTCCGTGAAAAAAGCCTTGATTTTGTCGGAAACTTATCATCTGTGATGCTGGCAGATCGCAGATGATCGCAGTTTGGCTCATGACGCAGACCCCGCAGACCCCGCCGGTGCAAGAGGTCCTCGTTGACTCGTGGCCGGAGATCCGGATCGAAAGCTTGGGCCGGGAGGATCCGCGGCTGAAGGAGCTGGCGCTTCTGAATGCCGATGGCTTTCGCGACAAACGCTGCTGTCTCTGCATTGGAGACAGCCAGGCTGAGTTGGAATGTTCCCTGAGAAGTGCGGCGAAGTGGGTACCGGATGCCAAGTTAGAAGGATTTGGTGTGGCCATGACTGGAGATCAAACTGTTGGCTTTGCCCAGCTGGGCTTTCACGATACCCCGGGAGATGTGATGTTGCCGGTGTGTTTTCGAAACATACCGGCACCTGACACCTGCCATTTGGAGCGCATTGTGGTCTCCCACACGATGAGAGGAAAAGGGCTGGGAACGAAATTGTTGAACTGGGTGGATGAAAAGGCCCGGCAACGAGGATGCAAACACGTAATGCTGGAAGTTGTAAGCAACAACCCAGCCAAGAAGCTCTACGAAAAGCACGGGTATGTCTCACGCACTGGCACTTGTCAAAAGGTTTACATGTGTCCTTTGTTTTTTTGCGCCACAAGCCATCTGTACTATGATGAGATGTACAAGACTCTTTGAGCCAAACCGGGTATGGGTCCAAATTACATTGACACACAAACTGCAAGTAGCCATTGTTATCTTTGAAGCATTTCAATACATGCATTCTTTGGGTTGCAGTGCCAGTTTTTCAGTGTTTTTCATCGTTTTTCATAGGTATTAGCAAATTACAGCAATTTTTCTTCGCAAAACCATGATGAGATTGCTACCTGTCTTGCCAAGTACAAGATGCGCTTGGCATTGTCGAAGTTGAGCTAGGATGTTCAGAGTCCGTTTCACACCCTGTCTTTCCAATATGGAAACCAGCACACATTTTGGGAAATTACCAAAAGAAAAAGTGTTTGCTCACCTTGAGATGTCAGCTTAAGATGTGGGATTCGTTGAGCATCTAAGAGTTGGTGACTGTTGGTATCTTCAAGGAGAAGGTTCTCATTCCAGCCTAAGCTCCCCAAGGTTCCCTAAGCCACCCCCCCTTGGTTCCCCCCCCCTAGAGAAGCCTATAAAAAACCACCAACCCCCAAAACCCGGATCGCTGCTCCAAAGGGAGGCTGGCCAATCAACAAGGCGACCATGACTGGCAGATGCGTTGTCCCATCAACATGGTGATATTACCACAGTTTATTGGAGATGGTGTGATATATATCATTATCATTGGAGATAGTTTCTAATTGGGTTTACCACAGTATCTGATATATTACGCTAATATGTTTTTTTTTCCAAATAGAATCACCACATGATAATAATATGATTGTATATATATATATATGATAATCATCTACTATAATTATCTATTGGAAACTGAACGTTCACTGATGTGGTAAACCCAATGCCGTAAACCATTCCCCAAATCACCATAAATGGGTGGTGTAAACCCCAAATGGTAGTTGTTTATGTATGAAATTGGGTTTCCCACATTACGCATGTTATTCTGAATGATTGCAATAGACTCTCAATAGACATTTTCTATTTCAATGTGCAAATCCAACAAAAAAGGTAGGCTTGATGATTCTTGAAGATTCTGGGCCAATTGTAACCACCTCACTACGACAGCCGCCCCATAGGTGATTGTTACTGCGAGGGGAATCACTGGGAAGATCATATCAGTATCCATAGCATACATATCCGATAGGTTGGTGGTTTCAAGTGGTCACTTTTTATCCCCATGTCCACGCGACTGTGGCAGCGTCTCCACCGACCCAAAGCCTGGCTCAGCGGGCCGCAAAATCTCAATCTTAAGCCATACCATCCCATACCCAAAGGCAGGGTCACCCACTGTGACATCTTTTTTTTTGGCACAGCCCATGTAGTTTTGTCACTTTCAGACGCCGGATTTCGAAATCTCTGAGTCCACTCGCCATGCATCGGCATGGAGCAACAGAACCTGAGATGATGGATTGGATGGATTGGCATGCAGGCTTTTGAGGTACCTTTCTTGGGATAAGAAGGTGCCAAGGTAAAACCGCAAATGTGCTCGACCCAAAGCCACTTAAAATACTCAGAATTTGACCAATTTATGGAATATGTTCCAACATTTACCCTAAAAATCAAAAATCATCCAAATGTCAGGGTATGAAAATCATCCATATGGTATATTTATGGAATATTACCCTATAAATCATCCAAATATTACACTAAATATACCATACCTGGGTCATAAGATTCAGCCCAAAATTGGAGTTTGATTCTGAGCTTCAGCCCACGATCAGTGGTTGACGCTTGCCTCCATCTTCCTGGGCCCAGTTGACAGCATATTAAGTGGACATACGACCCTGAAAGATTTCATTTATCCAGGGCACATTCTACAAGATGAGCATAGATAGATTAGATTAGATTACATTAAATTAGATTAGATCGATACGATAAGACAAGAAAAGATAAGAGAAGAGAAGAGAGGATGGATAGATGGATGGATAGATAGATAGGCAGGCAGGTAGGTAGATAGATAGATAGGCAGGTAGGTAGGTAGATAGATAGATAGATAGATAGATAGACATGCGCGTATCTAATAAGCGGGACCCCCTGACTGATTGATGCCACCTCGCCATTGGTTGCAGAAGTTTCAGCGCAGGTTGAGCGACCTACTGCCGTGGAGCGTCGAAAGCTCAAACCAGTCAGGTGGAGTCCAGCGGCGGATGGCGGCACGTCAACCATACAACCTCACCACAAGGTCATCATACAGGTTGATATCATGATGATTAGCAAGGGTGTAATCCCCTGAAGTGGGGCTTACTTCAAGTTTGTGAATTGCAGCAATTTGCCAAGGTTTCTGGCTTGTGCAGTCGGCAGTAAGGGGGTTCTGACGCATGTTTGGTCCCCCTACCACCAACCTTAAACAGCCCCCAAGAACCCCTAGTTTGTGAGTGGATCTAAGAATCTAAGGAATTTTTGATGCCCACTGGAAGAAATTGAACATCAGTATCAGAGGGTGCAAGTGTACTATCATTGACTTCTAGAAAACAACGTGTTTTTTTTTGGTTCGTCAAGAGTAGGTAACCTTTTCCATGGATCATGATCCAAAGTTGGGTGAAAAACATATCTAAAGCCATGGTGGGGGATGGGAATTTGTTCAATCCATTTTCCTTCCGGGATTTCTATGGATTTCATGATGTCCATGGCTGTTTGGATTTCATGATTTCCATGGCATGGAATGGACCAGGGGCTCTGGCTATACCACCATGTTTTGCTGCCAGTTGGATCATAGCAGCGCTGCTGTGTGCGGCATTCTTGGCAGGCCTCATAGGCCGGAAACGCCCGGAAAGTGCAAGACAGTACTTCGCAATGCTCAGCTCATCTCGTTCTTGAAGTTCATGGTGAACATTAGGACATATACAATCTGGATCAATCTGGTTTCAAGATGTTTAATTGCAGATGAACTAATCCAAGAAGCAGGAATCCCGCCCTCAACTTGTTTTGGGGATGACAGAAAGTTCCAGGCACTGCTGAAGTGCTCTCAGAAGCAGACAGGTTTTCTAGGATTTTGCATCAGATCCAGGGTGGTGTTTCCACACTTCTAAACGGTCAGCTCGTTTCGACCTTTCGACAGTGCCGCAGGCTTCTGCTCCAGAAATGGAGGCGCAGCTTGTGAAACTGGTCGTAAACCATCCACACAATTTCCCATGGTGAAACCCCAAATGGTACTTGTGGCATTGGATTTACCATGATTTACCGTATCTGGTTAGTGGTTTGGAACATGACTTTTATGACTTTCCATATATTGGGAATTTCATCATCCCAACTGACGAAGTCATATTTTTCAGAGGGGTAGCTATACCAGCAACCAGGTATTCTTCAATCGTATTCAAGCATCAAATTGTCGAGGTTGAGAACTTTGAGCCCAGATAGTTTCTGATCGACAACCCTCCAGGTAATTCGGCCTCGAAGGTCGGGAGCTGGGGAAGTTGAACGGAGGGCTCGAGGTTCCGAGATAAACCTTGGTTGAGGTCAATGTCTATATGAATTTACATGCGTCTGGCTCTGGGATCGCATCACTTTCCATGTTTTTGGAAGGATTCAAAATGGTATACCCTCTGGTAATTTAACATAGCTATAGTGGCCATTTATAGTGGATTTACCAATTGAAAATGGTGATTTTCCATGGCTATGTTAGTTTACCAGAGGGTAACCTTCTGTTTGATCTGGAGTTGTTACCGATGGTCGACCCATGCCAAAATGCTGCCCCACTTGAAGAAGCATCCCCCAAGGTCGGCAGCTGTAAGCCTGGAGATGTGGATAGTTATGCTGGCATCATCCACAAAGACAAGGAGCTTGCTGAACAGCTTGGTGTGGTGAATGGATTCATATGGATTCCATGTCCCATTTTTCGTCACGGAATCCAAAGATGTGGATTCAAACGAGATTTTTTTTGTGCAACGTTTTGTGACTCAAGCCACCTTTCAATGGTGAGTTTCCACATCTTCTTCCAGCATTTTTGTGTCCGCCAGGGCGGCTGGTGCTTGAACAATGTGTGTGGGGACTATCGCTTTGATCTGAAAAGCGGATGGCTCTTTGGAGGAGAGGAGAAGGTCCCTGGAGAAATCCCATGGGACTTTGGGGAACTTTGGGGAACTTTCTGAGTTCTTGGATGATGGTTGATATGATAAGTGGGAAACATCATAGATGTGGGATGTTGGGGATATATGATGGTCAACGTTGGTTGACTTGTGTTGGGAAGATTCCTCAACATAATCAATGACTTGGATAAACAACAGTGAGGTTGAGCTGATGCCAGGGCAAATTCTGCACGGTGACTGAGAGTTCTAGATCTTTTAAAGAGGATTTCATGACTAACGAAGCCACAAATGATGCTTAGGATCTATAGTACTTTGAGGAGAGCCTCCAAAACTGAGGCTGTTTTTTTTTTTTCCGGATGACGCCGTACTTTATTTTAATTAGGGTCATACTGCCAATCAGTTCCCAGTTATTGTTCTGTACGCACAGTTGTTTTAGACACAAATCTATGCATAATCTGGAAGGTTTGAGGGAGACATCATCTATAAATGCGGGATTTACCATGACCACAAGGTGAGGCCCCCCGAGATACCTAAGTTGACTAACTTGGCTAAGTATGGTTTATGATATAACCATACTTAATATTACTTAATTTAGTGTTTATAAGCCAGCTTAAAATTGGCAGGCCGGTGGAATACACCAGAAGCTAAACATAGCTAAGTTTTGTCTCAGGTGGGACAATTCAGCTGCCAGCGACTCCAATCTGATATGTTGAACCTCACCTCGGATGCTGTCTGGAAGCTTCGAGACTACTTTCACATTCTGTCCTCCGAAATCATGACGGAGATCCAAAAAGAGGCTCCCGGGGTTGTTGTTGTTGTTGTTGTTGCTGCATTTTTTTTTGTGTGTCTTCGTTTCCAAGTTCGAAAGGAGGGAGACTATCGCAAAATGGACAATTTGTTGAAGAATTGGGATGTTCGGCCTTAACATCAATGGGACACTTACCAGAAGGGATCCAAGCAAACGACTGGTCGATAGTTTCATGGCTTTCCTGGAAATCCAGTTGTAGAGCTGATCATTGGAGCCCTTTTTTTTGATACCCCAAAGAAAGCCTGGTTTAGTATGGGTTCTATTTCTTTCGGATCACTGACTAGGGAAAAAAACACTATGACATTAGGGTAAGGATAATGATATATAATTCATCGATTAATTATACATCAATGACAATCGATTGATTCTTGTCCAGGAAAATGCCGGAGCTCTATTTGTGGTACCCGCCCAGCTGAATGGTGCGGAATATCCATCTGCCACCCGTGTGGTGCATCACGTTGCTGACTACAAAGAGGACATTCGCAGGGGGCCACGGGGGCAGCTCGCTGCGCACCCGGCGGTGGCGCAGTTCCTGCTGGACAATGCGCAAAGCGTTGAACGTCCCAAAGGGATCAATGCTGCGGATCAAATTGTCGATCTTCCAGGTTTCCATGGTTTTACACTTTTTTTTGTGTTTTTGTTGGGTAGAAACCACTAAAATCATTGGCATTTCGATGGGCCTGGATTTGCAGAATTGATTATGACTGGGTACATCTACTGGGATGATTTCAGAGAACTTGGGGACAGCAACTCCAGCAACTCCAAGGCTTTGAAGTCGTGAATGGATACATGAAGATCCAGAAAACTGACAAGGTGAAGGAAACTTTGCAAGACTTGAAGAGGCGTCTGAACAGCTTGCGGCTGTTGGTCATGGAGCATGTTTCCACTCAAGGCTTGGTACCAAAGTTGAGTGGCTTTGCCAAGACCAGCCATCGTGTGGGTTTGGTTTATGCCTCAACGATACCCGTGGATTCGTACGTGAATGGCCGCACTGGCGAGAGCGATCCAACAGATCATGAGTATCAGACGCAGGCGACCGGTGAACATCTGGTAAAACCTCTGGTAAAACCGCATAAAACCGCAAGTTTGGTCAAACCGCTACTATCATCCCAGTTCCTCCCCAATTTCCCCACATTTCACATTTGTGTTCACTTTGGAGGTGGCTGAACTGATGCTGGTGGCCCAATACTATGGCGCCCTGAAGTATGCCGCAGAAACGACCCAGAAAATCGTGGAGCTGACGCCACGTCACCGGCCGCGGAAGGTCTTTCTGATGCCCCTGGGAGGTGGCAGTTTCCAGAATCCTTGGGAGACCTGGACGACTGGTGATTTGTTTTCGGCCCGGTGAGGCCCCAAGATTTTACAAGTTGGTTTATAAACACATTATCTATAGATACTATAGTTAGATCATGTTAGATCCCCCATAAACATCTATAAACATCTATAAACCATAGCTTAGTTACAAGTCAACTTAGCTATCTAGAGGGTCTCACCTTGCAGGAATTGGTTTAAGGCTTGAGGGAACTTTAGAGGAACACCAGTTTCTTTGAGAGAAAACCTTCAGACAGCCTATCAGGAGTTTGAGAAGCCAAATGTGAGTGTGTGTGTGTTTCCCCACCCAAAGATGGGACTTTGAGTGGTTGAACCCTGGATCCCCTTTGCGACTGTGTGGAGGGATCCATTTTCACGAAGGAGAAAAAGGTGCCAAAAAAGGTGCCTACCATCAACCATCGATCCATTTTTTTCTTCAAAGGACATCAGTGGCTAAGCCGGCAGGTTTTTGATTTCCACACTTGCAATCCACGGGAGAATCATCTGGGATGTTGGCATGGATTTTTCCGGGTAACCCGCAGCCAATGAAAAAGGAAATCATTGGCAGAAGTATGGCAAAAGCCATTCAGATGTTGGACCATGAGTTGCTTGTCACCCTGGAGATTTCTGCGCTGGCCTTCAATCAAAAACCATCTGAGAAGGAGAATCTAGGTCCTGCTTAGCATATCTTAGCATTTGCCTTGAAAATTTGGAGTCTTTGCCACGAATTTTCACTAAAGACTGTGGAAGGTTCCCATGTTTCCAAGATAGTTTACAGGGCGGATCCAGGGTTTCAATCTGTGAACATTCCATTTTCATTTTTTCCTTAATTGAAATCATAAAAGGGGTCCTTCTATATCAAACTATTTGGTGCAAATACCAAGCACACCCACTGTATCCAACTATCAGAACTATATCATTTGGCAATATTTGGCATATGTTTTTGATTCTGGGGAAGTTTTGTGACGAAACGCGACCGTGTCTGAGTGGAAACCATCAGGAAGTTGCAGTCCATTCTGGAGAAGTTGCATTCGAAAGTCGCTCAGACTGAGACGTATAATCTTTGATTGACAGTGGGTCTTGATGTTGTTGATGATTATTGTATCATTGTTATTGTTACTTACTAATGCTAATAGTAATGATTATATATTTTTCCTATTATCATTATTGTTTATTTTATTATTATTACCACTATCGCTGTCATCTTTCTTTTCTGCGATGAAACTCTTCAACGAGGTTCAAATCGACGAGAGATGCATCGAAAGCGGCGGTTCAAATCACATGGTGGGCGCCTTCCGCCCCCTGACGCGCAGGGGTCTGGGAAGTCTTTGGGGTCTCCAAATGGGGTCCATGGTTATTGATGGTTATCCCGGACATCCCATTTGTGGGTTACATGTGGGTTACCACCCATGCCATTGTTACCACTCCCAAGGGGCCAAGGGCTCACCTTTTTTATAGGTATGGTCACCATTCCCAGGAAAATGGGTGGTAAAAATGGCAGCCAGTTTTACCATGTTTTACCCACAGAAAACAGTGTTTTGATATCAAACTATCCTAAACATGGACTATTTACTTATTAACCAGCTGGATGAACATTTTGGTGGTCCTCCACCTGTTCACCAGATAGTTGACGCGCCCAAGTGTTGGTGAATGTCCCGTCTGGATTCAGGATAATCTAACGATTCTTGCGAATGACATTCTATTCAGTATTCTTTGTTATGAATGTTCCGCATTCTCATGATATTCCCCAATTTTGGGAATATCATGAACAGATATGAAATTCCCAAATTGGTCATATTAGGAATATCACCTAACATAATCTGTTAGGAATATCACCAACAGTCTCCGCATCCGCATCTTCCCATGACCATGACCCATTTCCCCAAGGCCCGACTTGTCAGAGCGACGGGTCCTTTGCACCGCAACAGTGTCGCCCAGCTGGTAAACTTTGGGCAATTTTTTGTAGAGGAGGTTGTAATGTGTTGGTGAAAAGGGGTTCAAAATCTAGTAGATTGAACACGATTCCCAAGTAGTTCAACGATGATGCACTTTTCCACCTTTTTGGGGTGGGATGACTGCAACAAAGCATGTTTGTCTGTGTTTTTGCAGCTGCATGCCGCTTTTTTGGAGGTTACACCCCTGAAGACCAATATGGAATCACGAAAATCAGGCTTGGAAGATTATTCTGTTAAACCTTTCATTTTTTTGCGTTTTGTGATGGCGTTTTCATGGGGTAGATGGAGGTGAATTCATGCCTGACTGTGGCTTTCCTGAGCCACCTATGCACATTGCAACGCCAGATGTTTACTCCGAAGTTCACCCAAACTTCCCGGTCACCAGTCCCGTTTTGCCCAGGCTGGGGCAGCACAGGCTTTTGCTGGTGCAGCGACAAGGCGAGTGAACAAATGCCGAAATCCCAGAAAAATCATCCACCGAAATGGGGAAAAATATCTGGAACAAATTCCATGTGATGACTGTGATGACACCGGATATAGCTGAAAGTGACGGCAATTTCCATGGCGATACTCCTGGATTGGGGCTCGGACGATGAGTTTCCAAGGGCTTCGCGAACTTTTGGCATGATAGCGCTCTCACTCTGCAGGTGGGGCACGAGTTCCGTGAGACCCGCGGCCGCCCCGGCCCCAGGCGGCTGGATGTTTGTTGGATGGGTAAAACATGCTGAACCATGGAAGTTTTCCCATAGAATTTCGGAGAAAAACAATAAATATATGTCATACAGGGATTTAGCTATTCACCCCGCTTCGCGTGGGGTGGCCGCCCACACCGCAGGTTTATTTCGGTCCGTGAGAGGGGCTAAGGGTGGTTTTCCCCCGTGGGGGCTCCCCAAGCTAGGGAATTTTCACTTTTCCCCCCCGTGGGGGCTCCCCAAGCTAGGGAATTTTCACTTTTCCCCCCCGTGGGGGCTTCCCAGCTAGGGAATTTTCACTTTTCCCCGCCGTGACAGCTTCCCAAGCTATGGAATTTTCACTTTTCCCTCCCTTGGAGGCTCTCCAAGCTGCGGAATTTCAAATAGCTAGACAACGACGCCTAGATAGTCCCCCAAATCCCGTGTTCTTTGAATGTGTTTCCATGTTTTTGCAATGGTTTCCTTCAAAGCACGGTACTTTACACTTTTGTCGCCATAAAACCGGTCGAAAACATCATGTTCGACAATGCTTCCAATTCCCTTATCTCCCCAACCGTTGAAAATACCGCTATTTACAGTGTTTTCTTCAATTTTTCCATGTGCCAATGCCGGTAGCCAACTCCAACATATATATAAGAAATCCTTCCAAAACATTGTTTTTGACAGTGTTTTTCCAATGTTTCCAGTCAAACAGACGGTAATTTGCACGTTTTTTGCCATAAAGGCAGTAAATCCTTCCAAAACATTGCTTTTGACAGTGTTTTTGTAATGTTTCCAGTCAAGCATACGGTAATTTACACGTTTTTTGCTATAACGTCAGTCCAAAACACTTGTTTTTGCAGTGTTTTCAATGCTCTGGCATCCAAAAACCCTGCAAAATCTTGCTATGTACAATGTTTTTTTCATTTTTGGCCGTTTTTCCATTGCCGGAAAGCTACCAAAATGACCCAAAATTCCATTTCAATACCCTCTTGCGCTCAGACACCCAAAAATCGTCGAAAAATGTCGAAAACACCACCGTATTCTGGTCTCGGTGCGAAACCGTTTTTGGCCCCCCCCCCCAGCTAAAGCTGATATAGCGACTGCTATATTAACAAATGTCATTGAGCATTTAGTGTTGCTGTTGCCCCCCAATAAGCACGCCTTCACCGCCAAAGCGGTGTGGGCGGATTTAAACACGTTGATGAAACCAACACCAGCGGAGGTTGAACCATTCAGACGCCTTGACAAACTCAGCAAACATTTTGTATGTTTCAAAATATCAGTATCGGGGTTCAGCTAAGTTCAGCTACCACTTTTAAGATGAATTCTTGGTATCCCAAACTTCAGTCATTTTTGGAGGAACCAAAGCGTGTCCTTCCTGGCTCAACTTGGAGCCCCTTGATGATCATTGATTGCAGTTGATTTTTCTGTCGGCATGACTCACGAAGCAACCTTTTTTGCCCATTTTCACCAATCGGGTTGTAAGATATATATTGTAAGATGACTCACTCCTATCCACCATGGCAGGTTGTTTCAAGTATTCATACTTCCAACACATGTGATACTGATCCCGTCACAATTTTTGGAGACTAGCTCAACTAGAAGCATCAACTGTGAACATCAGTGAAATGGGCTGATAAAATATAAGATTATCGTAGAACCACCAGTATCATCATCAACTATCATCATCCCATCATCAAGATATCACTGCGATAATCAGGGACTTTTTTCGCGCTTTCGCCATGGGAGCCATCAGCAGTCTCTTGGCGCGCTGGAGCTGGAAGAGTCCAGAGGATGAGGGGGACGAAGAGCTGGATTCTGCGTCCAAGAGATACAAGCGGCACCTCGGATGTCACGCCGATCGGGCCAAGATCGGGCCCCACTGTGTAAAACGAGTGTCACTTTTTCGGAAATTGGGGGATTTAACATGATTTAACTATAATATACTATAACATTATAATATATTGTAACTATCCTTGATATAATCCACTTAAAAATCCTTTGGGATGATGATAACCCACGATAATCGATGAGCTGGGAATCCCATTAACCAGGCAGTATAAAGGCACAAAATTATGGCTTTTGAACACTGCTCATTTTGTTTCTTGAAGCCTTATTACTTTATTTTTATTTTTACCTACAATCAATATTTGGACTGAGGAACATAGAGAAGAAACGGGCCAACCCGCTTTCCCCTTGTACGGGGAGATCATTATTGGGGGGAGATAGTCGGAGCTGTCGACTCCCACTTTGCGGACATTTGATATTTGTGTGAAAATTGATGATGCTCGGTTACCCCCAGTTCGCTGGCGTATCATCATCTTCCATCATATTCCCACACTGCATTTTTTTGTGCATACACCATTTTCAGATGCACCCAGCCTCATTGTTTGGGAATAATCACCAGAGAAACTAGCCATGGCCATAGCACGCCCCAAAAACATGGTCCAACTACCGCCCTGGAAACACTTTTTAGCAAGCATCTTTTTGGGTGGTGTTACAATGGGGTATCAACGCAACAATCAATGCTTAATGAGTTGATAGCAGGATAGAGTGGTATATCATGATCACATATGTATGTATATATATGATATATATATATATTATATATATTATATATATATATATCATATATATTATATATATATCATATATATATAATGTACATCATTTTATATCATATGTATAGTATTGCATAGTAAAGTGTAGTAAGATATCATCATTTTCCATGATTTTCCATGATTTTCCGAGGTTGAGGAAACACGCCCCTTTGTTCGAAGCCAAGATTCCCAGCTCTTGGGTGGCCCCAGAGCTCTTAGAACTTCAGCTGCAGCGGCTGGTGCAATGGCCATGTGGTTTAAAAAAAAACGGAAACCACGTTTCTTTTTTGTTGAGACACTGTTTCTTTGTCAGTATGTGAATACATGTGAATACATGTGAATGTAGTTATTTCGTTGTTTTATTGAGGTTTTGATATCTCTTATCAACTTGAAACACTTGGAGTTTTTTTGGGTGTAGCACAGTTTTTTTTTTCCAAAAAGATCTCTGGGGCTCCAGGTGTTGAAAAATCCCACAAGATAGACCGGGCATTGAGGAGATTGTGAAGGCTTGCAAAGACTGCGATGGCAAAAAATCCAACGAGATCTGCTCCCATTTGCGTGTCTTGACGAAACCGAATGGAGAATGATGGTGAATGGTGAATTCTGAGCAGTTTGGAGCGTCCTAAGATTGTAACTTGGTTGTCGATGTCCATCGGCGAAGTTGAGGGCTTCAAACTTCCGTTGATCGAGCTGAGTTGCAGATCTATTCGTTGCGATTTCTGTCTGATTTGTTGCTCAACTGATATTTTTTTCGTTGTTTCAATTGTGTACCTACTTCTTCCTGATTCATTTGAACTTTGGTGGGAGAATCCCGGTTCCATTCCAGTTTTAAATCCTCATGGCTGGTCAAACTCCAGCATGGCAGCATAGAAAAGGTGAAGAAGTGGAGGGTGTCTTCTCCTTTCCATGCTTCAGCCAGGTGTGGAACATGATGCGGATTGGAAATCCCCTAGAACTAGAGGATCATAGAGGTTTTGTTTTGGTAAAGTCATCTATAAATGGGGATTGAAGTTGATGCAGATTGATACCCCCCAAAAATGCTCTGCGGAATGAATGTCAGTAATTATCTGCACAAATCTGCATGTGATTTCGACAAGTTTTGATATTTTTGATCATTCTTCAGGAGAAAGAAAGTTTGATGTGTGTGTCCTCAAAATTAGATAACATTAGAAGCTTTGATGCTCAAGATGACAAATCCGAGGGCGTTTGCCCACAGTTTCTCATAATTGCCCGGATTGAAACCCTTCAATGGACAGGGGTCAAAATCGCGCAGGAGTTTGTAAAACTCTTCAACGCTGAAATCGAGAACTTCTATGCTTCCAAGATCCCTGCGCGACGGCCAAATTCTATGAACAACTATGGTTCCCAAGCGAAAAAACGTGGTGTATGGTGCATGAGCACATCGCTTGGTGAAGAAAAGGTGCTAATTACACCAATTCTATTTATTCTGATTGGTGGTTTGGAACACTTTTTATTTTTCTATATATTGGGAATAATCATCCCAACTGACTTTCATATATTTCAGAGGGGTTGAAACCACCAACCAGATTTGATGGCAATTTCAATGAGGAAATCACTGAAATCACGATGATTTTTTATCGAAGCCGTGGAAAACTGGGGGAACCAGTCAATGATGACCCACAGCTGATTTGTCCAGAATCTCGTCCAGTGGAACTGCCAAAGAAAACCTGAAAAATCCATGGAATCATAGCTGGTTCTCACTGCATTTGAACAATCAATGGATTGGTTTTCGTTGGAAAATCTTCACCGGAAAAAAAATTCTCGGATTTTCCCATGATTTTTTTCAGGTTTCCTCTAACATGTTTGAACCGAAGCTCCGCTGTGACTAAAGGTGTGATTGTGAATGAGATTGGGATGCGACCCATGATCACCCAGTTTCAGCAGGAATACATTTGGCCGATTGCACCTCGGATTCCATGATGGGATGAGAGCAAAAAAGCAAAAGTGTTTTGGAATTAGCAAACTTTTATTGGTCAGTTTACAGCAAACATTTTGAAACATGTGATAGATATTGAATGATATTGATAAACATGACAAGTTTGGTGAAAATTTGACCCAGATCTGGGGAAAGACATGGACTCATCTGCATCCGAGAAATCTGCATCCGTCCCATCCCCAACGGGTCAACTGGTCAATTCACCCCTTTTTTGATGGTTATATGATGTAAATGCCCAGGCTTTTGTGGGGGTTGAATCTCCAATTTTTCGTGGCCAACTTCTGGTTTTTATCCCCATCTCGTCTCAAAAAGAGATGGGTCAAAGAGTCAAACCTGTCCTGTCTGTTCACCCCCCCAAAATAGCTGGGATTTGATGTGACTAGCCCTCCAAATATGGATAAATATGGTGGTTTTGAACAGTCCCCTCTCATGATCCCTAGCTCTCTGTCTTCTGTAAAGCTGACGAGGCAAAGGCGCTCTTTCCCGAGGAGGCGGCGAAGTCTGGCGTTTGAACGGTGTGACCATCATTGACCATCAAAGATATGGCAAGTTTCAACCAAATTTTACCATGACCGGCAGTCCATGATGGTCACCAGGCCCGGGACACGGGCCCATGCCAGGCTTCACAATTTGATTCGCACCACTCCTTCATCGTTCGCTACACCGCCACCGAAGATCTTGGTTTGGATATGCATACCGATGATTCTGCCACTGGACACGAGGGCTGGGTCATCTTTGGTACATTTTGGTACTATTAAACTATGTTAAACTGTGAAAAACCAAGCATTTTTGGACACTGGTTTTGATCCATCCCATAGCTCGGGTTCAAAATTGGACCATGTCGACTGACTGTTAAATCATTGGTGGCTCTAAGTCATTCTGTCAACATCGTTTTTGGGATGTGGGTCATGGTCAACCAATCTATGCCCCTGGGGTAGCAAAAACATGCATTCCCACAGTCCATTCCCTCGCGACCTCCCAATGTCTCCGGCAGTTTTGCTGGAGAACCCCCCGAAAAAATCGATGCTTTTTTCAGCTTTTTTCCGGTTCTATGGGTCAAAGTCTCCGCGAGTTGGTGACTTGGTGAGTTGTCGTTATCTCTGCTCACCAGTGGAATGTCCCACTGAGGATATTACTTTCAATGTGTGCCTAGGCCCGGTTCCTTGAATTCGCTTCGTTTGTTGCCTTGATTTTAAATAACTGCCTTGGTGAAAGGTTGGTAGCCTAGCATTTTAGGATATTTTAGCGCAAACTGGAAGGGACCTAATTAATATTTAGACAACACACGAATCGTGGATCTTCGTCTTCGAGGTTGGTCATAATGTGGGACAACTTCTCGACACTAAAAAGGGTCTCCCTGGGACCGCTGCGGAAACACATCCTGAAGACAGCCCCTGTCAACAGGATAGGCAAGCCTATATTGTTGGTCAAGTTATATGTATTTTTGGCCAGTAACCAGTACCATTGTACCATTTCATTTGCTACTGACTTCAATGGTAAATGTGTACAAATGTGTTAGATCCTTCGATGGCCAATCCTTGGAGGCTTTGAATTCACTGGAGCCACCTTGACCTTCTGTGGCTACATGGGTGCAGCGGATCACCGCAAGGCGGTCGTAGCGTAGCCTCGCCTCGATACGACTTGGGGACCATGATCCGAGCTATTTTTGTTATTTCAAAGATATTCTAGATATTGTAATTAGATAATTAGATATGATATGATATTTTGATTTAATTATGCATTTCACTAGACGTTTTGATCATTTTCGATCAAATTGAGTCGAGATTTCATGTATATATCATCCCAGATAGGGTTGCAAGAATCATAACTTTGAGACCATCAGCTGAAAAATACAACTTAGGGACCTTTTTTCAGGGTTTGTCTTGAAATGGTGGTAGCAATGGGTAAACATCTTCAAGGTATCGCTGCTGGGATACCCCAGTAGATCTCATCGATCCTATTTGGTTCATATTGATTTCCATATGTCATCTATTCAATGGATTGGATGATGGGAAAATTTACAGGAAAACCCTATATTTGATGGTAAAAACCATGGTTTCCTGTAGATTTTCCCTTAAACCAATCCATTGATCTATGCCATCTGCACTATGGTATGACATTTTACATCATTTTAAAACAATTCAAATACTGAAAGACAAAAACATCCCGCCGGGTCGGGAATGGAACGTGTAGGCTTTAGCAATTCACTTCTCGGCACTTATGACCAACACTGGGATTTACCAATGATTTTGCCTCTGACGATGATGCAAAATGTATAATCCTGGTTATGTTTTCGTTTTTTTTTTTGGTTTTTTACCTCAGCGGCAAGCAAATTTTGTCAAAATGCCGTTACCTCCACGGATGCATCTCTGAGAGCCGATGTGCCTATTTCCACGCGTGTGTTTTTCACTCGCTGACTTGTCTTGCCTACAACTTGGCCACTTGATTGCCACACGGTTGAAACATGTCATCATGCTCAGCATGTGTGAATCTCCATTGCCAACTGTGGATACGCAAAGGTATCTGTTTTGACTGAGAGCTGCGGGACTTTGGAATATGAGTTTTCATTTGCTTCCAGCAGCTGTCAATGGTGCCTGTGTGAACACTCAAGGCTCTGTTTCGAAATCTTTCTGCGCGTTGGAATTTTAGCATAGCATGAAGTGCAAGTGAAGATCATGAAAGTGCAAGTGAAAACCAAGTAAAGTAGCATGAAGTGCAAGTGAAGATCATGTAGCGTAGCCATAGACACGGTTGGTATTCTCCCCACCCCGCCCCACCCCAACTTCCTGAAATGAGCACGACTACACGTACGGCTTTTGACCCGGCGGCCAAAACATGGAGAAAACAGCTAAATGACGTGTAAACCTGGGGCCCCTATTGGATTGCACCCTCCCAAAAGGATCAGCGCCGCGCAGGCATCACATGTCTACCATCATGAGGCGGGGTTGGATGAAACAACAGGGAGCTTTGGGTCAACGGTTTGGATATCTGGAAATTATTCCTGACCCAACTGTCATTGACCCAAATGCCTGTCATTTCAAGTACCCAGTAATTGCTGGTTGCTGGTGGTTTCAAATTTCCAAATACTTACAGTGTATGTTGATTCCATACCTACTAGGTCATTGCGTTATGTCATCCATTGGGATTTGCACTTCATTTTTCTTTCATCACTTTGCTGCCACGACAATGGAACCCAATGCGATGGCGTTGAAACCAGCAGAGTATGGAGAGAAAGTGGCAGAACCAATCATTTCCAGGTTCTTCCCAGATTTTCAAAGTCCACAGATGCTGGGTGGCTGTGTGGTTCAAGTGCAAATGGCGAGGGGGTGACGGATGAACTTGCCATCCGATCAGCCGTAAACCATCTGATCATCCAAGCTTGGGCATCAAGCAAAGTTGGAATTGCGATGAATTCTTGTGGCTTAATTTCCCATTTTTGTTGGTGGAGTGGTGCTTTCGTTAGTTTACTGTATTTGTTTATCCCTACCTGGACTGCTGATACCCATTGAATAATATCACTTTCAGAGGGGTTGACACTAACAACAATATCTATACATATCTGGTTGGTGGTTTGATTATATATATATATTTTTTCATATATTGGGAATAATAACCCCAACTGACTTTCATATTTTTCAGAGGGGTTGAAACCACCAACCAGATATAATATGTATACTGTTTATAGATGTATATATCGCGACCTCGAAATGACAAAGATTGGATTCAGCTTTTCCGGGATCTATATCTCTATATATATATATACATATATATATATATATCCCACTAAGCACAGATGGTCATCCTGTTTCCCTCATATCCCAACTTGATGGAGCTTAGAATGCCATAGGTACAATCATACATGAACGTCTTTTGCCGGAGCATCATCTTTCTTAATGGAGGTTTAGTATGCCATAGTATGCCATAGTTATATATATATAGTTATATTATGTATATATTATGTTATATTCATCAATCATCCATGGCCTGTACTTACCAGACTTACCAGGCGCCTGGCTCAGGTGGGTCGTGCGGTGCTCCATTTGGGCAGCCGGCGCCATGGTGCTGACAATATCGAGTCGGGCACCAGGATGAATCTCATCGTGTGGTGCCGTGGCTGGTTGGGTCAGGGGGTTGAAAAATCCGAGATTTCTGAGGGGTGTAGCATGGTGTAACATGGTGTAACAGGTTTTGGAAAAAGCACCGAGTTTTTTTTGTTTGGAAAAGTGGGATGGAAAACTTTCGAAGAGTTGGGATCCCTGCAGAAGTTTGAAACTATATACACAACTGATAATAAAAGATGTTTGAAACATATGGTTTAAAACAGTTTCATGAGGTGCGTCAGTACTATCGAGTAAGCCACGAGGCTCGGTGATGCTGTGATGCTTTTTCATTCAATGGATTGATGCAAACATCTTAGCCGGAAATCATGGTTTACCACCGATCAGGGGTTCCTGTCCATTTTCCCATATTTTCCCTTAAACATCTTAAACCAATCCAATGACCATGTTGAAATGGCACCATTTGGTGGTTTATCATCCCTATGAAAATGATCAACATCTAGGGAGAAAATGGGTGGTATCCCAGTGACAACTCGACATGCGAGGTCGCACAACAAGGCGTGGCGCCGTGCTCATCCGAGCCGCTTGCTAAGAGAGTACTACGCCAAAGAGGATGGGCCGCCAGATGAAGTTTGTCTCAGTCTCACGGTGGCAAACCCATCTTGGGCTGCCTTGGAAGTATGGGGTGGTCTTGATACGAGTGGCTGGTTGGTGGTTTGGAACTATTTTTATTTTTCCATATATTGGGAATAATCATCCCAATTGACTTTCATATTTTTCAGAGGGGTTGAAACCACCAACCAGGTAGAAAATGGATGAGAAACAATTTGGACACTCATGTTTCTATCCCATGGTCTTGGACAAGAGTCTTGGACCTGTCTTTTCCGCATTTTGAAACATGTCCATAAATGGGTATACTCTATCCCCCATGTTGCGACAAAGCCAAAAGGGCCTCTCTAGGTTGAGGTTGTGGATCACAGGGATTGGAGACCTTGAAGAGGGTCGTTGTTGGTTCCTGTTTTCAGAAGTGACAGGGTGAAAGATTGGCTGCGGCGTGCAGATCATTTCCTACACTTTTTGTATTCTTGACCTGCAATAGCCTCCCCACCTGATTTCCCGCCAAGACTAAAATGAAGAAACATCACATTTCATCACATTTCCCACCGGATTTTAAAAGGGGGGTCCCGCTTCTCTCGCAAATCCAATCCTGTGCTTTCCCTGTTTTGGTGGACGCCCCGCAGAATCATCATCACTCATCCCATTGTCGTGCTGAACCACTCCATTTAAGTTTATTCCATCCTCGTTTGGGGATGGTGAGGGGTTACTCTTATGACTATCTCTCTCTCTCTCTCTTTCTATATATATATATACGGCAAATGTCTGGGCTTTGCCCGGAACTGCAACCACGACAGGCAACGCATCATCATCATCATCATCATCATCATCATCATCATCATCATCATCACCATCATCATCATCATCACCATCATCATGATCATCATCATGATCATCATCATGATCATCATCGTCATCATCATCATCATCATCATCATCATCTCCTCCTCCTCCTCCTCCTCATCATCATCATCATCATCATCATCATCAAACCCTTATTGAAGATCTTCAATGAATGTAGAAGTTTAACGGGGGTGGGAGAATTAAACGCTTGTTGAAGATCTTCAATGAATGTAAAATTTAACGGTGGTGGGACTCTAATATTCCCTAATACCTTTGTTGATCAAACCCAATTGAATGTAGAGTTTAACGGGGGTGGGATTTTAATATTCCGTAATACCTGTGTTGATCTTCCCAATGGAGTGCAGAGTTGCAACAACATTTGATTGGGAATGGGACCCTTTATGCTGCAATGCCTAGGCAAAGCCCAGGCGTTGCGCGTATATTTGTAACTCGGGTATTGAACCTCCATAAATTGGGATATTGGGATCCCCCCCCAAAAAATATGGTGAAATTGTAACCCGACAATTTCACCCACAAAAAACATGATTCGAAATATCGCCCAGAAAAAACTTATCAAAAAACCTGGTTCCACTTTTCGCAGCAACCAGGCTTTTTGAAACTCAGGTTATACCCACGACCGCGATTACCTGGCTTACAAGAAAGCACCTAAGGGACGCGCGGGTGGTCGAAATCGGCCCTGGTGCCTGGGATGATGGAAGATGGTTCCGCGTGGTGAAAACGATGGGTTTCAATATGTTTCAACTAATGTTTGAATAATGTGGTTTAATGTTTTTTTTTGCGACTTCATGGCGGACACAGCGGACCAAGTGGTCCGTGGGGTTTCCCCGAAGGAAAATCATGGTTCCGTGAATCAGGCTTGGGATTCATGACAAGTTGTCCAGGTTTACTGGCTGGGGCCACTAAGCATAGCATATCCATAGGGATGTTATCACATGGGGTTTACCATACATCAAAAAACACATTCCTACAAAACTTTCTGAAATCAAACCAGTGACATAGTGCAGTTACTAGGCTGATGGGTCGAACCCATTTCAACCAAAAATGCAGAGCTTCGACGGAAACTTTTTGGATTGTCTACATCGAAGAACCAACGGCTGGATGGGCCCAAGCTTTGCAGATGGGGATGGACCGGTCCATGGACTGGGCACGAAAATCATTGGTTTCCCACCCTTGAGGTGCCCCCCAGAGGGCAAGGAGTATGAGAACTTTCCTGATTCTGATACCAGCATGTGACAGATCAATGCACAGGGAAGCCGCTTTTTTAGACATGTACAAAGAAGACATGTACAGCTGAAAAAGTTGGACCTCGGAATGAACCTGAGCCCGTGGTTTAGCCAAGATTCGCACGGCTGTTTCCCCAAACAAAATCATGGGTGGTTTTCCCTTTTGCTGCACCACTTTGCGTGAAGAGTCATGGGTAAACCATGTGAGTTTAGTTTCATTGGGGTCAACGTTGCCCAGTTCCAATGTCGAACGTTGCCTGCCTTGTTCGAGTGTCCAAAATCAGCAACATGCTCAATGTCAAGCCTTGTGAAAATGAGGTTACCATCATTAACAGCGCTAACACCAGCTAAAAGATCAATAATCTGGGTAAATTATAACGACCTCACTGCGACCTCACTGGAATCATGGTTAATAAGGGAAATCATCCCCAAATGGCCTTAATTCAGGTTAGTGAATTATTATAATTTCCCCAGAATAATCAATCCTATGGTTTGAATCCCAGTGGTTTTCCCAACAGTTTTTCACCATGTGTTGATTTGAAACAAAGTCTGCCAGAGTTTCAGCCAGTTCCACGACGTGTCAGGCGGGAAGACTGTGAGCAGCTTCAAAAATTAAAGGCCGACCGGTGGGCGTTGCAATGAATCATGTTTTCTGGGGGCATAGTTGTGAAGGTTGGAAATCACCCGCCCTTTTTCAATCGGAAAGTGGTGGGGTTGGTGGAGAGAAAGTCAGTTGCAAGGGATTGGTGAAACCTTGCGGAAGTTGCGAGATTGCAACGCGAACGTCAACAACGGTGACGTGTAGCATTGACATAGGTTAATCTGTTGATGATTCTGATTGTGGCTACATACATTAACATATATTTATATAAATATATTGACATTTATAGTTATTAGTATAGTATATCATAGTAGATCTACATTTCAATATTATTAATGTCATATGATTCCTCCAATCTTTTTTAATGTAACAATTGCGACCCAGCTTTTTTCGTTCGCATTGACCAGGGAGGTCATGATTGGACGTCTGAAAAAAACAGAAATAGAGATGGAAATGCCATGGAAATGCCATCGGATATCCCATCTTTAGTAGATTTAGTAGGAGAAACATGGAACAACACGTCACTTGTTGAACTGCTCTGACAGTTGTTTCGGGATGTGCCACGGGAGGGTTCTAAACCATCATCAACCTCATAGAGGCAGACACGTGCTGGTAGGATGCGGGGAACAGCACCGACTGCCACCTTCAGCTATTGAAGGTGACACGGGGCAGAAACGACACATGGAGGTGGAAGGGATACACTGAAGATGAATCAACAATTGGTATGTAACGTGTGTGTATATATATATATATAATTATATATATATAATATAGATAATATATTGTTCAGTCTTTTTGAAAGGAGATGTTGATAGAGGAATTATAAGGACAGCTAAAAACGGGGAAGCTCACTTGCTAATAGCGTGCGTTTGGGGATCAAGTAACATCGCTGCTTTTTGGGTAAGAAACCGAAGGTCGATCAGGGACACATCCCTTTCCTGCACCGACTGAGGATTTTTTGCCATGAAGAATCATGAGGAGTGTGGTGGAAAGTAAACTTTTAGATGTTTTAAGTTTTAAGCCTTTTCCCGGGGCTCATTTCATCTCACGACTCACTTCCACGTCCCGAAAAGTTGGGCGGTTCAGACCCAAGGTCTTGGGTGGGAACTGTTCGCATGAGTTCAAAATCCCAGAGGTGATTCAATCATATGTGTTTCAAAATGTTTTCCAATTTGAGAACTCCACACGATGATCCCATGCGACTACAGTCGAAACACCAACTGTTGGTAGCGACGAAACTGAGAGGTTCAGCTGGCTTCTTTGGTTGGCGCCCCTGAGCCAACGTGTTTAGAACACGGTGGATACGCTGCAAGACAGTCTGGGGCCCAGTGAGTGGAAATGATTAGAGCGGTGACTCGAAAGCTGTCAACAGGCTATTTGTAAAAGAAATGTTTGAACATTCAACCCTAAAAGATAATAAAGAATAGACATCATGGATTATTCTGGATGATGATCTATCCAATTGACACCGCTTTTGGAACGGGGGTCAAACCCGTCCACGTTCGCGGCTGCGCCCAAGGTGTTGGGGCTCCGTAGACGAATGTTGGTGCGCAGATGGCACAGGTTTGGGGACACAAAGGATGCGACCCTGGGAGGAGTTTCAGGGAAAAACCAGTGCTTGGTGGCTCATCCCACGGCTCGTAAGTGGGTTAGCTCACCCCAGTGATTGATGTGGATTAACCCTACTGATCCCATGTAAATCACTGGGGTGAACTAACCCACTTACTAAGTGGGATGAGCCACCAAGTGGGACATCTTCAGGATGAATTTCTTGACTTTTCGGGTGAACATGTTTGGGTCAGGATGAATGATCCATTATCCTGTGGCAGGTCCCGTGGTGTCCCCAAGCGATACCCAGCGTTCCAAATCTGACACGAACCTTTGGGTTAGCTGCACTCCACACTGCCACAAAACGGAGCACTTTCAGCTCGCAGAATTGCTGGCAACGCACCCAAAAAACTAATACATGCCATATATATATATATATATGCCATATATATATATATACATATGTATATATCATATTTTGGTAGACTTTAGTAAACCGTCAAACCCTTGGGGTTTCTCGTAGATTTCCCCAGCAGTGACTTTTTGCACCGAAACCAGCGGCGAGGCAAAGAGCTCGAGGGCACCAGGGGCATTCCGGGGCCCAGCCTGGAAGAGTGTGCCTCCAAGCTGGGTCTTTTGGTCGCAAAATTCATGGCGTTTTGGGGATAAATTGGTGATACGAAAAGGTGGACGATAGAACAAAGAAACCATGAAATCCATTGATAATCCATGTCCATTCTATAAGAATTGTTCATTATATAGCAGTTAATGGGGTGAAACTAGACCAACAAACACAAAAAATGGGGGTTAGTGAAAGGATTTCACCTTGTGGACGTTTGGAACATTCATTTTTCTTATGGGACATTACATATAGAAATATGATATAATATACATGGAATGGACTATGCATTACCAGTTGCCTAAGTTTTCCATGAAGATCTATGAAGATGTCAACATATATCCAGTACTATCGTACTATTCCTTATTGTTCTTGGTAATTATCCCCATATTCTATGGTCATTGAGGAATATTGGTGGTCTGACAAGCTGTCTACTGAGTCTACTGCGCCAGGTGGAAGTGCCGACTGTGTGCGTTGTACCGCCCCTTGGGTTGCAGGCAACACAGGGATTGGTCAATGGGCGCCCCAAGACCTACTGAGTTGTTGTTTACAAATCATTAACCACCATTAATCACTATTAATCACCATTAATCACCATTAATAAACATGATCAACCACTTTGGGTTCTAAGCGTGCTCAGTCTTTTGAGGCCCCCACTGTGGCCTGAGTCTCATGCTTTGGTTTGGGGATGAATCTGACAAGTCCAAGGCTGAGCATGGTTTCCAGGTTTATATTCAACTTCTTGTTGTCCTTCAAGGAATAGGTTCCGCTTCTTTTGGTGTCCACTTCAATCAAGGGGATTCATGAGAAAATCTAGATGCATGTTGTTGGAAAAGTTGCACAAAAATCGCCAAGCATCACGCGCAAATCTTGGGCTCTTTATATGGAAAGGCTCGGCTTAAGGTCAGTACAGTGGAAAGGTACATTGAGTCTAAGAGGAAGCGAAGATCCCAACATCGCATTTGCTTGTAATGTGGTAAAGCCAACAATAAATCATCCCCGAAGCACTATAAATTGATGATAGCAATCATCCCCAAATGGTAGTTGTTTCTCACATTAGTTCGTTTTTGGTAATGGAACTGCCTTGCCGACCACCTTTAAGGTTAGACACCAGCAGCAAGGCCTGAATTGCATGCTGGGTTATTGTATTGGCAAAACTGTCAAAACTCATTGAAAAGACGACAGCGGTGCCCGTCTGCAGTGAATGGGAATTTCAGATTCTCAAACGTAAGCAAACAAGTCCAGAAATAAGACAATGGGTATTGGGTCGAAAAAATGTACCCGCAACATTCTTAGTTTAACCCCGAAATGATGCGTTTCATTCTTGTCTTGGTATCGGCAGTATTGGTGTCACCAGCTTCTTTTTCATCCGTGCAATACGGCTCAAGGCCAGACTTAAGCTTTCCAAGAACAGACAGCAGATGTCAGTGCAACCTTCAAGACCCACCAAACGCATTCATTCCTGGGAAGGGGTGAAACGCCCAAGCAGTTTCTTTCCAACTCTTCAACTTTCAGAATTGACTTTCAGCGACAAAACCTGGAGACTGCTCCCTGCATCGCCAGATGGTTTTTCCCCAAAATGGGGCTGACCGGATAACCAAACTTCAGAACATCGGTTTGAACTCACTTCCCACGATGCCGGGTGTTTTTCTGTGTCTTAATGGTTTTTATGAAGGGATGGCATTGGGTCAAGGATCTTTAGACAAAGCCACTTGACGCTACAGCACTTGGTGCTTGGGCTCGGGCACGGTCCTTTCGCTGCGCTTGTAACAGCCAGGGACCCTGGAGGTTGACTGGGTGCAATCCATCCCATTTTTTTGGAGTTATCCACCAATGAAAACTTCATAAACCCACTAATCATTTTCTGCCTTGCAACAAAAGGTGAGGTGCTGGTCTCAAGGGTTGGAACCATTGCCTCTCAGGGAAGTTTGTCTATTATATAATATATACATATGATTAAATATGATTAAATATGCATATAATATAATATAACATAATATAATATAATATAAAATAATATAATATAATATAATATAGTACAATATAATATAATATAATCTAGAATAATATAATATAATATAATATAATATAATAATATATAGTATAATTGAATTTAATTTAGTATATCAACATGCATTATTTATATATACATATTAACTACATATATTACCTATATTACATACATATATATATATACATATAATACACACACACACATATGTATATATATATACAATTATATACATATCAATACAATATCTAAGTAATCATCCTGAAGTAGATGGGCTATGATATTTTCAAAGATGTTCCCCGTTCTAGTGAGGATTTTGACATTTCGATGTTCTATCTACTCCAGGATGACTATACATACATACATACATACATACATACATACATACATACATACATACATACATACATACATACATACATACATACATACATACATACATACATATACATACATATACATACATATACATACATATACATACATATTACATACATACATACATACATACATACATACATACATACATACATACATACATACATACATTACATACATACATACATACATACATTACATACATATAATGGCATGCATATCCATCCATCCCATAAATCCAATCATCCATATCCATCCATCCATACCTCCATACATCAGTCCATACATCAATAAGGCCATCCCCATTACAGCCACCCTACATACCTCCACACACAAGCCTACCATACATACATACATACATACATACATACATACATACATACATACATACATACATACATACATACATACATACATACATACATACATACATACATACACACACACAAATAATGAATATGTATATATATATATATTATATGTATATGTGGATAAAGTAGAACGACCTCGCTGCGACGTCACTGCAATGATGGGAATTGGATTGAGGTAACTATCCCCAAACCTCCTTATTTCTGGGTAGTGAAATAGTGCAATTTACCCAGATATATACACATATTGCAGACACGCCTATACAATTCCCATCAACACCTTTTGGTGGTACCTCCTGTTTTTTGCGTGTCAATTTGTGGTTGCATTCTGGTAGACAAGGGATACCAATAACAGTAATTAAGGTTTTTACCTGGAGTATACTGGTGTTGTCCAGCTAGGCATATTGAATTACCACAGGGTACTACCCCATCCGATGTCATAACTGTCCCCGATTCGTCATAATTTGTTCGATCATTTTTTGCTGTTTGAGTCCCATTTGTTGATACATTTCTCTCACAGCCGTGAGGTTGTCATCTTGATCTATGGGGTGCGCAGGGGCGGTGTCCAGGGCTGTGGCTTCAATGTTCAGGATGTTGTTTTGCACGCCAAGTAGCGCATATGGGGAAAACCAAGAACTCAGCGAAAACCGGGCGAACTCAGCATGTTCCAAGTTCTTTTGGATCTGGCGGCTTGGCCAGGTGTTTTTTTTTACTTAGCTTGGCCGAAGCGAACTGAAGAAACTCAAGAAAGGTCTCTCCGATGGACCGATTTTGTAGTCTCTTTTTTGATTGGGAAGCCACATGGGTATGGGTCAATACCTATAGATACCATTTTTAGTGGGATGAACATCCATTTACCAGCTATTTTGATGTTCACCAGGGGTACAAGGGTTTTGACACACTGCTACATGTTGCGTGTGTTGCGCTGCAACCGTTTTGCATCACAGCTACCGTCATTCGACCCGATGCTTGATAGCGCCATCATCAATGGGGCTCCTCAGATGCAGAGAAAAAAATGGCGATATGTAACCGTTACGACCTAGGGACCTAGTTCTTTGGTGTTTTTTTCCCAATGTTTTAAACATATGTTATCCTCTGGTAAACATACAAAAAACTATGGAAAATCACCCCTTCTTAATGGGTAAACCAACTATTTCTATGGCATCCCATCAGGGATGCTGATCCCGGTAGCGCTGATCAGCCACGATGTATCCCTATGATGACACCATAAATGGGTGTCCCTATGACACCTCCATAGTAAAAATGGAGGACCTCGGCTCGAGTAAGATCCAGTAAGATCCAGTCATTGATATCCAGTAAGATCAGGTTAGCCATGGTCCTGTTGGATTTTTTTCGTTTCAATCTTAAGGCAGGTTCAATCTTTTGGACATCCAAAAAAAGGCATCGCTGCATGGAGAAAAAAAACACATGGCCGCCATTTTAGTGAAATCGCCAGGATTTTCCAAATGGATAGAGAAGAACAGAGCGGGGAAGTGAAATTCCCTGGAATTTCCAAGGGGGTCAACCCCACGATTCGTGGTGGCTTTGTCTAAAAAATGGGATGCCCCTAAAATCCAATGGAAAAAGATGCCTGAAAACCTCCTTCCTGAAACTCGTACCTCCTTCCTGAAACTCGTAATACCTCTTGAAACGGCCATCAATTCAGGGGAACGGTCCCATTCTTGGACGCCATTTCTGGGTTGTTTCATGTGTTATATCCCTCTAAATCAACCACAGGAATTCGCTCAGTTATGTGTGTCAACTTGCCGCGATGTTCACGGATGGCCATGGCCCCTTTGTAGGGAAATTTCAGTGGTCATGTTTTAATACACCCAGTAAACTGGTGGTTTGGAACATGAATTTCATGGATTCCATAGTATATATAATCCATCCCATTGACGAAGTCCATCATTTTTCAGAGGGGTAGGTGGCTCAACCACCAACCAGATGAATTCCATAGCCATAGCCATTTTCATAGCCATTTCCATCGCCAAGATCCATCCCCATTTCGGGTGATCCGGCTGAGATCAGGTTGGGTTCTGTGATTGATGCCGCGACTTGGCGGTGACCCATTTCTATGGGGGATCCGAAAAAATCGCTGGATGGTTTACAAGGGAAAATCTGATGAAAATGGATGGAGGGGTACCCCCATTTCAGGAAACCTCCATATAATTATATATAATTATAAACTTATATGGATTGTCCGATTTTTTTCAATGTTCGAAGGAAGTTTAGAAGTGAAACTTCCGACAATATGGACAGTTGAAAAGCAGAGGTGAAAAGAGTCAGAAGAGAAAAGATCAGAAGAAAGAAGATGCAGATGCGTGAAAAGGTAGGAAAGTCGCGATTCACTATGTTTTTCCAATGATTTGTGGCTCCGGAGGGTCGAAAAGTAGGCTCGCTAAAGCGGCGGGTGCGGAGCCAGCTGGCCAGATGAGACATGAAAAAGTGCACGCCGTTGTGGCGCGAAGCACATTTCCAAGTCAAAATGGACAAAACACTAGAGGAGCGGACCACTTTTGGAAGTTGAGATGTCGAAAAAGTGCACGCCGTTGTGGCGCGAATCACATTTTGAAGTCAAAATGTACAAAACACACCAATGTCGGACCACTTTTGGAGGTTGCGATGTCGAAAAAGTGCACGCCGTTGTGGCGCGAAGCACATTTCCAAGTCAAAATGTACAAAACACACCAATGTCGGACCACTTTTGGAAGTTCCGATGTCGAAAAAGTGCACGCCGTTGTGGCGCGAAGCACATTTTGAAGTCAAAATGTACAAAACACACCATGGTCGGACCACTTTTGGAAGTTCCGATGTCGAAAAAGTGCACGCCGTTGTGGCGCGAAGCACATTTCCAAGTCAAAAGTGTTAAAAACTGACGGTCTCGGACCACTTTTGGAGGTTCAGATG